AGAGATGTGTATAAGAGACAGTATATTATTATATATATATATAATAAATAATAAACTGCTTAAAAATTTGTATTTTCTGATGTTACAAATTTCTACAATGATCTCACAAAAAAACGTATCTCACTTGAAAATTTTACCTGTGTATAAAATAAAAGCATATATAATAGGAGCATATATAATATCACATTCCGTAACTTTCTGTTAAAAACAGGACAAAGTAGAACTGCTCTCTTGTCTTTCTGCCGAGGAAGAAAAAATCCGATGTGTTTTTCTTATGCTTTGATTGCAATCACGACAATATATGTCGTATACATAGTCTTCCTGCAAAATTTCTTTCTTTAACTATATTCATTCGCCACGTTTGAAAATTGCAATATAAGAATTTTATAATCGCATACAAATGCCTGTAAACATTTAATCAAAGTAAAAGTTTGTCTCATTTTAGCTATTGAAATAATGAATATTTACCTCGGGCAAGGTAGATGTTTATTCATAATGCTCGTGAAACCTATCGTCGTGGCCCCAAGCCTTGTTCCTTTCCCTCGGCGGTGTTGTTCTAAACGAATTCGACTTTGCATTAATATTAGTTCCTTTTCTGGATTTATCCAGTGCACCCGAGCCGCGTATCGCTCTCGGAACGCTAGAATTCTTCGAATAATTACTATGCTCGGATACATCACTTTTGGCTTCTTCTCTTACAATTCGTTGACTATTCTCAACTTCCCGCAGTTGATTATCTAGAACATGAAAAAGTTGTTGCTCAATGATATGCGCGACGATAGCGAAGGTATTATTCGCGGCGCATATTTATATAATTTCTTTACGTTTAATGTTGTCGGTACCATTTTCAGTCTTTATCGCTGCGACCACCTTCAATTCCTCGTGAGAAAACGGAGGCTCAAAAGAGAGAGACTTGATATTCGAGAAATAAAAATGTTTCACCGCGTCCTTAATTTCATAGTTGTTGTTGGCTAACTCTATGATCAGCAGTAACGCCGCGTAGTTTTCGGGGCTCTGCAGATTATCCTTTACCACCAGTTGCCTGATTGTCATTATTAAGCTTTCTAATCCACCCGGAGACGCCGCATAAAGATCTTTACCAGATCTGAGTATCTGAGAACGAGATCTCTTAATAATTGTAACATCACGCTTTTGCAAATGAACAAGCTTCGTTGTTTCATCCTTTCATTCGCATTTTCATTTTGTATTCAGTAAAATCTCACCTGTATCATGATGAAATAAATATTATCCTTAGGATTGTCTTTCACCAGATCTTCCAAATATTGAATTAACGGCTCGGCCAGTATTTTCAATCTAGTTCCGTCGCTCAGTTTCATGTGATAGTAAACCTCTGCATGAAGTAAGATTTTATTGGCGAACGTCTTCCTATCCTCTAGTCTATCTTTTTCCTTAGCTAAAAAAATGACAACATAGGTATACAGAGATAGGATATACAAAATAAACACAGAACAGGAAATCGAAAGAAGCAACGCCATGAAATACCTACACATATAATTATCCTGCAAGAAACGTAAGAAGCGGCTTCGTATGGTGTTCTTATTATTATCCTCTATCAGGGCGATATTGTTATCGCTGAACACCACCGCTATTTTCGTGGTCAACTTCGGGAGCATGCTGTATGCCCAGGGGTGTACGGCCTGCTTCCACAGGGAGTCGCACACGTGCCTGAAATTCATTGACTTTGCGTTAGGAGATGTCGAAACGTGACGGCTGCGTCACCCTGGACCCGGTCCAAGGGGGAAGCTCGCGCAGTCACCTTAGACTGTCCTCGTTGACCGCGACGGTCAGCAGGTCCACGATCTCCTGAATCAGCTGCGGCGGGATGTTGTCGCGGTCGTCGTAGGAAACTATCTTGTCCATTATGTCCTTCTGGATCTTGTTGTGTTGCCCTTCCACCTTGTTGGTGTCGAGCATCCCCCCTCCTCCTCCTCCTCCTCCTGGTCTACGTAGCCCCTGGTCCTGGCCCTGAGTGGACCAGCCGCGACCGCGACCGAACGAAGTCATCCTCGGGCGCTCGTCAACAGCCTAAATCCGACACGGAAGACATGCAATATACACACGTGCAAGTATGTCTCTGGGATAACCAAAAAGTGACGCGATTCAAAGTACTTATTGGGAAATGGACGGACACGTGGGACGCAATCTGATTCAACCTGCACTCACTTCTCTTCCAGATTTTCAAGTTGTATGTATATACAGTTACGATGCGCGACCGACATGAACCAACGGGGTAAACAGGCCAAAACAGGGTTCCGCTTCTCACCGCAGTTGCACCGTGGCGTTGCTGTCGCTTGTGCCTGGCGCTCCTGCGCTTTTCTGTACCTGCTGCGTAACAGGTGTAGCACCATTACGTGACGTTGGAGCGAGAAGGACAGCAAAGTGGACAGCAACAAAACGAGATGTGAATCTTAAAAGCTCCCCGCCGAATGTCCCGTAGTAGTGTAGTACGTTTTGCCTTTTCGCCTCTTCCTTTCCTACCGTCGACCTGTATTCGCGACCGCTGTGTAGTGCAGAAAGTGTAGAAAGTGCAGAACGATGCAAACGATGCATCTTTCGCGAATTGTCGATATGCGACGGTTGTGCGGCGGTGCCGCCTGCAGTCGCCGCCAGCGACGTCGCGCGTTTAAATTTCTCCAATTCCGCGTCTGTTTTTACGGATGAATCGCGATACGCGGTCACGCGATCTCCGAGGTTCCGGAGGTATTTGGCTTAAAGGAGGTGGAAAATTAATTACCGAGAAAGACCGACAACGAATTGGGTTGGCATTTTAACCTCTCCCGAAACGGACGAAAATTAAATCGTGCGCCACATAACCGTACGAGAAACCAGGTCGTATGGCACCTTATCTGCAGTTACATACTCCGGTAAACAAAACAACAAAAAAAAACAAAATTGGATATCGCACCGTGCGACGCATCTGCGTTCAGATTTCTTCGTCCTGGTCCGAGGATTGCGAATCGAAGCTCGTTACGCTTCGCAATTATATCCTCGCTCGAGTGAATTCGCGTGCGATATAGCTAGAAAAGCCGGGGACGCGGAGAGTTGCGGAATATACCTCTTTCTCCGCGACGTCGGCCAGCGTAGCGTATCATCGTTGATCTGACAGTTCGATAGGTGCTTAGAAGCGATAATTGTGCAATTTTGTACTCGTCGAGGAATTATAGGCTGCACGACAGCAAGCTGGAGAGGCACGTAACAAGCTACGAGGCCGATTGTACGCCGGTATAGAAATCTGCCAATCTACTCCGAGTGACTGTACAATTAATGATGGTATAATTTTATTTGTAAAGCTATTTATAGTGCACCTGTCACAAATGGGGCACCATATTACAGTAGATGTCCAATTTGAAATTGGCCAATTTTAAATTGGCCAATTTAATACTGGAGATTTATTTATTTCGAGTATTAAAAGCGCTGTGGTTGTTCAATTAATCACTATTCTATTCAGTATTAAACTCTCTTTCTGTAAGGGCAGGTAAATGAAAACAAAGTTCATGTCTCTAAGAAAGCAATTAATAATTATGTAATTTTAATCATGTAATTTTATTTTTGTTAAGGATTATTTCTAATGTACACAATGCTTGCCTGTGATAAAATCTAAAACGGAGTACTAGTTAAAAATGCGAGGAAGTTAATGTCCATTCCGGGAAAACCGTGATAATTAATAATCGTGCAACTTAATTTATCAAAGATTTAAAGATGTGTGCCATCAATTGGACAACAAAAATTAATGTAAAATTATTTGTAAAGGATTTATATATATATATAAAATTTGTCTGCCTAGCTGGAACAGGATAAGGCAGCAGAGAACCGGCTGAGGCAGTAGAGAGATCAATATCGGGAAATCAATCAAGGAGGAGAGTTGTGGAAATTAATTTGCGTTAATAATTTATGATACGGCCGAGCCGCGGAGGCTTATTGAAAATTTTCCTGGACAACTCGGACTTGCGCATGCCCGCGAGCGCTACCCCGGACCCGACCGCCAATCGTCAAACGATACGATAATCCGCGCAGCGACAAACCTGTCAGTCATCGTCGTCAGTAGAGCCTAGTCATCGTCATCGCGGCCATCGCGTGACCCGCCTGAATGATCAACGTCCCAACGACAGGCGTCAACAACGGCAGTCGACTCTCGGCAGTCCGTCGCGGTTTGCAGCCAACACCGCAGGCCAGCAACACCACGCCACCGCTAGTGCAGCGCTTCGCGACGGTGGACCGGAGTCGCCGCCGTGACAGTTAGTAGTCGGCCAGTCGTCGGCCAGGTACGCCACACGCTCGCGCTGCGCCTGCGACGACCGCGAGTACCCGGAGTGTTTTTCTCCTCTCTTGTTTTTTTTTTATTGCCAGAGGGTATTGGACCCGTGATATCGGCGAGCAGCCGAGGAGGCCCACGCGTCGCGTGTCCTCAAACAAGGACAGGATACCTCGAAGGGAAGAGGGTATAGACAGAGGAGTGGACCACGTCGCGCTCGCGTCCGTCCGGGGGAAACATGACGACGGAGGAGAAGTTCAACGCCGCCGTGAACGTAATCAGGAGTCTGCCGAAAAACGGTAAGACCGACGTCCGCGACGTTGCTATCGCGTCGGCGGGCGGCGTTATCACGGCGTTATCGCGCGACTTGTGACGAGTTGGCAGTGGTGCGCACATCGAGAGCGGCGGACGCCGCGTCTCGAAAGCGAATTTCTTACGCGTATATATATATATATATACACACTGCTCACTCGGAAACGCTCTACCTCTCTCTTACTGCAGTCGCATCCGCGCGGTTGCATTCGCCTGGGTACACACGGCAGATATCACACGGGCGCTAGTGCAATCGCTTTTTTTTTTGTCTTCCACGCTTGTTGATTTCTTTTCCTTTCTCGCCTCTCTTCCTTCGGGTGTATGAAACTTTACTTAGAGGTATTGCGTGCTGGTTAAAGTCCACCGCGTTAAAGTCCGTCGTCGCCGATATATTTGTCGTCCTCGCGCGAGAATTTTCGTTCTCTCGCGTTCTCGCATATTTATTCACCGACAACGAAGAGGCGATAATTAAGTACACGCGCTGTATTGCGCGTATATACGCGTATAGCGTCGTCGTCGTCGGCAGAGCTGACTACGGAGAATTATGTAAATTTTTTTCAATCTGAATACGTTTGAGCGACGATAGCAAAAAGCGACGGTAAAATCCCACGCGATGTATATATAAGTTTATTAAACTCGTTTATTAAAATCTATCGGTTACATGATCGCGGACTTCTTTTTCGTTATCGCAGATGTTTTTATTATTATACGGAAACAAACACACGAAGATTTTGCATGCGCCGTTACGCGCAGCCGTGCAGAGAAATTGGCAAGATCTAATCGTGGTCCGAGGAAAGTGAATGTTCTCTAGTCAATTTCGCATTCGCGGCGTCGAGAGCGATATTAGGATAAAAAATTCCATTTCCGCGAGTGCACTCGCGCACTCTACGGAAGAAGCCACCATGTTCCGCCGCGTTGTCCGCCCCGCTGGACGGCTTCACCTTTGAGTCACTACGATGTCGTGACGCGAATGCGAAATAGCCTTCACACTCGATAATAAAAAAAATTTTGAAAAAAAACCAATTTGCTGATTTGCATTCTTCGAACGTTATTATAATGTATAGCTTGATAGGAAAGATATACTCAAGTATTCTCAAGTAGAGTCATTCGGTTTCCTCTCGTTATAAAAACAAGATTTTTTTTTATCGTCGCTTGATATTTTTAATTCTTTTATGAAAAGAAACGAGTTTATATAATTTTTGAAAGTTTTTTTTCTTTATTATAGGAACTGGAATTAAATAATTTCGGAATTTCTTTTCAATATCTGTAAATTAAAATAGTGTCTCGATTAATATTGCTGTTTTATTATTCGTATTTATATACGTGCATTTTTTTACTGTTTAGCCTTGATGTTGAATATTGCACGTACAAGTATACTTTCCAGTCACTTCATATAGCTAAGTGACTGTATTACTCCCCACTTTACTTTCTAACAGTGCAAGACACGCTTAGTGGTTAAAACTAGAAAAGTTCCTCTTCACTGATCACAAAAAAGTAACTTGTGTTGCACTAAGCGATTATGAAATTTTGATAATAACCGCTTATTATTTAGCGCTAATTATGTTTTTTTCAGGTCACTGACGAAGTACAAATTATCTATGTCGCATAAAATTATAAATTTTCATTTTTATTCCACGCGAATATCTCGATACTTGATCATTTTGCTGCGCCTTGTACTATGAACTTACGTATTGGCAAAAAAAAAACATGTAGAGATATATAATTGCAACGGTAAAGTGTAAAGTGCATCATGCATTTTATGTAAGAAACGCGAACTTCATTTAGACATATGCATTTAAGTTTCTGATGAAGATGCTTTAATGAGGCATTACCTGCTGGATAATGAGCTTTTGCAGTAATTGCTATAACAGTTACTTCCTATTAACATTAATTTCTGAGATCATGAATTTCATTAGAAATACAATTAGAATTTTTTTTCAACGTGTACAAAAATATTTGTTACTAATATTCAATGCGCTTTTTTTTTAAGACTATATCATGTGATAAATTACTATATTATTAATCTGTTCCGTCATGCCTAAGAAAATACTCTTCAGCTAGGGGGTCAAGGAGATAGATGATAAAAACATCGTTGTATCTCCGCTTGGTTAATCAGGAAAAACGTGAATTTCGATTAAAGTTATATATCTTATTGCAACACGTTTGGACGCTATTATATTTTCAAACAATTTAAAATAAATTTTAATTTAGCAAGAATTAATAATATAAAAAGAAGTATTTTGCAATTCTTTCTGATATATGTGTTTAATATATATATATTACGTTTCAGGATCGTATCAGCCCAGCCATGAGATTATGCTGCGTTTTTATTCGTACTACAAACAAGCGACCGAGGGACCCTGTCAGCAGTCCAAACCCGCGTTCTGGGAGGTAGTGAAGAAAGCGAAATGGGACGCGTGGACACGTCTCGGCAATATGAGCCGTACGGAGGCCATGAATAATTACGTGGAGGAACTGAAGAAAGTAAGTACATTAGGATTTTATAGACGAACCGAAGCTCACGTAAGACGAATGTATTGAACGAGAATATCATCTTCGCGCTTGCAGATTGTCGAAACAATGTCCTACACGGATAACGTGGCAACGTTTCTCGGCAGTCTGGACTCCTTCTACGAGAGCGTACCGGCTGAGGATTTGGAATTACTCGTGGGACCAGTACTGGAGCGTATACGCTCCCAACCGGGATCACCGTTGTCTGGTTCACCATTAGGTTCATTTTCTTTTACTTTTTGCATTTCTTAAATTTTATATAATTGATCACATCAATCATCAAACGTTAACGTAATCATCTGCTGCACACACGCATATTTCAAATAATTACAGAATTGTACTATTGAGTAAACCTATAATTTGAATCGGATACCAGGCAATAAGCTAAAGTATTGCATTTATATAATACATGTTTACCAGAGATCTAAATTGCGGATATTAGAGCGAAAATATCAGATATCTATTTGGACACTTGAAGCGATTCTCCGCTATCAAAATTATCAATGTTATTGCGTAGTATTATAACATGATAAGTAAAGTACCTTTCAAAATTCTTGGAGCATATTACAATATCATCGCAAAATAATTTCCTCTTACAATTAGTGTAAAGTTTATTTTCTTGTTTTATTAGTGTCTAGAGAAACATCACCCCACAGAGTGATGAATGCTTCTCGGCATATAACGAGTAGTCTGGAAACCAGCCCGACCAGCAGCCGCACTGCGAGCCCGCTGCCACAGGACACTGACGGCGAAGAGGAGGAATTTATAGACACAGTCGAGGTACGTGTTTTTAACGTTACGTGCTTCGGATTACGTCAATCGGTCGGTCTTACGAATAATTCGATTTTCTTTGCAGTCGGCGCCGGAGAGAGCGCAGAAAGATACACTTAAGTCCACTAGTGCTCAAAAGATACCAGCCACGGCAAACGGAATTGATCACTCGAGTACAGAGAACGTTATAAAAGAGAGCACCGAATTGACCAATGGATACAGCAACGTCAACGGTCACGCGGAGGCGGCGGTGTCGGAGGGCCATCGGGAGAGGGGTAGACAGAGAACGAAGAAGGACGACAATAAAGTCAACGCGGAATTCCTGAATCAGATCGCGACGACTATGCAGCACCTGCAGAGAGATCTGGATCGCATCACGGCCAGAGTGAGAGGTTTGGAAGGGCAAGCCCTGCAAGCGCTGGCGCCGCAGACAGTGCGTAACATTATCATTTGTATATCTAATTTCAATAGGGAAAGTAATGTCGCACTTTCGGTCTCTTTTGAATTAATAGAATGAGAAAATAATATTTCTCGTTTCATTATTCAATTTATTTTAATTTGTCGCGTGTAAAAATGCTGATGTCAATATTTATTTATTTTTTTTTTTAAGGAGCACACCGCTAGACGCAGGTATGCGAAATGGTGGCCGTTGCAAGAATGCCCGCCGCGCTTGTTTGTCTTACTAATCTTATGGCCATTTGTCGCTCACTTGCTGATCAACTTTATGCAGCGCTACCGCCAACGAAGACTGTGATGTCACGACTTGTTATTCCTACGCAGCTGAGAGCCCATTGCCCAGCGGTCGGGCCACTAACGTTGAGTTACAATAAAACGTGCAGAGATATTTTTTGTTTAGTTTTATATTCCTTATAGAGAAAGAAAGAGAGAGAGAGAAAGAGACGAAGCTGTCCTAATGCAATCTGCGATTACATTAGTAAACGTGAATTGTGATAAAATCGACTAGGTCAATCTCCGTATATTTTTGCATATGCGGCCTGTTTCGGAAGTTGCACACTTTCTCTCGACTGCAGATTCACACCGCTGAATAACGGGTCGATTGATCCACGGCGAAAGTTCGATTGAAAGACACTTTTGTCTGCAGTTATGCTAAGCAAGAGATGAAAATGCCTTAATATTTTGCTTCTTACGCATCTTTTCTTTTATAAAACGATACAAACGTTATCCTAAAACGCGTACAACGCCCTTCTTGTTATGCATTCAGGTTTGTTTGTATTGTTTTATAACGAAATGTCTATATGATTTTACTTAGTAGATGTACGCACAGTTTTACCGCATATTTAAAAATATGGGAAATACGCATAGATATGTGTAGAGTTATTTTATTCCTCGTGTCCGCTTTTTAATGTTTATATTTTAGAGGGAAGTACGTGACTTCCGGGACAATCTGTATAAAAAGTATATAAAGATATATAGTTCTATTAATGTTTTCTAAGGTGGATTGTATGTAATATATTTAGCTCTACAGTCGAAACACAGATTGTAATATATGCATACAGGGAAAGTAAAAATCTTTTTGTACATGCGAGCGTGTACAATAGTCAGTTGTTATATGTATTTTACGTGTGAATTATGTGGGTTTTTTAAGAAGAAAAAACAACGGGGGCTTTTCAAGTGTTTATACACTACCGGCACTGCGACAACAATGATAAATATTACTATTAATGGATGATAATTCTAATTTCAAAGGAGCATTTATACGTACCGAATAAATAATTGCGATAAATTTTATGTACATACGTGCAATGTACGTACAATGAAAATATACAAATTTTTAATTATTATCAGCCAGGATTTTTGTCCTACATGTATGTGTATATATATATTTTTTAACTAGTAAAAATTATTTTACAACTAATTCGCCCGCCATTGTTGCTACAGTGAGAGCGTCCGTTCCCTTTTAGCCACACATTTTTTCCGCGGAGGGAGAAAGTAGAAAAGGAACAAAGTAGAAAGTGTAGCTAAAGTACTAGACCTCTCTTTATGAGTAGCAAGTCATGTATACATATAAGATGAGTCAGCAAGAACATTTTCCTGGGACTAAAAGCTGCAAGAAAATAAATAGAATACAACTCGCTTCACAGAGAACGAAATGTGTTAAAGCAAACGTTTTCGCTCTCTCTAAACAATTTTTTTCGTAATTTTAATGCAAGATTAATGATGTTCCTTTCGATAAAACGTTACGTATTTCTGTATTTCCATCGTATATTTCCTGCTGATATCAAAATGAACTTCAATCGTACGTTCTAAAATAATCTCAAAAAATTATCTTGAAAAATTAGAATCCAACAAGGAGATATCATTTAAACTCAAATATTTGTCTCAAAAGCTCTAAATTTACTAAAGCTGTATTATAATTATTATCAATAATACATTAATTTTTAAGCTATATCATTTATATTAATATGTATACATACGCAGAATATTAAACATTTTCGGAAAATTAAAATCCAACGAGAAGAGATATTTTCAAACTCTCAAACTCAAATACTTGTCTCTTTAAATTTAAAGCTGCTATTTTACATCGGTATTTGCATTAATTTAACTAAACTATATAATTTACATTGATTTATTATGTGTCAGGTAAAGAAAAAATGTAAAAAAAAAATAGCAGCTATCCAAGGTGAGTCTTCCTATAAGTTCTGAGTTTTATGTTTTTGCAAGTTTCATGTCCTCACGACGATTCATCACGCTGATTCATTCACGCCACGCGCGTCCAATGTCAAGTGCCAGCGAAGAGGACGATGCTTTACGCGGCTCGGCGTGCACGTTGACCCGCGTTCCCCGTTTGCGAGAACCCGTCGTGCAACTCCGCCGAGCAACGTGTTTGCGTAATGTAAACCTCCCCCCCTTCCCTGCCCCACCACTATTCTGGAACAGCTGTTAGCTTGCAAACTGCGCTTCTCTCGTCTCTCTCCCCCCCCCGCTCCACCGTGCTGCTCCCGTTGCACTTGACCACGTGACCGTGCATAAACGGAGAAAGGAAGGGAAGGGACGGGGAGACAAGGAGGGAGAGACGCGATGCATTTTCTACGCCGTAGACAGAAACAACAGAGAAGTGGAGGACGATAGGGCGCGGAGAGGGGCGAGGGGAGGGGGAGGGAACAGCAAAAAGATTCCAGGACGGTGGGAGCAGGGAGAAAGCTCCCGGTGGGAGGGGATCGACCTGACAACCCCGGCGACGCGACGCGACGCGGGATCCTTTTGTGCCTCCCGAAGTGTGTGTGTGTGTGTGCGTGTGTGTGCGTGCGAAGTTGCGCGCACTTTGTGGACATACTACATATGTGCACACATACGGCCACTCGGTTACCTCACCGCACGTCGAAAATGTGCGCGTGGCGGAAGGCGGACATTCGGGCCATTCGGGGATTCTGAAAAGCTAAGCTAAGCTCGCCTCCGACTGGCTCCGGGTGAGCCGACGTCACGTGCGGTCGACACGTGCGACCACCGCCGCCGCCGCCGCGTCGCGTATATCCAAATCGACGCCGAGTCGAGATCGCCACGCTGACATGGACACCGGAGCGCCGTTCCTCGTGCTCGCGAGCTTTCTCGCCGCCAGCTGCTCCGGCGCCGGCGACCTCGACCTGGGCACGATCGTCTTTGCAAATATTGTAAGCAAATTCAAGTCACGCTCTCTCTCTCTCTCTCTCTCGCCGTTTCGCTCGGTGTTGACTACTCGACGCTGTCGTTATGTGTTTGACGATTTGGCGCTCGTTTTCTTCTATCTTTTTCTCGCGCTTTTATCATCAACTCCAAGTACATAATATTTTTATTTCGCAATATTGTTTTCTGTTAATATAGACGTTCTCGTTGATTTTTTTTTGTCATTTCGACATGTGTTATTTATATGTTTATTTCTACATGCTTCGTAAATATATGCAAATTTTTATAGGTATTTTTATTTTTCGCCTTAGCATTTCACGCTCAGATGACTCTCGAAACGTATTGCGAAAATATATTATAATAACGAAGCTCTTTTTTTGTTTACAGTTATACAGGCACGGAGACAGGACTCCTATTGCGCCTTACAAAAACGATCCTTACAGAAACGAGTCGTTATGGCCGGTTCCATTTGGACAGCTAACAAGCGTAAGGAAATTAATTATAATTGACAAATGTAGACACGCGCAGTATTATTATTATGCGCGGCAAGGACACATATATTTTGCTTTCCAAGCATTAAAATATTTTTTTCCTGGGTGCCTTATCTTATCATAAACGTTTCTTTGTGAAACACGATACCGTGAAGTTTGCTCTGGCACAGTCTTCGGCCACTTGGCAAAGGCTTCTTTCTTCATAAGGAGGACAAAGAAAATAGATTATACATTGGGTAGAGTTTTAAATAGATCAGGCATAACGGACATGAGAGAGAAAGAAATTTCACAGAAACAATTAGAATATATTAGAATGTACTAAACCAATTTTAAAAATTACTTTTCTTGCTGTATATCGTCTTTCTTAGAGTGCCTTACGCGCTAACTTTACTAATACTGAATGCTCGAACCATGTAGATTGGGAAGCACCAACATCTACTTCTTGGACGCTGGCTGAGGAAACGATATGCCAATATTTTAAGCGACCTTTACACGCCGTATGAAATCTACGTTCGAAGTACAGACGTGGATCGCACTCTGATGTCGGCCGAGGCGAATCTCGCGGGTCTCTACCCGCCGGTCCAGACCCAAGTGTGGGACGACAAGATCCGATGGATGCCGATCCCTGTGCACACCACTCCTGGAGAACAGGACCACGTGTTGTTGGCGAACAAGTATTGTCCGCGATACCAATACGAGCTGGAGAAGCTCTTAACGTCGCCGGAAATGGAGGGCATAAGAAAAGCGAACGCGAAGCTCTTTGCCTATTTAACCGAGCACTCCGGGGACGATGTATCTTCGTTTAAAGAAGTTGAACACCTATACGATAATTTACATATCGAGGTATTACATGTCGAGATAGTAATTCTATATTATCAGTTGTGTATACTTTTGCATATCACAGTTTACTCATTCATTTGAGTAAGCATTCATCGATTAAGCTCACTTCGGTTTATCATTGCAGACGTTGTACAACAAAACTCTACCGCAGTGGACGAAGTCAGTGTATCCAGAGAAACTGAAACCTCTCGCTGTACTTAGTTTCATGACCGGGGCCTACAACGAGATACTTAAAAAATTAAAATCAGGTAATTTTTTTAATCTCGCTCACTTATTCGTATTTATGTATTTTAATATAATATATTAGATAATATTTTAATATGTTTATTAATTTTTCTATTTATTAATATTTTTATACGCTTTCAAAGTCGTTTTGTTAATTTTTCTTAATTATATTGTCTCACACACACATAATTTAACTTTAAAAATATTCGTGCAGGTCCATTGCTTAAACAAATGATAGATCACATGGCCCTGAAAGCGCAACGTACCTTGCGACCTGACCGAAAGCTATGGATATATAGCGCTCACGATCAGACCATAGGGAATTTGCTTATGACTTTGGACTTGTACGAGCCTCACACTCCACCTTACGCTGCTACGGTTCTCATCGAATTAAGGACAAACTCGGAAAATCAGTATTTTGTAACGGTAAGAATTTTGTTTAATATTAATATGAAATATTTTGTTCAATTTGTAATTATTTTAATACATATATCCTTTCCGTTGTCCATAGATTTCTTATAAGAATACCACTGAGGAACCGTTACTTATGACGTTACCGGGTTGCGCTCCTATGTGCCCTTTAAATGATTTTATTAATTTAACGAAAAACGTTGTACCTGAGGACTGGGAAAGAGAATGTTTGATAGATCGAAATGAAATAAGTTCTAGCGATGTCATTGGTAATTATCAGATTTAACATTGCATTAAATGTCTATCTATAATTTTCCTTCTTCTACATTGCGCAGCATTTCAGTGATATTTCGCCAAATTACTATTATTCTTTAGATTGCTCATCAAGTTTTCATTATTTTTGTTTCAGCGATCCTGACATCGTCCATATTAATGCTAATTTTATTGGTCCTAATAATAATCGGCTTTATGTACTGGCGTCATAAAAGAGAACACAGACAGTATTATTATCGTTTAGCATACAATGGCTATAATGATGCCATATAACGGGTATTTGGCAAAAACAATTGGTATGGCGAAGTATTAAAAAAGGTATAGGTAGGTTAAATCATTGACTATTAACGTGATGAAATTAGAAAGAGAGAGCAAGGCATTTTTTTTACAATCTTACAATTTGGAACAAAATGTTCGATATATACATATATATTTGACAGCTAAATTATTAAATCATTTTTAATTTTTTTAATTGTACATTTTATTTGGAGGAAGCTATTTTATAAAAAATGACATAATTTGATCATTTCTTCTTTCACTTATCGTGAGGATACTTTTACTACTGTTGTAAACAGGAGCCATATTTTCTTGTTAGTAATCATACATTATTTGATGTAATTTATTATATATAATTTATTACATCGATATTATGATGACTATTATTACCTATATTATAGGCCTAGACTTTTACTCATTTTTATGAAATATTTTTATCTGTGTCTAAGTCTCGGCATTCCTTCAGAAAGTTTGGTTTGCTCATTCTTACGATAATAACTTATTTGAAACTGAGCAAGATCAAAGTCCGACCATCGTGATAATAATGTTTTATATATCGATATATTTTAAGAAATTGTAAACTCTCGAATAGACAAATATGGATATCGGGAAATTTTAGAAAATTATTTTATTTTATCGAAAGCGACAAGTAATCAGGTACTTTTATAAAACATGCGTATTGCTATTTGTAATAACGCCTTATATCAAACTTGAAAATGCATATATATATTTATAATGAATGTTCAACGTGATTAATCTCTGGTATATTACGAAGTACTATACAATGGACAAATTTTGCAACAGAGACTTGTAAGAGACAGAACTTCTATTTCATAGAATAGCTGCACAACTATTGTTACGGTTAATTGTCTGATTCATGTGATATCGCAGTGATTGTCTAGTCTACTATGTATCCGAGCTTGAATCTTTTTCGCGAGCTTCTTCATACAATGACGTAACAACTTTCAAAAGAGAAACAGCTAATGCAGAACACTGCCCGTAAACAAATTTTTATTTACAGAAATTCGGTCATTTCAGTGATCGTACAAGGCGTGGTAGCAATGATTGTAACGCAGTATATTTGTAAAGAGATACATCTTTTTCTAATTTTTATATGTGCGTAATGTTTAATTGGAAATTCCGATTTTGCGAATTTTGCGATTGTACACCTGCGGGCTATAAGTGAAAAATGTGTGAAACATGTTCCTGTTTTAAAATCGACCATACAACTTAGTTTTGTCGATTAAGTGCGTGTCTCAACTTATTTTAGAGTACTTATAAATAAGAAATGTAATGCGCATATTTCATTAAGAATATTTTTGTGATACTTCAAGCAGTAGTGTGATATGTAATCGGCGAAAAAACTGTCATTGCATTTGCTGCTTTTTGCAAAAGAAATTGCGGATATTACTTATTTTGTATGCAAATTAATAAAAATTAATTCATACGAAATAGTATTTACATCATTTCACATATCATGTAGTGTGACTGAATAATTATGCGTGAAGATTAAAAACTAGATTATAAAATTACATTTTATTTCAATATGATATAATTTTGAATATATAATTTGAACAAATATAGATATTACAAATATGTCAATGACTTTTAAAAGATATAACGTATAAAATACTTGTACACATTAGTATCGTGTCGATTTGTGCCAGTTGTCTTTCATCATTGATGCGAATTAATTATTTGAATTAATATTTGAATTCTGCCTTCATATAATGAAAAAAATTGCACATTTAAAAAAATTCATGATGTAACGAATTTAACGATGAAATATCAATGCAATGCATCAAGCACTAAATATTACCTCTTATTCAATTATGCAATTGAAAACAGACTCTTTTTCTGTTCCCCTTGTAGTAATACATCGTGTACACATATCCAATGCTGATACATTTGTTGAGTTATTACCATTCTGCTATAGACGTAAAATTGCCACTTTCTTGAATAGTAAATGCTGGATTTGTTCTGTAATATATTTAATATTTAGGATAATTTCAGGATATTGCGTGCGATTCTTAAAACTTGGCCTCTAATTGAGGCAGGACAAATTTCGACCGTGGCATTCTTACCTTCGTTACGATAAGTCAGCCTTTCAAATTGATTTTCAGACTTTTGTTTGTTAAAAATGTGCATGCAACGAAAAGAGTTTTGGTTAATCACTCGTCATACAGAAATTTATTTTTAGGGAAAGAGAGAGAGACAAGAAACATACAATGACGTGACGAAACTGAACAGTAGTGTAAGGGATAGGAGCGACGACGTTCCGGAATGTATTCGTTTAATAATGATGACGAAGCGAACTTCATGGTAAAAAAGCACCATCGTTTATTTATTATAAAAAATATATCTTTCACTGATACACGTACCATGGGACATCATGCTGACATCACGAGACAGATGACACAAAGCACCTTTCCGACGCGACATTGTTTTTCACGTGGAATACAAAGGTCGCATACTGTCTCACACATTCAATTGCATTACTCCGACTAAGTGTTTAACGAGGTTTCCGACGTATTGTGAAAACTATGAATGAAGAGAACTCTGTCTGTAGTCATGAGCGTGTATTTACAAAATTAGCTTACGTTATTTCGCAATTCTATGTACTTCTCTCTGCTTAAAGATCATTTAGACAGATTTGACGCAATACTGATTAATATCGGATTATATTCAAGAACCTTTGAAGGAAAGCTTGCACTTTAAATTATTATTGTAAACGAGTGCTTGTGTATTCACATAGTGTAATATGAATGTAAAAGTATTAATATTATATATACTTAACATTAAAGCACATGCATTGGTTAGAAGTTATTTTTTTTAAACAAAAATAGTTAATTTTAATAAAAATAGTTAGAACAATAATTAATATAACAGAGATCTCGGATAAAAATACGACGAGAAAACGTTACAGTTAAAGAAGCACTTGAACGTACCAAGTCATATAATTTGTCTAATCAGACAAAGAATGTAATTATATAATAATAAGTATTCAAACGCGTTTTATTATTAGCAGATAACAGGAAGTCAGTTATCTTTTTACAGGTGAGTCGCAAAAAGCAAATGAGTCACAAATAGATCTACTCAGCGGTTACTTGTTTTAATTCGGCACGCCAAAGTTCTCTCGTGGAGCAAATTTTACGTTTCCAAACTAATCACCAACTATTCACCAGTTTTTTCCCATAATTGTTAATGTCACGAAAATATGTGTTCAAGCAATCTGTATTTCATTAAATTATCTTTCAAACTAATCTTTAAGCGCTTCTAGTTTAATTTAAAAAGCGAGTCGAGAGATATGTATCTGTTGCAATCGCGCTTGGTATATGATCGCGTAACAGCGAACTTAACGCGAATGCAACACACTATGTAAATATGCGTTTTATTCATAAAAAAAGTCAGCAGAATCCATTTTGAGAGCTTCGTAAAAGATTCTGATTGTACAATTCAAAGCACACAAAAGAGGCAACCACGCACCACACTAAATACGTACAAGCTAGATTAATCTCGATTGCATCGAAATATTTCGCATATAACCAATACATGCAAAACTACGTTGCAGCTCTCCCAATTTCTGTTAAAACATTTCTCGCCACGAAGACAGATGAACACGTGATTAGTGTTGCTTGACGAAATTACTGAATTACTTTAGTCACAACTGCGAATGAAATGATCGCCAAAACTCTTACCTGGCATAAACGGCGGGATTTGATATGCCGAGCGTCGGACTTACGGGCGTGCCAATGTACTTGGTAACGAACTGCAATAAAAAATAAATGTATATCGTATTATTTATAAAAAATAAAATGCATTATGTTAGATATAATTATATCAAAGTGTTGAAAAATTGTGAGCTAAAATATAAATGTACACGTACCCAATTGTTACCGAGGGAGGTTGCACCCATGCTCACAGCCATGTGAATAGCCAAATAAGCGCAGAAAATAAGATACAGAATCGCGTATACAGCCATGCTTAGGTATATGGCCCAATGATGGGGCAAGTCTTCCTGGGCAGTTTGTATCACGAAATATACGTTTATAACGATTACTAGGATCGACAAAGCAGTCGACACGATCTTATTCACTCTGCAACAGAAATAATATAATACGAATGTAAAGAAGGGAGAACTGTTTTTTCATATGTTAAAAAGAGACAAAGCTATACGTACATTCCGTTTCGGAATTCACCCATGATTTGAGCGCTGCTCGTGAAGGCGATTGTCGGCAGGGTGGCGAACGGCAGTTGCAAGCTCATGATAGCGTTCAAAACGTCGTTCATGTTGCTCAAATTGTTCATGTCGGCGAAGAAGGCTACCAGGAACGTGGGAACTATGGCGATTGTACGAGTGAAGAGGACCCGCTTCCATCGCGCCCACTGCAGATTCAAGAATCCTTCCATCGCGAACTGGCCGGCATAAGTGCCCGTCATTGTGGACGACTGACCGGCGGCCAGGATACCGACGGCCCATATATACATTGCGGCCGCGCCGAAGGTGCAACCAAGGAAGACTCCTCCCTTATAAAGATCCGCGTCCAATGTCGCGTTGTTTGTCTGGAGATTAGAGGAAGGAATATATATGAGAAAACGTTTATCTAAAGAATTGGCTAAGAGGAACAGTATAGCTTAGGCTATTAAAGAATTAAAAGACACTTACATCAAAAGTCTCTATTCCGAGGGTATAATTATTCGCCTCGCAAACTTTATGCTGTGGAATAAAAATTGGAATAGAAATTAATTCAACTATCTTCCCATTTACAATTACCTAGTTTTAATAACTATACTTACAACATCGTTATTCGTCTTGTTAAAAAGGCCATGAGCAAATACAGCCACGACAAACACGTTGATTATAAATGAAATGAATAGCGCAATGCAAGCCTCAATGAAGTAATACATGTTGGCATCTTTAACCTTCGCAGGCTGTCTTCGGTCGATGTCTCTGGACTAAAAAATAAATAATATTATATATAAATAATATGTACCATTTATATACAAATGCGTTTCAGGACTCGTGGAACAAATTTCAGGGAATCATGGCAGATCTCGCCAAAAGAATCAACTTTTGCTATGTCCTCCGACGTATTTTTAAGAAGTTACGCGTCCTTGTTCGGAATAGCTACGTCGAGATATGCAATCGATCGCGCGATAGCATTGCGCGTGACATCTGACAATATTAATTCACGTTTTTGCTTTCCTTTTTATTATTTTTTATTATTTTGCAAAAACAAGATAAAAAAGACGTGAACTAATATTGTCTGGCGTCATGCATGACTGAACGCGTAGCTCCTTAAAAATGCGTCGGAGGACGTGGGTACTTTAATGGAAGTTGATTCTCTTGTTGAGATCTACCGTCTCCTAAAATATATTCCAAAGGTCCTGAAATTCCCTGTACATTACATTGCGTATAATTATAATATATACTGTTTATTCTTACTTTGACCAAGGCACTGTGGAGGTACAAATTGTGCGGCATAATAACCGCGCCGACGATTCCTACAGCTTGGAGCAGCACCTTGTTATCGTAATTCATTCCATTGTACCACGGAACAAACATACCTCTTACAACGTCGATTTGAGAAGGCGCGGAAACGACGTACTGAAACATCGAAAGCCATTGTAGCGTACAACGTGAGACTCACGTGCAGAGCAAATGCGCACCAAGTATTCTGAAATAAATGTACCTCGTAACCGAAGGTGACAGCCATGATCGCGATGAGAAGACCGAAGAAAAACTCCAATTTCCTCAGTCCGTATTTATCCAGGAATAAAAATGTGAACGTGTCGACTACTGTGATAAGTACGCCGCCCCATATAGGAATCCTGAAACGCGATTTTCCTCAGCACAAACTCTTTGTACAACGTTATTTGTTGTGTTATTATTATTTATCTTTACAAATTCATAGTGAAAGAAAAAGAATAAAAATAAAGATGAAGAAAGAATAAGAAGAAAGATATGTATAAATATGAATAAATGAAAGACAAAGGTGTGCGATTAAACAATATTTGCAACGTAAGTAAGCAAACATATAATATGTATATCGGGCGGATTATAAAATTTTTATATGTAAGATTTTTTTTATTCCTCATTATATTGCGTATTTAAAATGACGTTTTTACGTTCTCAAGTAGAGATTACGAATTTTGAAATGTCCAAGATACGCCCGGGGAACGTTTCACATACGCGCGTATTAGCTTACGTGTGCTAGAGATAAATATTTAGCAATCAGTCATATCAGGCACTTACGCTTTATTAGATAAGAGGTAAAGGGCAATAGCCGTTCCTATTACCTCCTGCATATCGCTACCAATAATCGCTATTTCAATCATTATCCATAAAATTAATCTAGGTACTTTTTTGTATTGTCTGTAACACATCTCCGCCAGATGTAGACCGGTCACTACGCCGAGGCGCGCGCTGAGTCTTTGCATAACGAGACCTAGGATAGTAGCGCTTAGTAGTACCCATAATAACTGAAAGCGAAGACGTCAACAAGGAATATCATTACTCGAAACAAAAAAAAAGAAAGAAGTAGGATAGTCGAAAGTTTGCATGATAAGTAAAGTAAATAAGTAAAGTATAAATAAAACTGCAGATTGCAGCAACTGATTTGCTCTTATATTTCAGATCGCCAGGTGTATGTATATATGTATACCTTGTATCTCGCCGTCACTCCGGACTGTAGATCCGATTCTATGTTGCCAGGATCCAGATAGGCTATGGACATTAAGAAGCCAGGCCCCGTGAAAGCCCATAGTTTTCTAAAGCTAAAGCCCGTCTGCGAGAAAGAATTACGGTCCACATTTGAGAGTCGCGAAGGGTAAAAATGATGGAGTCAAATTTTCAAGCGCTTGACTAACGCTTACAATTACAAAATAATACACATTAATTTTCTCTATCTCACATTCATACTAGCTCTTACTACTATCTCGTATTGTCTCATATTTCTTTGGTTTTAGACTATATAATCTTATCTCGCTTGCGCGTCTCATTTCTCTTGTTGTCCTACATATATTTATATTGTGCCTCGCACATTCTTACCGCCTTACTCAATCACCCACAGTACATACGAGGGTACCAAAAAACTTACTCCTGTTTCCGGCACCTGTACCCTCTCGTCGGCGAAGTAGGTCTGATTGTTGTTGACCGACGACAGAGAGGTGTTCTCGGTGGCTGCCTTTCCCGCTCCCGCCTCTGACTCGTGCATACGTTGATGCGGCACCGTCGTGACGGTGACATCGTCACTGGGCTTCACGTCGTAACTATTATTGTGCATGGTGTATCGATGCGACACTCTAAAAAAAACAGAGAGACACTTTGACACTTTATGGAATACGCAGTCGACTACCCGTTCGCGACAAAATCGGATGCCAGCGTGATGCGACCGAGAGAAGATGAACTCTGACGAGGCATGCATGGGTCTCCGTATAAAGAGAAAGAGAAAGAAAAATATTAGATAACCCGTCAGAGACGGTGACGTACGAAACTACTTATTTAGAGGAGCAGCGGCGTCCGGGCGATAACGTGCGCTTCCTGGATCGTTGATTGCCACTGTGTGATACTAACGAACAAAGGAACGGACACTATTTACAACGAGCACTGTCTCTGGATTCGTCGGCGCCGAGTGTTTTCTCGATGGCCCGTGGGAAGCGAAACGGAGTGTCTCCTCGGAATATCTCGAGATCCACTTTGAGGAGAGGAAGTTAACGAGATCGGGCGGTCGAAAATCACGTTGGATCGACAGGACCCCTCACGTTGCGATCCGTGTGTTACGATCACCAACGCGTACCGCGAAAAATCGTCCGCCAGTAGTTGATCACCCACTGGCCAGCTGTTGAATGCAACGAGCGCAGTCGAATGCTGCGAACTTGGCCGAGTAATGTGGCAGGTTGGAGCGGGGGACGCTGTCAGGGACGTGTAGCGGAGCATAAAATTCCGAAGCGGGCCAGAATTTTTGACGATTAAGCTTGACAAGTTAATCGCCAATCAATTAGAGTTAAAATTAAAATTGGTTAAAATAAAAAAAGTAATTTTGAAGAACAGCTTCGACCGATTGATTTGCACGATGGCGATCCCGTGGCAAGAAATCGAAGAAATTATAAATGTGCGTTTCGAGAGAGCGTGCGCCCGCGACGAGAGGGATCAATTGTTCAGGTTACGTCACTGAGCGCGCGAGTGACGTCAGGCATTACAAAAAAGAAATATTCTGCGCGCGGTCTTGGCTTCACGAAAAGAGGCCGTGACACGATCCTGGGAGATCCCCGGGTTTATCGCCAACGGCATTAAATTACGCGGAATACGCGTGTCCTTCAACCCCTCGTTCTCCTCTCTTGTCCCCCCCCCCCCCCTCGCTATAGAGCATCTTCCGCGCGCATATCATAATTCGCACGCATCATAGTTCCGGAATATTGCAGATTTCGCGACATTCCACGACGATTCGACACAACACACAGTCAGCGGTAAAATGTAACAGAATAGTAAGAATAAAACGAAAGAAATTAGATTTCAATTTAAAATAGTTTTCACCATTAAATATGTTTGCGTTTCCAAATAAAATGTTTCTAAAAATTAATCATCTTTACGTGTTTTCAAATAAAATATTTTAAAACATTTTAAATGAAAAAAAATTTAAAAACAAAGACAAGAAATAAAATATTTCAATATATCTTCTAAAATTTAATTAACCATTTTGAAGTGATTTCTATTTTGTGTGATCGCTTATATAAATTATCGATGTTAGAAAACGAAAATGTATACGCGCACAATTTGTGTATAATAACGTAGATATTTAGACGGAATATAAAAAGTTATAACATTATTTATAACATACAACTTTATAATTTTTTTTTCATTTACATTATGAGCAGGGCAGAGTAGTCTTTCAGAAACATCTTTTAGAAGCGCATTTTGCCTAGGAATTTTACTGTGAGCAATAAAAAAAATATCTTTCTGCTGCTTTTAAGTATCCATAAATACGAAAATAACAATAATTTAAATATAGAAGCTGTTCAAGTGAAAAGCAAACTCAAGATGATCGAAAGAGCGATGTCCTCCAAAAAAAAAACGTACATTTTATCCGATAGCGCGAAGAGATAATGCCTTGCTTGACAATTGCCACGTAACTTGATATCGGCATATTTAATATTGTTCCGCGATTAGATATCGATCGAAGATGTAGACGAGTAGAGTCCATTTTACCAATGTATCACGATGTTCGACACCGAAACTAAAATATCTCATAGAAGCACTACGATAAGTAAGTTATCACGTAGAGATAAATAATGAAGATTGCTGCATTTCAATTTAATTATCTATCCTGTCACATAGAAAGATATAAGAAAATATTACACAATTAATATAAGAGATCAGTGAGAATTTTTAAAGATAAGAGAGAATATTAATTATAACATTAATAATTAATACAGGAAAATAAATTTTTCGGAGTATGAATTTAAGTGACAGATGATTTTAATCGCGATAAAATAAGTAACGTGATAATTATACGTGTACGTGTAATAATTACGTGTACACGTATACGACATATGTATGCATGCTTTATCAATCTATTTCCTTGTCTTCGTTTAAATGTAGAAAGCAGAGAGAAATTATAATATCCATCAGGTCTAACTATCAAGTGTAAAACGATCGATGTAACAGCAATATGCGCGATAAGCTGTTGTTTCCAACCAGTTGTTTTCTGAAAGAAGATAAACTACGAAATGCAAATTATCGCAATTAAAGCGCTTATAGCAGTTGAATTTTAAATTTGGCACAATGTAAGCCAAGGTGGCCGAAAAAAAGAAACAAGTGAACGTTAGACAAAAAAACAGGTCTCGTCGACCTTACGTAACTCTCATTCTTATTATATATAGTTAACGCTAATTTTCTCGAAGGATGCGAGATGCGAGATGAAATTTACAGAAATGATACGTTAATTTAAGAGACTGATTTTTTTTTATTAATGCAATAGCACCTCGGAAAGTGGTACCTCGATGAAATTCCGATTAACTTTAATCGCGGCGATCAAATTAACTAGCAGAATTGCTCACGGCAAGCTTTAATTTCTGTGCAGTTCGCTATTCCTAATTCTTAATCTTTCCATGTGCTTATATAAAAAATAATAAAAGGAATTAATTCTCTTCACGCTAACAAACCGCTTACAAAATAACAGGTGATACTTGACAAAATAATTATCATCCGCGATTACATTAATCGGAGTTGGAGTCACTGTTAAGTAACGATTATGATAAATTATCTTCCTTCTGATTGATTTTAATTTCGGTCAAGTTCTCGGTAGCTCGCTTAGACAAAAGTACATTCGATTGGCATCGATTTACGACACTAAATAACGAGAATCATGACTCACTGTCAGCCTGGTAATCCCGGAAACGAGGAAAAGTCGAACGAAATACACGGAATGCATCCCGCCGATGGAAAATAAATTATTGTATTGTCTCATGCAAGATGGGTTTTTGTCGCTTAAAGTGTCTCCGGACCGTTATTCATGTATAGTAGCTATATATATAGCTAATAAACAATACAAGCTCCAGGAAACGATTTCGAAAATCTTTCTTTTCCTCCGTGAATCACGAACGCGCGAGGCAAAGAGTCAGAAGTCAAAAGTTAAATTCTACACGAGCGATTTGTTAATAAAGTATATCATCGTATAAAAACGCAGATTCAGATAATTTATTAACGACCTCGACGTCGCAGATAGGGACGAGGAAACTGCCGAGCGGATTTAATCGGGGGGGATCTGTCGTAACTCCTCGACGCGTGTTCCTGCTCTTTAAAATCTGGACGACAGTGTATAGTGTGAATGCGTCATATACACCTCACGCACGCACACACACACACTCTCTCCTACTCCGCCCGTCCGAACTGGACCAAACTCTCACCGGCGCGGGAGGCAGATACCGCACGCAGCCATAATCCATATCGCGTTATTATAAGCACTCGCGGACGTCCGGGCGGCTCGTGCTCTCGGGGGGAAAGTCTCCGGGGGAGTCCAGGAAACCGTCACCGGGGCGGCGCGTTCTCGCTCGCGAGCGCAGACCCGTCGAGCCGACGGGTTCGCAGGTACTCGCGAGGGTGTGGTGCGAATTAAGATAACGCGCGAGACTTGTCCCGACTCGTCACACGCTGATAAGGTGGGGTCCCGTGAGTCGCGTTCACGCCCCGATCCGATCCTCCGATATCCGTCGAACGAGAGGTAAGCGCGACGAAGCGGAGAAGAGGAGAGCATCCTTCGGCGGCTCCGTGGAGAGGCCCCTCGACGAGTCGAGTACGTACCTATAATATATCCTTCGGTAGATCATATATATCGCGTTCGTCGCATATGCCTGGATGTCCCCGCACGTAGGACAGGGAGTGATCGCGAAGTGACATAATGACAGCTCGGCGCGATGTCTCATGCCGTGAGTCATGAGGCCTGTTTTTTTTTCTCTTTCACTCATCCGTCCAGCTTCTCTTTCTCTGTACAGGTCAGGCCGCCGGATACCCTCTCCTTCCTTTCTCTCTCTTCTTCGAGTGCAGAAAGTGCGGGTGCCGTGCCCGAAGTGCGCGTGTACTCTGCAGCCTCCGCAGGGTCGTTGCCATTACGCGACTGACTGCTGTCAAAGTCGAAGCGGTCCGTGTAGCTCCCTTGGGCCCCTCTTCATCTTCACCAGCCAGCGACTCGTGCTCGAACCTTTTTTGGAAGTAGCGTGGCTCGTGCCAGGTAAGACCGACGACAAAGGAGGCGACGTCTGGCCTGGGGAAACCGTGCAGATCTCGGGGATAACTTAACCTGTCGTTGTCGCAGAAGGAGATGGCGAACCTGGGCAATCTGGATCAGCAGATCGCGAGCCTGCAGATCGGCGATGAGGCGGCGAAGGGCGCCGTCAAGCCCGGCAAGAAGGTCGGTCCCGCGGTGCCGCCGAAGCCGAAGAAGTCTCAGCCTCAGGTGAATCCTCAGCTTCTCGCTGTAAAATCCGATTTATCTCTATATACCTGTCCATGTATATATACATTGTACGCTAACTGAAAATGTTTTTCCCGTTCGCACGCATCCCCTGAACACGGATGCAACCGACACGGTAACGCGGAGACACGTTAATTTCGGTCAGCGGGAACCGCTCGACGGAAGTCCCAACGACCGGGTCGGTTACGCAATCTCTGTCTTTCAGATACCGCAAAGTTACACCATAAAGACCCCGCCGGTGCCGTCGTACAGCACCGTTCTCAACAACACGTCGAGCGACAAGACCTCGAACCTGTACATGAACGCGCCCTCGCCGTACGTCCCGCTGGACATAAAGAACGACTTCTCGTCGCAGCTGGCGCTCGCCAACGGCAAGGAGGCGGCGTCCAAGATTTATCAGAACAACGACAATTTGTACACGCGCCAGCCGGAGGAGAAGTACGAGCCGAAGTACAGATACGACGAGAAGAATTACTACTCCAACGTCGGGAACATGCCGGCGCCTCAGGTGCCCACCGCGGCGTCGGACGATCGCGCGAACAGGGCGACCAGGAACGCGGTGTACAGCAACGTGGAACCACCCTCGGTCTCCGCGTACGAGTACGTCCCGTACGACAAGGAGATTATATACAGCAACATTCAGTGGAATCCTAAAACGGAGAATACGTACTGCAACGTTCCCGCCGCGCACGGGGCTGGTAAGAATTTTTGCGAGTCTGAAAAATAAATGGCGAATGAATGGCTCCGAGTGAAATAATCACACGGTTGTAAACAAGACAAAAAGTCTTGCGTCTGAATCTCTCTGAGGAGTTGAGAGTGCAAAGCACTCAACCTTTGAAATCTTTTTGGCAAATATCGATATATCCGGCCTCTCTGCTTGCAGACGATTTACCACCGCCGCCGGAGCCGTCGGAGTACGTCTCCTGCGTACCTGGGAATTCGTTTCCACCGCCGCCCGATGAGCTGCCTCCGCCACCGAGTCCCGTCTCGTCGAGTTACAGCGAGCTGAGGCGCGCCACTTACCAGACCGATTTCCCATCGGGCAATTATCCCGCCGACATCTACGGACCGAGTTCTCAGTCCAGCTCGACGTACGAATCCATATACGAGCCGATCAATCCGAGACCACCGTCGCAGTTGTCGTGCAACTATTCCATGTACTCCGGCTACGGGTCGGCCGCGTCTACTCAGCCGCAGGGCAAGGTGTCTCCCGTTAAAGAAGTGAGTTTCGAGCACTGTGCCAAATTCATAGAAATACTTTTAGTAATTTTAATTTATTGAAATAAAAGGTAAAAGTAGAATTGATGCTTGCATATTTAATTCGATTGTTATATGTGAAGTAATCATATAATATATTCTAAATTATTTCATTTGTTATCGAAATGCTTTTAGTAATTTGAATCTATTGAAATAAAAGGTAAAAGTATAATCGATGCTTGCATGTTCAATTCGATTGTCATACCTGAAGCAATCATATAATACATTGTAAATTATTTTATTTGTTTGTAAGTGAAGAGTGTATTTATTTAATTTAAAAAAAAATCATCACATTTCGTCAATTATATTAATCGACAGCTAGAGACATCTAATACAATTGTAAAGTAATATGTCTAAGTTATATAGCTAAGATTAATTATATTTACAGGTTGACGTGCTCACGGATCTGTTGGTTCAAGGAATGGAGGATAATAACGAAGACAGCGATATATATGGCATCTGCGCGCAATGCGGGCGCAAGGTCGAGGGAGAAGGAACCGGGTGCTCGGCGATGGACAAAGTCTTTCACATAAGTTGCTTCTGCTGCTTCGTATGCAAGGTCAATCTCCAAGGGAAGCCCTTCTACTCGCTGGAAGGCAAGCCTTACTGCGAGGAGGACTATCTCAACACTCTGGAAAAGTGCTGCGTTTGCACCAGACCGATACTGGACCGAATATTGAGAGCTACCGGCAAGCCGTATCATCCCTCGTGCTTCACCTGCGTCGTATGTGGGCAGAGTCTGGACGGTATACCGTTTACCGTGGACGCTACGAATCAGATACATTGCATTCAGTGTTTCCACAAGTGAGCCTTACAACGAGCCTTCCTCTTTTTCCTTTTCGTTTCAATTGTCATTCGATCCTGTGATAGCTAAAATTCACATTCTTGCGTCCCCAGGAAATTCGCTCCGCGTTGCTGCGTCTGCAAGCTGCCCATAATGCCCGAGCCTGGTCAGGACGAGACCATACGAGTGGTGGCGTTGGATCGCAGTTTCCACATCCAGTGCTACAAGTGCGAGGACTGCGGATTGGTGTTGTCGTCCGACTCGGAGGGGCACGGCTGCTATCCCCTGGACGATCACATCCTGTGCAAAAGCTGCAACGCTACTCGCGTCCAAGCCTTAACGTCTCATATGACGACCGAATTATAAACTATATGGACGCGACAAGAGCTTTATACAATTTGCTGTTGAAAAACTCCGGGGGTACGGAAGAAATGTTAAATCAAGTATCGTTGTGATTAACTGTGTAGTGACATAAGTGCCGCTATATACACGGTACATAGAGCCTTTTTTATGCATACAGTTTTTCTATTCCGCTATTATTATTCACAGTATTCGAAAACCGATATTTGCTATCCCATTACATTAACGAAGAATTCATTTCTTTTTTACACTTTATACCTGTTAGCCAGACTAAGGAAATTTGACTGTCCAAAATGTTTGGATCTTTTTTACAATTTGACACGAAAAAGAAGGCAATTGTTAAGGAGCAATTGTTGGATTAATTATATATTCTACTTAATCTTTACGGCCATAAGATCAATGCATTAGAATTCCGCCACTGCCATAACCGAAGCATTTTCTCAGTACATTACGGAATAACATCGGCAAAATAAAAGTAGATTGTAAGTTTGACGTCCGAGGTAATTTTCCTGCAGATGTGATTATTATTGTGATTCTAGTAAAGTATTCGATGTATCGTAAAGTATTTAACGTGTAGTCTGTCGTCGACAGGAGTACCGCTTCGATTCATTTATATTTAGAGATAGGCCTTAGATTCGGGGAGGGGGAGAGTAGGATTATTGTTATTGACAATATCGGTATATATATAATATATATATATCGGCGAGGAAGCGTGCCATTTCTTTTTGCGATCTTGTTGAAACAGATTACGAGAGACTATCGAGAAAAAGAAGGACAAACGCCTCAATCCGAAACACCTTTGGGCGCGATGCGACTAGCTCCCAAACTTTCTCGCATGGGTAAAATATTACATCGAGGAGAGAGACTTATATGATCTCTGTATTATAGTATCAATAAAAATACAGTTTGTTATTTATGGCCAAAGAGTAACACTTCGTTTCTGCCGACCGTTCTTGCCCGTCCGGATGATTTTCACTAACGCATGCAGACACGTAGACTGCATTTTTCAAGCCTGCACTTACCGAATGACACATCGAGCTTTGCATGTTTCACCATTCCAATGAGAGTTGCTATTAATATATACTTGTTATATTACTATTGTGATTGTTGTTAATAGTTATACACGGTGGCTCAAGCTACCACACTTCCTCTCAGTTACAGATTTTCTCTCGAGAATTCAAAGTTTTTTCTTCTTAGCAAAAAATTCGATCGTGAGCACGCAGTTTTTTTTTTGCTATCTCTTTAATTTTTAACATTCAACATCATTTGTCTTTGTTATTTTGTTAGAGCTTTTGTTAGAGTTTGAAATTAAATAAAAGGATACCTAAGAGTTTTGAAGGATAAGAGGTCTTCGTTTCCCTGAGGGATAAAAATTGATGTGATAAGAAGATAAAATTCTTCGCTTTGGAGACTATCGGAATATTTTTGCTAATGGAAAAGCCAATTTCAAATTCACGAGAAAAACTGTAGCCGAGACGAAGTCCGCGATTATACAACCTGTAGACATATGGTGTGTGTACATACATAATCGCACACACATACACACACCAGATGTATATATGTACACATTAATATTGTTATCATATAATTGCAGAAGAAATTTACAGCAGATTCATTCTATATCATCCCTTTACTAATTTTTTTTCTCTATGATTTTCATGCACAGATGTCTGTCTTTTATTATTATTATTATTATTAACATCTCTTTTAGATATTTGCATCTCTTTTTTTTATATGCATAACATATTTCTTTTATTACCATAGAGTACTTAAATCTTATATAATTTTTGTGATATTTATATATATATATATGTATATATAACCTGTATGCCATTTTGTGTATAATTTATGTTTATTAATACATAAATTTGTCTCACCGGTGGCACACGTGGATCGTGGAACGCGCCCTTCTAGTTTCCTCTTGGTGAAATGAACAATACTACCGATTCTACTTATCTACACGGAGGTATATCAAATTATAGTTCCACGATGGATACATTGTGCATCAATGTATTTGGCGGCAATTGCGAATCTAATTAGGAAAATAATTCGGTTTCTCGAGTAAGCCGCAAGCATTTTGAAATTATATGTCGTCCACGACGGCAAATTAAACGTAACAAATACCTGTTATCATCCGATGTATCCAATGTGCAAATAATTCTTGCCGTCGCCTTGCGGGAAATCGTCTCACGTCAATAATATATACCTTGCACTAAGTCGCGGTATTCATTGCGGGAGCAACGTGGGCTCTCCGCTGCGAGATAATAAATTAATACAGATTGTTTCGAAAGCTACGCGCGCGCGCATGCGCTTCGTCAATTTCGCCCGGCAACATTTTTGCGGGACCGGGAGCCAGGACGAAATTCCACGATCCGAAATGCACTCTCTTTTGCTGCATATGATACATTCGTCGTTCCTATACTCTTTTTACTACACATAGCTCTGATTTCTATCTTAGATCTCCTCTGTTTTTTCTTTTTTTATCCTCTTTAGATTAAAACTATAATATTATTTTATGTAATATATATTTTATCATATTTTCTCCAATCAAGTACAGCACCATTCTACGTTAAATTTAGTACACAGGTTTTTAATACTCGCGGTTTTTAATCTAACAATATTCGTTCGATTTGTTAGCTTTGTTGTACCAAAGTCAACATAGAATTGCACTTCTTTTGTTTAAATAATCTATCGCTTTTTCTCTTAAATAGATACACGTATTTTATGTATATATATATATTTTTTTTTTATTTATATATATATATACGTAAAATATCCGTGTGCTTGTGTGAGTAGATACACGAGCCACACTGCTCACATATAAATCTGTACTTGCACGCAATAAATCACAGCCACCTATCCAAATTCGCGCGCGAGCACAAATACACACGACTAAATAACGCGTATCTCTTTCGCATTTACATCCTAGATATCTTCGGTATATGTTGTATCATCTCGCTTCAACATTTTATATATATATATATACATATATATATATATATATATATAAAATTATGTGCATCTGTACATATCGATACACGCGTACGTGCGTGTGCGTACGTATATGCAAACGTATGCATCCACACGGCGGATATGTACACATACACATATCGCTACACATGTGAGGATATCCTCTCTCGCGTTCCACCTATACGTAGTACTAGGTGTCATAATAAGCTACATTTTCTCTCACTCTCACTCACTCACTCTCTTTCTCTCCATTTTCCCTCCCTCTATTTGTGACACTCATTCACACGACTCGCACTCGCTACATTTCTTCACTCGTTCCTCCTCTCTCTCTCTGTAACATCTCTCTCATCGACATAACGTGACATGACTCCGTTTACTGCGCTTCAACCACGTTCGCTCTCTCGTTACACACAGTTTACTCTCCCGTACTCGCCAGATCCGCTTAAAACAGCATCATCATACTCTCTCTCACACGTCTGAATTCGCTGAGGCTACAATTGGGCGTACTAGCATCACACGTGCCCATAAATCAATAAATAAATAGAGGAACAACATTCTTCAAACATCTCTTTTTTTTTCTTATAACAACATTAGAGGCTCTCGGAGAACGTAACGCAACAAATGTTCAACAATACAATCACGAAAACAAATAGAAGGCACTCTTGCTTTTCTTCTTTTTTTTTTTCTCAATAAATTAATCTCCTTGTGTTATAACAACTCACTCTCGGATATTATATCTCCACGGCTTCTTCTAGGCCCTTGTCTGTCGCGTTCGCATCTAGCTACGTACCGACACGACATTCCGGTGTCGCCGAAATCCTCAGGTAATACGCGCCACGACATTCACATGACGGCGCTACAAAATCTCAAGTCTTTCTTTCTTTCTTTCTCTCTCTCTTTCTCTCTCTCCCTTTCTCTCTCGAATGGACAATCATAGCTACGGTATGCGAGATACGAGATAACAAATTTGTTTCACATTTACAGGTAAAAGAAATCCACCTTCGTAACAATTAGGTAGAATATTATTTAACTTTTAATATTATAATAATTTAATTATTGTTATTTGCTTGGAAGCTCACAGCCGACACATTTTTTTTTAATTCATTATTATTATTTCTCTCTTCTTTTAATATCTTATCTTATTTTCACTTGGGTATACGGGGCGTCTCATCTTTCGTACTTGGGTCTCGATTATTATTATTTTTTTTCCCTCGGTATTTATAACAGCTACATGTACAATGTTTAGCGCGGAAATTTGTCAACGAAAAGCATAACGGAATCTGGTTGTTAATCCGCTCTACATTCGAAATACGCGATGAAATACAGATTCACGGTTACTCTAACGAGAGAGAGAAACTATAAGTACGGATAATAACCCCCGTGGTCCACGGGGGGGATAGAAAACGAAAAATCATGGAGATGTGGCAGTGCCTTGAGCAACCGTTTATGAAATCAACCCTATCTCGCCTCCCTGTTACCCTTCTGCTTTATTTTTTCATCTTTTTTTTTTGTTTTTGAACACATGACAACACATCGTCTTTGTACGATAACAACGTTATTTTCTCCTTTTTTTTCTTTCGATTCTATCTTTTGCTAACTAATCTAGCCTTGCTCGCGAGATTCATGGTTTGTCGAGCCTATCACGCATATAACATTGGATATACTGTAATAGATATATATATATATATGTATATTATATAACGTAGATATATATATATATGTAAATGACGTATCGTACTTATATATATATTTATGTGTGTATATGTGTGTGTATGTGTTTTTGTGTATGCGGTAAGATAGAAGTTTCATCTTCGTTAACTCTCTGCTACAGTAGAGAAAGAAGCAGATATATCTAGAACACTTGGTTTCATTCTAGGTACATCGGTCTCTTTCTTTCTCTTCACACATATAATTAATAATATATCATTCTTTGCACGTGCTCATACGATCTTCTCTCATTCGAATCCTGCTCGACCGATCAGCGAGCTATGACGATCGAACTGGGAAGGATTTTATTCTTATAGAATACAGAATATGTCATCAGCATGTCGAGTCTGAGATCACCAGAGAAATTATACCGTAGCATGTATATGTATATGTGTACATATATAATTGAGTGTACATGTATGTATGTCGCGTGTCTTGGATTTTCACTGTTTTTCACAGTTTTGCAGCCGTCGTCTTAGGTCGCGCGTGGTCTCCCCTCTCGACTTTTATACGATAAATATTTACTCTTATCAAGAAGACAACAAAGAGGGCAAAGAGAACAAAGAAAGGAGGGTAGGAAGTGTCTACAGAGTCAGCGCCTGCATCTGATGGCACGTTTCGCTCAACTGATTCTGATCGCCGGCTGCCGGATGGCCGGCCGTCCGCGGTGTACCGGGTGGCGTTATCGGTAGCCTGCCAGGACCGTCGCCGGCGCCTCCCAGAGCATCGTCGGCGAGCTTGCTCGCCACCGCCGTTGTCTGCATTATACCGTTCACCTTGTACTTGGACTGCCGCAGCATCGTCGTCTGCGACCCGGTGGTGCTAGAATACTTGTCGGACGGCTTCCGATTGGCGGACGCTAGTGCCTGGCCGACGGAGTACCGGCTGCGTTGATTGCCGGCGGGTTGCTGCTGCTGCTGCTGCGGTTGGGACAGGGGCATGGAGGATGGCTGATAACGATTCTGAGCCGGGGCGTAAAACTGGACCTGGGGAGCGGGCGGGGAGAGGGTTGGAAGAGGCCGTGTCATGGGTGAGTACGGAGCTGGCGGTGGGCTCGCCGGTTTCTCCTGGGCGTTGGACGCGTCCGCGTTTATCCGCTCGGATGGCGACAGGCGAGAGGACAGCGTCGTCGGTGTGCTCGTGACGACGACGGCGCTGTCCGTCTGAGCCGTGTCATTGTTAGGCCGACCGTTGTCGTTTCCGTGCGCGTCCAACCGGGCGGCGCTTCCCCTGTAGTTGTTATTGTTATTACTCGAGAGATAGTGCTTACGGCCCGAGCCGTAATGACCACCGGTCATCGACGGTTTGTTGATCTCGTAATACTGATCGTCGCCGCAGTGCCTCGCGCGTCCGTTCGTCGCGTACGAATAATTGGACGTCGTGGTGTGATTGACCTTGTGCGCAGCCTGGTTACTCGAGGCGTAACCGCCGCCGGACCTGAGGATCGCCGACGAGCCCACGTTCGATCCAGCCGTTCTCCTATTGTACTGTACCGGCAATCGCGACGACACCGCTATCGTCGGATATTTGTGCGACCCGTCCGCCGCGTTTCCGCTGTACTTGCTGTTGTGTGATTGCGAACCGCCGTGTGTGTTCTGCGACTTGGCGTGCGTGTTGTGATGTGCCAACGGGTAGCCGTGATTCTGACCCCCCTGACCGCGTAAACTGTTACCCTGGCCGCCCGCGTACTTATTGCAGTCTCTGGAATTGTGGCTGTACGTTTTCGCGTTGCTGTTGTCGTAACCGGACTGATGCGGCGAGGCCGAGAACGGTGTCGGCAGGAGACTAGCGGTACCGGACGCGTTATGATGCGTGTACGGCGGCGGCGGGTGCGTGTGCGGAATGTACACGGTTGGATGATAGAGGATGCGACAGTGCATCGGACTGGCGGCGCAGTCCTCGCTGTCGTTTTGCGCGCTGTGCGGCGTGTGTATCGCGATAGGATGGTAATTAGTGTGATAACGACCGGGGAATTTGACGGGCATTAGGGGCAGCAGAGGTGTTGCCGGTGAGCCTGAAGCAGCCTGTTGCACTTCGCTGTGCGGTTGCTCCGAGTGGTTTGGCGTCGGACGTGAATCCTACGATTTTATTTCATAGAATAACACCTGCCTAACTCAATATACGTTGCCTGGTAAAACGTACATTTAACAACGAACATTCATGGCGATTCTTTGTACAATCGATCTTGCAATCAAGTTATAATCCCAATCTCAGTGCGATCAAATAAATCTTCATCGTGATGACAATCATTGGTATCTCGTTAACAATTATTAACGCATGCATTACTGTTTTTTCTTTTTACAGATAAGAAGGACTGCAAATCAATAGCGAGCAGCTCTATTCTCACGGAATGTGGGAGCAGCGCTAAAGAACACATTCGACAACCGCAGAAACGAATCGCTAAAACGCGCAAAAAAGTCAAGGAGGCATCGATGGCAGCCAGGAGACGAGAGAGGAACTTACCTCCTGCGGGGCAGCCTGACTGTCAGTCGCGGAGGTCTGCTGGCACGAAGTAGCGTCCGTGGCGTACAGTAACAGCTGCTGCTCGGTCAGTCCCATTGGCGCGTGCGGCGGCGGCGGCGCGGGATGCGGACCGGCCGCGAAGGGATAGTACAGATGATCCACCTGCGCCGGGGGAGGAGGGCCCGTTGGTACAGGTGGATGATGATGCGGGGCCGGTGCGGCAGGAGCGTAAAAGTGCGTCGGATGCGGTGGTGGGAGAGGTGGTGGTGGGCCCGTCGGCGGGCTGGTAGCTCCTGTACCGTTATTGCCGCTGCTGCCGGAACTGTTACCACCTCCACCACCGTTCGTGTTGCTCGGCGAACTGCCGGTAGTCGCGTACAAGTACTGAGGTGCCCCGGCGGCCGCTCCTGCGTAGTACGGTTCGTACTGTAGACAGAAACGAAAACACCTTTAGACCATCCGTCGCTGTGGAACGCACTTTGCACATGAATACCGAGTATTCTCGCGTAAATATTCACATCTATGAGACAGCCGTTCTCAGCAAATGTTAGTCGATCCTCCATTGAATTTCATTTCCTTGATCATGCGAGGAGAAAGTTTTTACTCCAAATACACAAATATTCCTTTTTAAACGTATATTGACAAGCGAAATAAAGATGTGCTTCAATTATTGCATCCCGTCTATTATTTATCCAGCTAGACAATATACGCGATGCATATGAATATAACATTCGCAAAGAACTTATTTCATGTGAGTCATATTATTGTACGGATGACGAATAAAGATATGCATTAAATGAAAAATAAATTCATTATTCGTATGCAAATGTAGTATGCGACGATTTTAATACGGTTGTCATTCTTATACGTTTTTCTGTTTTTTTTTAATTTCAAAAAATAGAAAAGTGCATTAGTTGTTGTAATCGTAATTAACTAACATTTACAAGAGGCTTATTATAATGACAGTGACAATTTAATAAATGAAACTATATAATAAATGTATAATAAAAGTCAAGCGGAGATGATTAAATGATCTGTGTATTGTTTCCATATAACGATTTGTCATTTCCTAGATCATTCCAAGTTAGAATAGATTGCAGTGTGCGTGAGAAACAAGTCAAACAATCGGATATTACACTGATCAAGCATTAATCATTACGTAGCGTATCGGCAACTTATCGATATCCTCACAAAGTAAATCATTTTATTATCCTAATTTACTTTATTTGCATCCCATATACATAAGAAAGAAAAGGATCTCAAACCCACATTGCATGCCTACAGCAATTCTATTGTCAACAATCTACAGAGACTTTCGGATCTGTCTATTCTACTCTTCTCTGAGCGTAGAATTTCGGTTCGAGAGAAATTGCCTGTTAAAATAATATTATTACAGCGTCATTTCAACAACGCGCCTCGCGTGCAAAATGATCGCGTGTGATTCGAATTCGCGACTGAATTAAGTGCAACTCGCGTCGTTCTAGAAAGTGAAAAGAGCTACAATGCGAGAAATGAAGCAGGCAATCGTGCTGAACAGATAGAAAATCGACAAGCGCATTGACATTTCTATCATAACATTTAATCACAATATTAACAAGAGTTGTGATAAAAAACTGAAACAGAGTTGGAAAAGAGAAAGGGAATAAAGAGAGCTAGAGAAAGATAAGGAGTTAGGGAGGTCGTATGAAATAGATCTAAGATATACGTTTAAACGCTATTGAAATTTATCGACAGTCTATTATTTATCTTCCTTTCTGTTATTGCTGCAACTTTTCATTTCAAATGATTGCAAGGATGATCATTACGCGTTTATCATTATAACGATTATAAAAACATCGTTATCTTATTATCGATATCGTTGTAACTGTTTTTATTAGAATTACGAGTATATTATATGATTCACATTCACCGTATCGTCTTTATCTCCTCTTTATCTTCCATTGAATTATCATGTTTATTGTAACTACTGATCGATCATATTACGTAACTTTGATTTCCGTTCTCTCTTTGTCATATATTCACACGCATTTCCAAGTGCGCGCTCTTAATTTTTCGTTACACATTTAATATTAACGGTTATAGGAAAATGCGAGTGATCAAAGATTTAGCGTGAGCGATGACCGTTACAGGTCGTGAGACGAAAAAGCACGACGAAGAGCATGCATCGACAGGCCATGCATCGAGAGGCTGGGAAAAGAGGGCGGCAAGAAGAGGGAAGGGGGGGGATTGAGGGGAAGAGAAAAAAGTAAAATGCTCGAAAAGAGCGGCATGCTAGTTCGTTTAGCTTAGACCTTATACCTTTAGACCTCAATACTGTATAGCGTCGAGAAGGACGTAAGTAGGCATTTGCTGAGGGTTGGGTAGAAACGCCGGTGGTATGGCTTCTCCCATCAGACCGTTTGTCTGTCAAACCGTAACCGATATGTACCGTTTAATAAAAATACAAAATACACAGACAAAGACGGTCAGGAATCTTATGCTCTAGGATCTATATAAAATGTACGTGTGAGAGGGAAACCCACGAGCATCTAAACGGAGAGAGTCGAAGACGACGTAGAAGTATGAAGAAAAAAAAAACGGTCACGAAAGCGATCGTGATATTATTTTACGTACCGGCATAGGAGAATACTGGTACTGTTGTGGCATGTACAGCGATGGGGCCGGACATGGATACATCACGGGAGCGAACGTTTGATGTCCGGTAGCGGCTTGAGGCCCTGAGCACGAAAATTTGGGTGAAAATTAATAAATTTAGATCTTTACTTTAATACGTTAATAAATTTTTAAATCGCAGGCTGTTGTAAAATAAAGCGATTAGCGTGGCCTACATATTGCATCTAAGATTGTAGATTGCATTTGCAGGAGCGACTCATCTTACAGCAAAATTCGATCTTCCAAATGTTTCGCTCAAATATCATCGATAAACAAAAATTCGTAGAACCTCGTAAGGTTCTGTCGCAACAATTTCTAGAATGTAAGATTACGCAGCCGAGTAACGCTTACCAAACACTCCTGTGGCTTGATAAATCGTTCCTGGGTCCGTAGGTGGAGCGATGGAAGTCGCTGGTGCGGCAGCTGCCGTGTTATAGAATGTCATGCCATTCTGATAAGTGAGACCCATACCTGCACAGGCGAAGGGGGAGAGAAATTAGAAACGCGATCTCTGCACTCTTCAGTACTCGTCCGTGATATTGTTGCGTCAAGTCATATAGATACAAAGTATCTCGAGGCTCCCCCCTGCGTATTGCGATAAGACGGGATGAGCTTCAAATAAATTTTTTAATCTGTGTGTGAACATTCCTGTACGAAAGACGATATCAAGTCGGGGTTATGAATTACGAGTGCGAAAGCAAAAATAAAATTTCAAGTGAAAGAATATTCCGCACACACACAGTAACGTATACAAGTAGTTAAAAACATAAATATTTAAATCATAAATCTAAGATAGCGCATCGCGGGTACAACTAATCGATACTGCAGAGTCCATTGGAAAATATAGAACTTCAAGCAATAAACTGGAAGATTTTTAAATCGTGGTAATGCGACTCGGGTGATCGGAAATCCATAATCAAGAAGAAAAAGATGAAGAGTCGAACATACCGTTCGCGTAATAGTAAGTACTTGTAGGCACGGAAGGAGGCGAACCGGTACTACCGTCGAAGGATCTGGAGAAGGGCTGCTTCTTGATCGCGGGCGCTATGTTGAGCTTCCTCTCTCTCAAGACGATGCAATCAGCCTGGAACAAACGGAGCGGCGGGAGTTGATGAATGAAGGAAACGGACCGGCCTCGATCTCGCTGTCGAGTGTTCGATTGTTTATCGAAGGGACAAATATGATCGGCCATCAGTTTACGAACCTCCTGTTGAAGCCGCTTGGCCTCCTCCTCCGTTTCGAAGGTGACGAAGCCGTAGCCCTTCGACACGCCGGCGCGGTCCGATATAATTTTCGTGGCCTTGACATTGCCGTAGGCCGAGAAAACCTGAGCCAGCTCCGCTTCGCTGGTGCTGGCCGAAATGCCACCTACGAAAACACGGTTCGGTACCAGCGTACCGTATTTCGGCGCAGCCATCGTAAGACTCGCGGCCGAGGCAGGGCTAGAGGCAGGACTAGACCCCTCCGTACCTCCGGTCGAAGCCGAGCTCTGCACAACAAGCAAATCAAGTTCTTCCTTTAATTTGCTATCTCGCGTAGGAAATCACGCGGGTAGCGACATTATCTCCCCATCCCAAGATTTTTTTACCGAGATGGAATTTACTGGCAACAAATCTTTCGTGATCGTCGCGATTTTTGGACGGTTTTTTTTTTTAACGAGCGTCCGGCGCGCAATACGATTTGCTTTTGACAAGTGAAAAACCTGCGAAAAAAAAAAATAAAATAAAATAAGATGAGCTGTCGCGAGAAATGGAAAATGACTTTGGATCTAGTGGATCCTTCAACCACGACTTCTTGCCACTCGCGTGTGTCACTGAACGTTAAAACAAACAAATTAGATGTCTAATCGAAATTAACGCCATTTTATTAACATATTTTATTAATTAACAATTAATTAATTAATTTTATTTTGTTGAATTCGCTATATTCACTCATTTAACTGTTTCATTCTCTAATACACGATAGCTCTTCATGATTTTCCGTTTCACAATCACAGGGAATATCCCGCTCGATAACAGTTTGCCTCTCTTGAAACGCGAATCAATGATAGTGTCGTTCGTGAATCAATGATAGTGTATTCGCGCGCAGACAAAAACAGATAATGAAAGTGAAAAACGCAAGTGCAGGGTACAAATATAGCCGAGCGGTGTTTCTCTCTCTCTCTCTCTGTCTGTCTCACGCCTTCGACCTTGCTTTCCTAACCTCGCAATATTACGAGGTGTCATAATCCCATTAAATCGCCGTCGCAGAGATACATTCGGAAGCGGCGACATCGCTGCCCGACGATTTGTATACATAACATAAACGCCGATCGTTAATTAGCAGCCCGTCGAGGCATGTCTCGCCGAGAGAGCGAGAGGGGCGCGATCGCGAAGCTGCATGAGAAATCCGTATATTTGTGTAGGTATAGTACGGGGGAAAAGGGGCCGAAAGTTTACGCGTATTTCTCCTACACCTCTCGATGTAATTTCACTCGTAATCTCTTTGAACGGAAAAGTCGTTAACGCGATAACTACTCCGGAGGAGAGCTTATACACCCCTATCCTTCTCCCGCGTGTGGAATTAAAAGCGCACACGCGACTTCATCGCATTACGCAGATTAGCGATATACATACGAATTATCATAAGCCGGCTAAGGAACTATCGGAGTTTGTTTTAGCGTTTAGTGATGAGTCACTGCGAGCCTCTGGCGAGCCACTCGCCACAAGCGTAGCGTTCTTCTCTCGCATACGCACCGGCAGAATTTGGATTCAGTTTTTAGACTTGGATTCGTTCGACCGCTGCGCAAAATTTCGCCCGACAATTTCCCTCTCGCCCGATCCCCTACCCGAGCCATTCCGTAAACCGCTACTTAACTTATACTACGTCTGAAAATATCATTTTGCTAACCGTCGTCGCATACCATTTTCAATACCGGCCGGCAACACCTGTATGTATACATTAATAACACGTGTCGATTTCGCGATTGGGGCTCTCACGATTCGCATTCCTCCTCGCTCCTGTGGACTCTCATCGTCACGCTCAAACGTCTTCGAATTAGATTTATTTGTGCATTTACTTAAATCGCAGTTAAGTCACACACGCGTTAATCACGCCAGGCGTCGAGAGTGTATAACGTGGGACGACGTGGCGCGCGCAAGTCACGCGAGACATCTCAAAGAATTTCATTCATTCAATTTATCTGACTGCCGAGGGATTGAAAGAACGTATTCCGGAGGAAGAAGGATACGAGAACGTCAAACGAGTCGGAAAAGTGTCAATTTTCAACGGGACCGACAGGATGTCCGTACAATCCCTCCGTCGGGGGAAACCCAGAGGGAAAGGGAAGACAGCACGGGTCAAAAAACATTCCGCTTTCCGAAGGGAAAGGGAAGCTGTTCGTTCAATGGTCCACGGTCGCCACGCAATAAAACGGAAACGCATGAAAGACTCGTGTGTCAAAGTTACCATTTCAAGTACTCGTGCAAAGATTTCTATTCCGGTAAAGCGATAGAAGTCAGCCGCAGTGTCCGCGTTGCCCGTTTCCATCGCGGCGCATTCCAATCCGATAATCATCCGCTCCTTTACAATCTTTCCACCCTGTGCAACGTTACCCGATAATGCCAATTAAATCGCGCTGTAGAGAAGGAATTTTAACTCGAAAATGCCGATCTCAAAGGGCGACCTTTCACCCGAGGACGTATCTTCTGGACAGATCGCAGGAAAAGGATACGAAATCGCAAGTGTCCCCCGCATTATGTCGAACGCGGGGGGTCACTCCGGATTTTTGTGCGGGCAGGGGGGGAGGGGAGGGGGTCGCGCGACGATGACGATTCACGAGTGACAGATCTCGCGGAGATTCGGCGTGACGCGCGCAGCTGCGTCGCGATCGGCAGTGATCGGAGTTGGCGCCGGAACGAGGAGAACAACGAAGCTACGCGGAGTATCGACTGGCGGCCGGAGGCGGCAACGGCGACAACGACGACGACGACGACACGTCGACGTTCCAGTTAACGCGGAATTTCACGCGGAAGCACGCGGACGGGTTCGCGACGCGGACACGCGCGAGGAGTGGAAGCGGGTGGACTTGACACCGCCGCACCCCTCCCCCTCGCAATCACTCGCTCTCTTTCTCTTCCTCGCGACGACGACGGGCGATGACAGCCAAAAGTGCAAACAAACAAGCAAGCAACCGACCAAACAAGCGAGCAGCACGTACGGCGTGCGTCGTCTCGGCTCCGCCGCGTGGAGCGAGAGGGAGGAGAGCGAGGGGGACGGAGCGCGAGCGGGAGAGAAACAGGTAGCGGCGATCTCAGGTGAGCCGTGAGATCGCTACGCGGTACTCCGGTCATCGAGAACGCCGCGAGGATGGTGTCAACGTGTCTACATCCGCGACAACGGGATCCTGCGCGACGCAATCCGCCGAGGGTCTAACCCTCGCGTATATACGTGCGGCGACCTAAAATTCTGAGTCTCGCCGTGGGGCTCGCGGACCCATTCGTGAACCCCTTCGCTTTGCTCTCTTTCTCTTTCTCGTCGATCTTCCTCTCACCCATCCCCCTCGAAATTGAACCCCGGAAGTCACGGCGTACGTCGTACACACGCGCGACATGCACGCTCCGCGAGCAAGCTAGAGCGGGGACCGTCAGAGAGACGAAATATCGTCTCTTCGAGAAAAGCGAGAACGAGGGGGGGGGGAAAGGGGCAAGGAAAATGGGAGAAGGGGGAGAGTGCTTGGCGCGAACGACGCTTTCGAACGCGCGCGAGGTGCTCCGACAGGTCGCCTCTCGTCGTCGACGTCAACGTCGCCGTCGTCGTCGTCGTCGGCTGACGACACTCGGCGATTCCGCTGCGATTCGTACAGGTTAAAGCGCGGATTCCGGAAGGGAGAGCGCACGCCGGTGTCGATCGAGCGACCGACGACGGTCGCCGTCGACGGAGACGACAACGCTGCGCGACGTCGCGTCGAAGGGACGCGAGAGCGAGAATGAACGGACGGTAGGGAGGGAGGGAGGGAGGGAAGGAGGGAATGCGAGAGCGAGCGAGCGAGCGAGTGAGCGCGCGCGCGCGCGCGCGCTCTCTCTCTCTCTCGCGATAAATATCTAGGCGCTCGCTCGTCGCTACGCTCGCTCTCTTTCTCGGTTCTCCGGCCCAGGGTGTTAACGGGCACTCACCATCTTTCGACGGATTCAGGCGCGCTGGAGGATCCGCTGGCGGCTGTCCCGGCGGCTCGATGGTACCCTGGCCTCGCGCGATAGTCACCTGGACGCCCAGGGACTGCCGAGGACCGTAGCACCGACCACTTCAGCAGCACTTCCAGCCTCCGGCGGAGAAGCTGCCGTCCCGTCCTCGCTGTAAACCTCCAAACACTACGGGGCAGGCAGCTCTTACAAGATGGCGGCCGGCGGTGCAGCGCCGCGTACGCCGAATCCGCGGTACTACTTGCGCGCGCACCTTACCGCGAGTCGGTAATCGGCGTCGTCGTGTCGCCTCCGTCGGTTACGCTACTAAGGCCGCGTTCAGCAATCGTCTTCGCGCATACGGAAATTTTGGAATCTGGAAACATCACATATTTCTCCGATATTCGAATGGAGATATTTAGGGGCGCCCGTTCGAAAGCTCGGATTAAAACGAAACTCCGATTAAATTAATTCTACAATTGATTCGACAGATCAAAATGCTCAGAGCAAAATTAAAGTTTTAATCATACAATTGATCGTTGTTTCTGATTTATTTCTTTTTTTTTATCAAGCGTATTAAAAAATGAAAATCAGTAATTTTATTCTATGTTTATAAAATATTTTATGCAAGTAAATTGTTAGTTAAGTTAACCAGAGTTTGGCTCGAAGTGGCTCTTGGAGATGAATTCAATTAACGTAATTCTGCATTTCTGATTCTTCTAATACTTTTTTTTCCCATATTATATTCCCATTCCCATGTTATATTATTGAACAAGGTACAGAGAACGTTAATAATTTTATCGTAGTTAACAAAATGCGAATTTGTTTTTAATTTACTAGAATAACTGTATAGAAAACTTCATGCGCGAATTATTGACTCGTCCTCCTCTGGCTTGTCTTAAAATCTCAATCTCTCATCCGCGCGTCCTTTTTTTGCACGACGGCCCGAACGCCCGTCTTATATATTGTATACAAAGTATACGAAGTCTAAAATCTTACTTGATTACGGAGATTTTCTATAATAAGAATATAATGACAAACGTTGTCGAGGGAGGAACAAATCGGGCGAGCCACCTCGAACGCGGAATCGTTCTACGGACAAATCTCTCCGGAGTCGCGTCCAACGCGATCGGAGGATGAGGCTCCTGCAAGCGACTTACCGAGATAATCCGCGCGATCCCGACGACGCTCGCCGGCGACCCTCGCGCGGCTGAAGGGAAACTCAAGTAAACACGGAAACACGAAAAATGCGAAAAACTACGAACGAGGAAAAAACCGGAGGACGAAAATGGAACTGGAACTGAAATGAAACCGAACTGAACGCGAGCGCATCGCTCGCCGGAGGGGCGGAGGAGGGGGGAGAGCAGGAGCCGTTGACGCGGAGAGTGGACGGGGAGATGGGAACACCGTGTGAGTTCCGGTCAACGCGACCGTCGCGTCGCGTCGTCGGCGAAATGCGGGGGCGTGAAACCGGCGAGAAAATTCGACGGGGCTGATCGTCTCGCGGGAGGGGCCGATCGTCGCACTGGCGACGCCGATTAAATGATCGCGCGAGTCGCGCGACGCCGTATTGACTAGCGTTGCTCCTGCAAATTGACTGGCGCGAACTTGCTGTTCAAGTGTTTCCCGTGAACGGAAACGAAAAGGAAAACGATGCGTGAATTTTGCGGACAGATGGCGCGTTGAGCTCCTTCCGTGCGCAACTGACACTCTTCCAGGAAAATTTTGATTAAATTTTCGATCGACGAATTAACTTAATTATGAACTTATTATCGACGTGTCAAGCATTTGTTTTCTTTTTTTTAGTACGAATAAAATTACTGATTTCTTGTTGCTTGACGCAGAAGGAACGATTAGAAACTGTCTAAATACAATCAAGCTTTGCCCGTAATTCTATCTATCATTGACGATTTAAGTATTTCACACACGGAAACAGCACTGAAGTCGCGATGGCGACATCTGTCGTTGACTCTATATAAGGTTGAGATACTTATCAACGTTGTTGTCTTAATGCTTTACCGACATTAAATAACTTAAATAATTTAAGTTTCTTCTATATTATTAAAAAAAATTGAATTTAAAAAAACTTTGGAAGTTTGTTATGAATTGTAAATGTATTAATTTATAAATTACATCTTTAACAGCTTTTACTTTTTTACTTTTTATAACTGTTTTTAAAATTTAATAACTTATTCTTTTAACTTTTACTAACTTTTTTTTATAGGAGACATTTAAATATTTTCATTTTGCTTAAATGTCGGATAAATATCTCAGATGTATCAAAATTATATTGTCAATGAAATTAAAATATCGTCTGGATATCAATTACATATCAACACAATATATGAAATAAAAAACAATTATCTATTTTATGCTATTTCTAGTAAATGCAAATATTTCTATAAATGTCGTAAGATATAAAAAAAAATCCCATAAAATATTTACAAAAAAAAATACAGATATACTGTTGGCCTTTAGGTCGATATTCATAATCGTAAATAATTTTCAATTTTTGATTGAGAATGTAATTAATTACAAATTAGATCAAAATATAATTTGGTCAAAGTTCGTATTTCTAGTAAATGTATAAATATATGAAATAAGAAGTAATTAATTATCTATTTTATATGCTATTTCTAGTAAATGCAAATATTTCTTTAAATGTCGTAAAATGTATTAAAAAGGAATCGCATAAAATATTTACAAAAAAAATACAGATATTATACTATTGGTCTTTAGGTCGATATTCATAATCGTAAATAATTTTTGATTGAGAGCGTAATTAATTACAGATTATATCAAAATATAATCTATCAAAAGATTCATATTTCACAGATCTCTGTTTTACAAATCTGTGTTTGAAAACTCTGTTATTATTTACGACAATCTATTATTATTTATCTTTAATTTTTAATTATTAGTTCAAATAATCATAGCTTCATCAAGTCATAATTAATGACAGCTTTTCTGTGAGACATTTTCTTTTAGATGTAGTTATTTAAAAAATATCTATGTACAAAATCTAATCTAATTTATTATAGATGATATTTATTGAAGTACATTAAAAGGAAAGAAAATGATAAAAATAATTTTAAAAATAATGATTAAAATTTACTTCATCAATCTGAGATTGTTAAAGTAATTCGTAAATCAGCGTTTTATAAATTAACAATTATAAATCCTTGTAAAAATAAAATATACATTGACGAATAATAAGACTTATGAAACTGTGATTATTTGTCAAATAATTAATTCGACTATGAATACCGACTTTAGATTTTAGATATTATTCACATTTCAATCAAAACACGTTGCATTCGTTGGCACGTAGACATACGGTCTTGTCTCTTCATTTGAATAGTCCGAGATTTCCTGTGAGATATCAAAATTCTGAAAATTCGGAATAAAAGAACATTTGATATTACATTGTTCACCGCATTTCTTAAAGTTTGATAATAGAGAAATAATACAGGCCAATAGAGAAAAGTTTTCTAGCTGCATTAATCCAAAAATTCGACATAAAAATAAATTATTAAAAATAATTATTTACATTTTAATTATAGATGTTCATAAAAAATTATAATTTAACACATATGTGTGTGTGTCTTCCTATATAAATTACACGTAGAAAGTTAAACCAAAAGTTAAATTAAAAGTTATGTAAGGTAAAAAAAAAAACTGAGTGCGAACTGTTAATTTCGCGCGATAACTTACGTATCTTTTATGCATGGCCAAGCAAAAGGTGCAAACTTGCGGTCTTGTCGAGCAAGTTACCCCGCTACCTTCTAAAAGACGCGTGCATGGTCGATCTATGGCACCCGCGATGAGCATGGCGTCCAAATGGCTAATGTAACTGCTGGCCAATCTTAAGGTCTCTATTTTCGACAGCTTCCGGTCGGCCGGCTCGGTCGGGATCAGAGTTCTCAGGACGCTGAAAGCCGTGTTCACGCTGCACAACGAAGATCGCGTACCTTCAGACCTTCAGACAGTGCACCCGAGTCCTAAATCGCTCTATCAATATCAGGCCTATCGTTCATTATAAACGGAAAAAACATTTCGAAATAAAACGAAAAAAATCCCGCGCGCGAGTAAACACAGGCGCTCTCTCTCTCCCTTGTCGTCTCCGAATCCTTCATCTTCCCCGCGCAACGAGTAGATGCCTCGACAATCCACTCGCACTTGTTCTCGTGCATTTACATGCGTAAACATTCGTGTTTTTTTCTGACGCGAAAAACGCGAGTCGCAGATGCAAAATGCTTTTTCACCTATGAGTGCGATCTCTCTCTCGAGCGTTCGCTTGGTACCGCTGCTTCGTCGGCTCCTCCCTCATGCGTGCCGCCATCGTCCTAGACGCGACTTCTAGAAATGTCTTCCCGTTTTGACCGTTCACAACGACGTTGGCTTCATCAATGAGGCGACCGGCGCAGCCTCTTTCCGTTCCTCCGGAATATGAAATTTCCTCATCTCTAGTGTGTCACGCATACTTAACACCCCCCCCCCCCCCGGTTCCGCTCTCTTTCCTCTCGTTCCTTCTTTCCCTCAGCTATCCGACACGCACATGAGCCGCACATGTGTGCGATCAGGGACGGATAAGGATCCTCTCGCTCTCTTTTTTTTCTCCTCTTCTTCGCTATTGCAATGCGCTAAAATTACGACGAAGAAAAGAAAAAAAATTCAATAATAATAATTTATACATTGCAGACCAAAATAATAAATTATAAAGTACATTTATAAAAATATTATATATCTTAAAAGAGAATAACTACTGTTTGCATTGAAATTCGAGAACATCAAAGTGTGAACGTCGAAGCTATAAATTGAATCTTTGTTACACATTTGATCGCCTCTCACGTGTTGAAATTAAATTTACCATTTACAATGAAATATTGTACATACACGATACGAGCGCTAGAATCCACACAACACGCACTCAACTTCGTCCCTGCCTCCCACACACAACCATACGTCAAATGATGCATTCCAAGTGTGAAGTGGTCGGCGGCTGCGTTTCGCATTAAGCTCAATAAAAATGCGGATGCCCATAGAATAAAGAAGGGCGAAGGGAACTTATTCCATCTGGAAACCTAATTCTGGAAAATTAGCATTTTTTTTCAGTTATAACATATGCTTCCATTCACCCGCGATTTCCCGATTTCGCCCGTTTTTATAACGATTATGCTGCCAAAACGTTAAATCTCCTCGTTTATTCGACCGAACTTTAGCGCTGGGCGACGATATGATCATGCACAATTATTTGAAGGCGCGAGAATAAATTGAAGAGAAACGTGTTGAGCCGTCCTCGAGCTTCGTATGAAATGTTTACTCAATTAAATAACTTGGTTACATCGAATCAGTTACACAGCATAAAATTTACATGTTTCTCAAGTGGTCTTCGTCGATTCATAAGATTATACCTTCATCATTCAATATTGTCGAAGAAACATCACGCAGGATTAGCTAATACAAGACAGAATTGTGTTTTCAATGGATTGAATCATTACTGTTGATAAACCGCACATTATGTTATCGAAGGCCCGCGGTATGCAAAAGGAATTACCTTACAAGGAATATATATATATATAGAAAATATGCACAAATGTCTCATATATTAATTAAAATAATAATGGAACTTATATAGATTAGAAACATTTTATACGACTATGCGGACGATCGAGTAAATCGATGTGGAAGGTTCCTCGAATGGCGAATATAAAATGCTCGAAATAATTCTGCGTCGCGACAAGGTTTACATAAGTAAACGCATACATAGTCACAATTCTACTTATACACATTACAATGTGACATAATACAAAATCAATTAAAACAAGGTAAAAGTTTTGGTGTGTAAAAAAAAACAAAATGTTCCACTCGCTTCGAGACCGTTCGGCTTGCCGCCTCTTTTTTTCCCTCGCTTTTACTTCACGTACTTATCATTTTACTTATGGGAATAAATCTTGTAAAATATATATATTATATATATTTAGTATAATCTATGTATATTATATATTTATAATATATAACCAATATTATATATTATATATTATACATAATTATACAAGTATATATATAATTATATATATTTAATATCATATATTTACTTAATATCTTAAAAATCCATTTTATATATATATATATATATATATATATATATATATTTAAAAATATATGTATATATACACGTATGGAAGAATAAAAAACGCGGTGTAATTTCACCTCGTACAAGCACTTTGGCATGTGTACCACTTAAAATCAAATTAAAGAAGAAAAAAAGCAAGGCCAATCGCGAGGTCGGGCGCGATCGACGAGCGGTGACGTTGATAGCGTAGAGGAGCAATTAACGGTGTAATATCTAAAGAACTTGAAAATAGCTTATATATCAAGCATCTGTATAATCTTTATGTATAAATCTCGATCTCTCTAAAGATGTGCCAGCACCGATGATATAGCGCCGGGGCTAAAATATCTTGTACTATATTTACAGTAGCGAAACAATTACAATTATATTCGCTGCGTATATGTATATATATATATAATTTATCCCTTTGCTTACATCGATCTGAAAGACCATAAAAATAATTTCTGATCTTACATAGATAGATTATAGCGATATCTCGAGTGGATTTTCGGAAATCGTCGGTGCGTCGAAGGAGCGCTCAAACACGTTATATATATATACAATATACACGCGTATATATTTTAATATACGCGGATATATTTATATATAATATATCGTGCCTAAACGATCAAGGTTTTATATATATATTATGTATATATATATCATATATATACAAGGTGTCCCATAAATAATCGTAACAACGCTTAAGGGTAGATTCTTGAAATTATTTTAAAATGAAAATCCCAATACTAAAACGTCGAGGCTGTAGTACTTTTTAAATTATAAGCATTTAAAGTTACGAATTGAACCAGGTACAACGCAAAATGCTAAAAGGCGAGAGCTAACTATCGCCCTACTTTAACGAGTAGATAAGTAGATTATGTTAATACATCTCGATATAAAAATTCTAGTATTCGGATTTTCGTCTTAAAATGATTTCAGGAATCTACCCAACGTTGTTACAGTCTTTACGGAATACTTTGTATATATATATGTTTATATAAATATTGTATATATATATTTATATAAATAGATATATACATATGTATATATATATGTATATAAATATGCTTATTGACGCGATCCACGTGCGGCTTCTTCCAGTGCGCGAACTTTAAGCTCGCGCTCACGCTGTTGTCTAAAAAATACCCTTCGTTAGTCCGGGTACACGTGCTGCCTTAAGTCATATCATAGTTATGCAACATAGTCAGGCAAGCTGTGATAGTGAATTCAAGGGACGAACCTTATGTATTCCTCGTGATGAGCCATGAGAGAATGCGGAGGGAATCGGTCACGATCCAGCATAAGCTGCCGTTGTAATTGTTCGTGGTGCGCTGCCATGTCCGCGTAGGGTCTTCCTAGGAGTTCCGCCGGGTGAAGCGCCAAGGCTGGGTCGCGCGGCATTAAACCGGGACGAGGGTAATTGGCGCCGGCTGCAGCTGTGGGCGAAGGATCATCAAGTGTGTTATGAAAAAAAGGAAAATAAAAAGAGCATGACTAATTCCACATTATTTAATTATCGCGCGTATATACGATATTCATTTTGAAAGAGCACTCGCGCTTAGCGAAAGCTTTATTCTCGTAACTCGTGTAAAGATAGAGAAAACCGCGCGCGCGGAATTTAACAATGGACCCCTTAAGCTACGTCCCAGTAGCAGTTTTAACTTGTCGTCTCCAGGCACACGCACACGCACACTCGCGCCTATTCCTCGACAACACTCACTCGCACTTGCACCTGCGACTGGTGATAAGCGACTAGCCAGAGATCAGAGTCGAGCAACTGGAAAATCGCAGGCGTGCTGACGATTAACGGTGCGGGGAAAGAAAGGATCGTCTTGACCTAGACCTAAGGTAAGTGTAGGTGACGTAGGACGATCAATGAGAAAACACACGGCTGCCGAGCGACGAGGAATAAGCAAGAGCGGCGGTTTTTCTTTTAAAGGAGAAGCTCTTCAGGAAGCTTTAGAAGAAACATCCTGGTTGTGTAGGACCTACCCGGCAGAGGAAATCCAGCCGCAGCCACAGCGGCTTCCTGCTGTTGCTGAGCCTGTTGCTGGGCCTGTTGCTGTCCCGGATGTAAGTGCAAGTGCGTATGCGCATGCGTATGCGCGTGAGTGTGAGCATGATATTCGGGCGAGATGCCAGCCATTTGCAATCGGACCATCGGGTCAGCGGCCAGAGCCAGCCGTTCTTCCAGCTGGCCGTGGTGATGAGCCGCCACGGGATGGCCAGCCGCTCCACCCGCTGGCCCCCCGCCGGCTGCAGTCGGAATCCCTAAACGCGACAGCGCTTCGATCACATAACTCGAAGATCACAGATACGATTCTCATGCCCGATTTCTTCATCTCCAGCTAACCGTCGGAATGAAATTATTTGAGAGAAGAAGGAGCCGCTCCTTTCAAATGTATACCGCTACACACAGTTGTGACAACACAGAGAGCCAAGGTTAGCTATCAGCATGGACAGAGTTAACTGGCGCTGAAGAAATCGACCATTTTTTCTTTAACAATTAATCTACCTACGTCGCATCTCTCAAAGGTCTTGGCGCTCTCGATCTAATTCTTTCTTCCCGGCCTACCCGATTTTTCTATTATATTAGCCTTTCGACTGTATTCTTAAGTCAATTCGAATTTTGAAAGGTACAAGTGTCGTACCGGTCGAACGAATGATAATCAACGAGGTCTCTATCTCTACCGCCGAGATATCAAGTGTTAGCTTTGTCAAAAATTACCTAGCCGCTCGAGTCGCTCCCTCTCGAGTTGACTTGGCCCCGGTGGAGCCCCGTAGAGACCGAACTGATGTAAGGCTTGAGGCGGCCCAGAAGGACCCGGTGCTAGACCGGCGGCAGCGTATCGCCGGTGTATCTCCAACCAGTGCGGATCGACCGGTGGCGCTGGCATCGGTCTAGGCGTGCCCTTGAACAGCTCTTCCTTCAATCGATCGTTCAACTCTCTCTCGCGTAGCTCACGTATCTCGCGTTCCCTCTTCTCGCGCTCCAGGTGCTCCAACTCCAATCGCTGTGCCGCCGCGGCCTCGCGCCCGTAGAGGTAATGCAACATGCTCGGATCGGGCGGGGCTGGATGTCTCGCGGGCGAGAAGGCGGCGTGCGGCCTGGCGTATTCGGACAGTTGCCTGAGTGCCGGAGTGTCCGTGTAGGCACCGGGACGCGCGGCGTAGCGGTCGTAAGGCGAGACGACGGGCTCGAGGGGACCACGGCTGGGCGGTTTACACGTCTCGGGCTGCTTCTCCGGCGTCGTCATCTTTCGGGCCTGCTGTGCCGCAGCGGCAGCGCGATCGCGCTCCTCTCGCTCCCGCTCCGCCTGCTTGCGCGAGCGTTCCTCGCGCTTTCGGGCGAGCTTCGAATCCGGCACGGGCTTGAACATCAGGTCGGTTCGCGTACACGAGTTGTTCTCACCGCGATTCCAGTGCCTCAGGAAGATCGCCGATTGCGACCGGTGACACTCGGAATCTTCGATACGCGGCTCCGGCGATGGTCCACGGGGACTAGCAGACTCTTCCGGTTCCGGATCCATATCTTGCTCGATCTTTGGCTCTGGCACGACCTGCGGTTGCTGCGACTGTGGCGGACGATGATGATGATGCGTGGAACTGGACGACGTCAGGCACGTGGCGGAGACGAGCGACGTTTTGCGCTGGCTGCTGTGCGAGCTGTGCGACGAGGAATGGCTGTGGGAGCTGTGAGAGGAGATAGTCAGCAGCTTGTCGTGATGCAAATTGGATGGCTGCTGATGCATACTGGACGAGTGGTGATGACTCGCGATCAGATTCTCGCCCTCCTCTCTGCTCGCGACGCTCGAGCTGGCGCTGGCGTGATGCGCTGCCATCATGGCGCTGCTGCTCTCTTGGCTACGCTGCGGCGAGGGCGGCGGAATGGCATGAGGCACCGGACCGTAGGGGTATGGCGTGAAGGACGGGTATCCTCCCACCGGCGGATATCCCGGATAAGCGTGGGGGTGATACGGATGCATGGCGGTGAATAGCGAGTGATGCATCAGCGGATGATGCGGATGGAAGGGATGTGCCATGTGCGGGCTCGGTTGTTGCGCGGGATGCATCACTGGCTGCGGGATTGAACTGGGCGGCGGTGGTAGACTCGGCGTCGGCGTCGGCGTGGGCGTCGGCGACGCCGCGACCGGCTGTATCGACGGTACCGACTGACTCGTAGGCGGTACGGAGTGTTTGCTCGGCGTCGGCGGTTTGCTCGTACCGTCCGGATCCTTCTTGATGTTGTCCAGGCTCGGACCGGGAAACGAGGAACTTTGGAAGCCCGGCACCTTGACTTCTTTCAAACTTTGCAGAGGATCCGGTTCGGGTGGTATAATCTCTTGTTTGATCTTCAAATTCTGCGGCTCCATCGGCGGCGTTCCGGCCAGATTGTAGATGCTTACGGGCTTCTCCATCGGCAACATTCCGCCGGACTGTACAATTGGCTGGAACAGATTACTTGGCTCCGACCGTTCCGGTTCGTTGTTCTCGCTCGTCCGCTCCGGAATGCGTTCCGGTACCATGCGGGAGTCGGGTACTCTACTGTCTCGAGTCCGCTCGCTCGCCGACAGTCTATCGTCCGCCATTCTCTCGGCGTTTCTGCTGTCGGACGACATCACGGTTAAGCCGAGTGGCTGCGACGGCGGGCTCGGCATTGGCGGCATCTGGCCGATCGGGCCACCGATACCGGCCGACACGCTCTGCGAAATGTTGAGGTTCAACGGCGGTGGTCCCGTCATGTTCTGCGGCATCGTTTGCGCAGAACTTTGCAAGCTCTCGGCCACGTGGCTACGAAGATTCGTTGGTCCCATATTCTGCGCGTTGGGTGGAACGCTGTTCGGCGCCATTTGCGGTGGTATGCTCTGCGACAGGTTCTGCGGCACGTTTTGCACCGGTAACGGCGGCGGTGGTTGTACGTATTGCATACTCAGACTCGTCGGCAGTCCACCGACGCCAGTGCCACCCTGTTGACCGGGCGATATCACTGGGATTTGCGAATTCGGCATACTTGCCTGCGAGCCTACGCTCGTTATAATACCAGGTATAGCTTGCGACAAATTGCGAGCCGTAACCGCGGAACTGGCATCGCTGGGGCCCGTCCCGACTTGCGCAGACGTGCTCAGATTTAGCTGCGTCGGTTCGGGCTCCTTGCCTATTTCGTCGTTGGACATCGGCGGCGACATCGTCGTCTCGATCTGCATCGGTTCCAACTTCAACGGTTGATTCATAGCTAACGGCACATCTTCCGCCTGGTCCATCATCTTGCTCTGATCCACTGGTTCTTGATCTAGTAAGCCGGATGGCTTCTTCTCCAGACTGTGTATCACTGGTACCGATATCGGCAGGCTCTGTATCACGGCCGGCACTGGGGTGGACGCCGGCGTCGGCTCGGACGGCTCCTCGGGCGTCGTGACGGCCGGACTGCTCACGGGCTCCTCCGCGCCGGTCACACCGGCGACCGTCGGCGGCGTCGGTTGATTCTCGTTTGCGTCACCCTCCGTTTCCCTCTCCGGCTCGTCCATCAGGGAGTTGCTGTCAGTAGTGAGGGATTCGGACGGACTGTCGGGTCGTTCGCCACCGCCGCGCTTCCGCTTCTGCGCGTCCTTGTCCTCGTCGTTACAGGCGTCGTCCACCTGACTCGAACGTTTCTGACCCTTCTTGGGCGTGTCCGCTTTGCCGGATGACTTCTTCTTGCTCTTGTCCGGCGTTTGCTGCTGCTGCTGCTGCTGCTTCTCCTGATCGGGCGTATCCGTGCCACCAGTTCGTCGCGGTCTCGCTGGTCTCGGTGTCTCCTTGGCCTTGTTACGCGTGCGCATCCTACCGGGGCTCTCAGGCGATTCCGCCGGCACCGGGCGGAACAGATAAGGCGGCGCGGGCGGTAATTCCCCGGTCTTTTTCAGATGCGAACGACATTCTGCACAGAGTAACAATCGATCCTTGCCGGCTACCTGATAGTCCTTCGAGCTAGTGGAGAAGCAGTGCTGGCACGAGTGCGCCGCGCCGTTCGTGTTGGTGTCGCGCGAATCGCTGTCCTCCTCCGAATTATCGTCCTCGGTCACGGAACTGATCTCACCGCCGGGATTGTGGCTGGCCGGAGTGCCGACCGGCACGGTCTCAGCCTCGGACGCGGCTTCCTTCGCACTAATGTTGGCCGATGGCTGCGCGTCCTTGGTTGGCGTGGGTACCTCCTCTTTAGGTGTGCCGGCGCGTGAGTTGCGCGTATTGCGGATTCGCCGCAGCGAGCTCTGCCTGCGTCGCCGGTGTGGTCGATTGTTATTTGCGCCTGGCGTCTTTTTCCATAGGTAATAGAATTCAACGAGCTCCGGCTGTGCAGAAATCAGAGACAAATAGGTACACAAAAGTGGACACTTCTGTATGTCGTAAAACTTTCTCTTAGCGTGACGAAAGCTGTTGAATACAAAGGTTTCTACGTGTTTGTCGTCTAAATACAAAAAATATCAATTACTTGTATAAAGTAATTGATATTTTTTTCATTAATTACAATAGTCTAGTTGCTTTCTGATATTAAAAAGTGTTGCATTGTTAATTTTATTTCAAATAAAAATTACGAACTTTTAGAACAAGAAATTTTGGCAGTAATTTAACAGTGTACATTTTAGTTATACATAGGTCACGCTAAAAGTTTTCGTAAAAGTATATAAATGGCAAATAATATTTTCATCTCATCGTTTTTCAAAGTATTTGTTATTATAATCTGTGCATTATTGCATTCGATGATATAAATTATTGACCAGCGGGATCCTTTCACACTGCAGTTCAAACTACTATATTCTTAACTCGAGCATACAATTAATGAGTCATTCGCCCTACAGACCCGACTTAGCACAGCGTGACTTCTTTCTGTTTACAATCAAGAGTAAAATATGTGGATTGACTTTCAAAACAGTCGAAGAAGTGATATAAACAATCGATGCCTGTGATGTCTTTAGAACAGTTAATGCTTCAACAGTTGGTTCCACGAATAAAAGTTCCTAAATTATTGAGAATACATTTATATTATTTTATAATTTTATAAAATACTTTTATAATTTTTAAAAAATGTTCAAATTAATCTACATATTTTCTGTAGTTGTTAATTTTCTTTTTTCTAATCTCAAGTTTGTTTAATTGCATTAATTTAAATATAAAAGAGAAAAAACAAGAAACGCAAACAGAATTTGAAAAAATCAAATTTATAGGATACTTAACAGGTAGGTAAAAGCAAATCGATAATAAATAATGAAATCTTTACCGTGTCCTTGTGAGGCAGAAGATCCTTCCTAATGCGCGCGAAATTCTTTCCGAACTGCCGTAGACCCTTGACAAATCGCTTCTGCGGGGAACAACGAAAAGGACGAAAATTCGTTCGTTAGAAAACTTTCTCTTGCGGTCAGTAAACCCATGTAATGTTGTCAATAAAAGAACGAAGTGGCACGTACAGTTTCGTCCTCGGACCACTTCTTGTCGACGCTTTTCGGTATGGGACATTTGACGAGTGCCTGGAGCGCCCTACCGGGATCATAGCCAGAATTGTGCAGGGTGTCCAATGCGTTGATGGTAGTGTCGTCTCGGGAGGCGGCCACGCAACCATCATCTGGAGAACCGCCGTCACACATACCGGCGAACGCGGCCATTGAACGGGCCGCCCTCAAGTACATGAGCAGATCCCCGTCCAACGCCATGGCCGGTATCCATTTTAGCTCCTCGCGCTCCTTGGAGAATTCTGGATCGGGTGGCAGCTCTCCGGGGGGTATACCCGGCCGATACTCAGGCAAACGGGCCTGACAAGAAACCAACTCCTGTAAATCCCAAAATTCGGGATTGCGCGCGGTTAGCACCGATGATGCCAAAGCGAGTTAGTTAAATGTGACACGCCGGCTTGCCTTCTCAACAACACGGGCTAACTTCCACAAACACTAGACCCTCTCTTTAAAGGGACAAGTCAAACGTCCCACCCCTCCCCCCTTTCTTTTTCGTTTTTTAAATTCTTTTCGCAGGAAGGCACCGATAATGCAGCTATATATATATATATATTTTTCTTTTGGTCGACTTCCTTTTTTTCAGTATCTATCATGCGAACAGAAATTGCGTTTACTTTATGTAATCCCCCTTTTTCTTTTGTTTATAAAGATGCACGCGAGACACACATTCGCAAGCAAGCGCGCGCAACTTCGTTAACGCGATATAATCGGCCAAACCGATGGATGATTACGCGCGTTAAAAATAGAAGTTACATATCACGGGTACATAAGTTGCGTAATGTATCGTTTTACAGAGTCATGATCCGCGGCGTGTATGTGTGTTGATGAGTGTTTGCAAAACGTAACGCAAAACCAAGAGGAGGGACACAAAAAAAAAAGGCGAATGTACAGGCTGCCGATTTTAAATCTCAAGATGCAAAACGCGGAGAATGAAAACAAAAGCGTCGCATCTTCGCACGTTTGACGATCTTCATTGATATCGCCTCGAGTGTATATATCTCTCGTATGTGCGGGATATCCTGCGCGTTAAGGAGCGTTACGAAGTGAAAGGTGACTTCGTCGATCTATCTCGGGACAGTCCGTACAAGCGCTCGTGCTCACAGATGGTTCAAGTAAGCAATCGCGAATAATTGTTGTATGCCACAACAGGTATGAAAATAGTGAGCGAAGACGAGTTGAATGCGCCCTTTAATTCGTTATCATCAATTGATTATTTTCACCGTGACTGAACACCACTCCAAATTAAGAAAGCGTCATCTCATGCCAAGTAAACTGCGATTAAAAACCACCTTAAGTGCATCGGCTCCCAAGTATGTATGTATTTTTCACGCACCGCGCGTTGTCGCTCGCAAAGAAAGGCTTTTTTCCACCGGCTAATTCACAGACTCAGCCGTGAGTATGCAAGTACTCGGCGATCTCGTTCGTGTGATACAACAAGTATCGCGGGAGAGCTTAACGAATACATTTCATGTATCGCAGACGCGACAGTGGGTCTACACCTGAAACATTCGAAGCTCTCTTTAATGCGTGATGCGTTAGTTGAACCATCGGATGGGAACCGGAATGCGTTGAGAGTCCAATCTTATCTCCTCGTAATAATTTTCAAAAGTTTTAAAAGTTTTTACATAAAACTGCCACTTTAAACGTGTCGATGTGTCTTTCGCGGCTTGAAATGTCCTCCCCCTCCCCCCCCCCCCACGATTAGCATAAGATATCTCCCCTCGCGAGGTATCCTCGGATTTTACATTAAACACGTGATATTTTATTTTTACTGTCGCAGGCAATATTCCGGCGTTAGCGTGCGATGCGAAAGAAATGGAGAAGAGTTTTTCTGCGCGGAGTCTCGTATACATATGCCGATCCCGGGGCACCTTATCGGTCTCATTGTTGAGAAACTTCATGACTGATCCGCATACTTCATACGTTACAGATTAGATTACACACGTATATATTTACGTAATGCTCCTCCGCAGGAGTATACACTTTTCGATTCCGCATTACTTTTCAAGCTATCCGTACGCGCGTACGTGTAGATATCTGCTTAAACGTGTGTATGTACGTAAGTATACACGCGCGAACGTGCAGATCTTTTTTTACAATGATCTTTTTTTTTTATACATTTATCTGATTCATTGTTGTAAAGAGCGTGTGAAGATCCCCATAACTTTTCGTATTTTCTTTCCTCAAGAGACAATCTATGTATATATTATCCTTGAAAGACAAATATACATTATGCCTGATGCGGTAAGAAATGCAATACTTGTAAATGCGCGAACATCTCTTCTCGTAATTGTATATTACATTTTCAAAATAGCCAGTTTTTTTTTTATTCGCCAATCGCTTAATCAGACATTGGAATATGCAGATTGACATGTGTGTTTTTTCGACGAAACTATTACAAGTGCTTCTCGCAACAAGAAACTTTATCACCGCAAAAATTCAAACGTTATTCAGGACAGCGCGCACAAGGACTTTCTTTGTCCGCAAACATAGAATTGTAACGATTACATACGTATAAATAAGTCATTGCATAACGATGATCGATTAATACGGGGAGGATGACAATTCGAGAGATCTCGTCCACACACGCCCCTTACCTTGCAAACAAAACGTTTATACTAGAGTAGCGCAAGCCTCGAGATAGGCACATTGTGCAAGACAGTTAATTAGCAAGAAAGTTTTTCAAGATATGTATGGCAAACCTGATGAGAAGGGCCAACCCGAATCTCGCCCTGGGTGCCAGCAGACATCTCCCCCTCCTCCGAAGCTCCTCCGTCTTTCTCCAGCGTTTTGAATGGCTTTGATCTTGGATTTTCAGTAAATTCCTATCATCCACCCCCTGAACCGTATAGTTATGCCATCAATATGATTGAAAGACGATTTGGCGAAAAAAATATTATACTGCTAACATGCTCGGCCTCGTCTTTATACAAAAAAAGAAGATAAGAAAAACTACATGTATGCATTGGCGCCTTATTTACAGAGATAATGTAAACGGAACCGCTAAAACTCTGATAATTTTCTACAGCCTTAGTGTTAAACCTAGCGTATTTGCATAATACTGATTTGCGCGGTATCAAATGAAAACATACACGAAAGCATCGTTTAAGAAAAAAAAAAAAAAAGTCACGCTCGTATCTACTACAAATGTATTGACTGTTGACAAGTACATACATCCTCCGGAGATATCAATAAAATTTCAATATAAAAATTGCAAATACACATAAATATTAGTTTCAGATATGCCTCAAATCAAATAATTAATGTCTCCTGATGCAAAGCAAATACAAGATAATTATCCCAACCCAATCCCTTTAAAGCTCTACAAAGTGAAATAAACATATAAAAAATAAATCGCGATATTTTTTTTTTTACATCACCAATAAAGTAACTCACAAAATATCCAGTCTGTGTAATCTGTTAATATATATAATTCAAAGTATTTTAATACATACGTTTCATTATATTTCTCTCTCTCACTCTCTCTCTCTCTCTTTCACACACATATGCTCTTTCTCTCTTTCTCTCTCTCTCTCTCTCTTGTTCAAAGTGGTCTTGAGTCACGGTGAAAGCGGCAAACAGGCTAATTAACAAGCGCACAAGCTCGAGCGCCTTCAACGAGGTGGACGATCGCGACGGTCAAAGTCGTGATTCTCGATCGCGGAATTCGAATTCCCGTGGCGGAGGCGTACAGTATATACATAATTACCTCGCGGTGCGTCGCGTAAACGAGCGAGCGCGCGCGCGCGCGCGCGCACACGCGCGCACGCACGCACGCACGCTCGCGAAATATTGTCACGCGCGATCGAGATCGGATCGACTCGACGCGATTGTCGCGTCGCGTCCGCACTGGGCGCTGCGCTGCTGGGGTCCCCGCGCGTCAGCCGCGGGATTATCCGGGATCGACCGCGCACAACTCACTCACCCACTCACCCGCTGCTGCTCGTCCCCGCGCTCACGGCGGCGGCGGCGGCGGCTCCTCTCTCTCTCTCTCAGCGACGTGCACGCGTCATCGTTTTCCCCGAGGACGGATCGCGCCTCCTCACGCAATCTCACGCGCTCCGTGTGATCGCACCGCACCGCACCGCAGGGCGGCCTGCGCGCGCGCGCGCACGCTCGCTCGCTCGCGTGCACGGCCGACGGGTGCGCGGGCACGACCGGTGCACGACCTCCAGCGGCGAGGAACGGGGCCCGCGCGCGACGGAGGAGGCGGCGGCGGCGGCGACGACGACGACGGCGGCGACGGGCTGCCGCGATTCCTGCCAGGTCCCTCTCCTGCGCCGAACTTCAGTATCCACAACACCCAAACGCGGCGGCCATAGTGCGGCGCACGGTAGCGACGCGACCGGCCGTACTCGCGAAGCGGCGACTTCGAGTGTGTACTTCGACTTCGACTCCGATCTGCTCCGACCTCGAGCAACAATAATGCCAACGATCGAGCATGCCCACGCTCCGCGTATTGTTGCCTCCCTTCGGTTTTGCGAGCGCACGCGACGCGTTCACGTATAGGACGATTCGCTCGACTTACTTTTTTTTATCTTCGCTTATCCGTTCTTATTTGATTTTCCGGAAATTTTTGTGTCGATACGTGAGGGTGTAACGCAAGCCGACGTGTCGACCAATGAAACGCGTGGCATAGGACGCCAAATTCAGTCCGTTCGTGCCATTTGCACTTTTGCAATCAGAAAGTCTCTTCGTGCACTTATTGTTCTCTTTGTTTTCTCTCTCTCTAACGCCCGAATATTAAAATTTTTGAAAGTTTCAATCAATACAAACGAATGTATTGAAAGAAGAAAAATTGTGGATATACCGTGATCCATTTGACAAATGGACAAAAGCTACGGGCGACAGCCAATCACCGTCTACGGCTGTGGACAGAAAGAAATATTGACGAGTTTCCTCGCGCATGCGCGGCGACGACGGTGCGTCAGTGCCGGATGCCGCGATTGGCGCGGAAAATTCGACGGGCAAGGAAAATGTGGGCAGGCGGATTAAATCTTTTTCCCAGATAACTTAATTTTAACGTGTCGTTGACAATTGATATTTATGCCCATATTCACGCGATCAGATTCTGTTCCGTATCTCGGCGTCGTCGAGAAACGAGCGACCTAAAAGACTTTCAAAGACTTTCCGGAAGATTTCGGAAGGCGACCGGACCGGTTTGTTTTTTCTTTTTTTTTTTTTTTTTCACCGGTACTACGCATCTCGTCGACGACCGCGTGCGAGGCGCGCACGCGCGGCGAACTCGACCCTCCGCGCCTCCGCCCTCGCCGGTTCCAACACACCGACAATCCGCGTCGCGTACATGTTATGACGTTTCTGGACGCGCGGCCGGACGTTACGACGACGACGTGGAGAGCCGACTTCCCCCCGAGCCACGCAATTTTTCACGACACCTCGCGCGGACGTTCGCCTACCCGGATAAGGTGTAGAGGCCTCTAAAACGCAAACATGGCAGAGAGAGAGAAGGAGAGAGAGAGAACCGCAATCGTGTTGCTCGTCGATGGATCGGAGGAAATGGAGGCCGTGATAACTGTTGACGTCTTACGGCGCGCCGGGGTACGTCACCTACAGAGCGATCGATAATCCCCAGTCTCGTGACACTCGGCATGAAATGAACCGTACGACACATGTATATATGACACCTAATTTTTTTTTTTTTTTTGTTAATTATAACGCTCTGAGAAGGGATACTCCACATTTCATCACCTGACAGTTCGTCGGGGGGATCTTTATTTTTGAATGACGCTCCGAGAGGCGATCAATAATCCCTCACTCTCATGGTATCCCCTTCGCAGGAATTAAACTACAAGATGTATTATACAATGCATGTGTGTGTGTGTGTACGCGCGCACGTGTATGTGTATGTATGTATGTATGGGTGTGTGTGTGTGTTGTGTGTGTATTGTGTGATGTGTATCGCACTGCACTTGATGCGAGACACTCTTGATACATAATTTTTAATCAATTTTCTCTTGAAAAATTTTCGCATTTTATTTTTTTGCAATTATTTTAAATTATTTTTACATATTTCTTACAATTAAGAAATCTTTTGATTATATGTTATATTAATTATTATATATACTATATAATGTCTAATAGATTATATATAATACTATATAAAAGATTCATGTCTCATGAATTTACAAGTGCTGAGAGAACAATGATATTTGTTAATCAAACTATTTACTAATTAACGTATTAAAATGAAGAATGAATGTATTGAAATATGATTGGATAGGTCGCAGTCACCATAGCCGGGGTATGGGACGGCAGCTGTGTCAAGTGTAGCCGCAACGTTAAAATCTGCACGGATGCTATGTTCACTGATGCCGTGGATAAGAATTACGATATCGTTGTATTGCCTGGCGGCCTCAACGGATCCAAGGCGTTCGCGTCTGTAAGTCTTTATTCAATTGGCATTGTCTGATTTTGCTGTGATATATATATAAAATTATGCTAGATAACTGTACATAAAATTTGTCTCGTTAGTCGGTGGAGGTTGGCGAGCTGTTGCAAAAGCAGGACAAGGAGAACAAATTGATAGCGGCTATCTGCGCGGCCCCCACAGCTCTAAAAACACATAATATCGGCAAAGGAAAACGAATCACGTCGTATCCGTCATTAAAAAATGACCTGTGCAACTACTATGAATATTCGGACGAGACTGTAGTGATTGACGGTAATAATTTGCTTGCTACAATGCTTTGTCGAGTATCGACCATCTCATGTCGGATTGATAAGCAATCTCCAAGAATTTAGACTTACAAGTTTCAATTGGCACTGATATCGAAAATATTTTTACAGGCAATCTCATAACGAGCCGCGGACCAGCGACGGCGTTCGATTTCAGCCTAGCCATCGTTGAGACCTTACTCGGCAAGGAGAAAGCCCAAACGGTTGCGAAAGGGTTGCTATACGAAAACTACAAAAGCTACACATAAAACTCTCCAAACTCTCGCTTTATAGCTGTGGCTATGAAGTTTCCCGGTGTATAAGTTTGATGTATTCGGTGTGTTTGATTTTAGACAAAGATTCATATACCCTTTAAAAAAAAAAAAAATATTCTCTAAACGCACACATGCAAGAATGTAGTTATTATATAAAGAAATTATATACATGTGTAACGTGGAATTGAAATTCATATATGTACCAAAGCGTGGGAACTTAAAATGATGTGTGTACTAAAAATATATATTTAAGTACGTACCGAGGGGGAACGCGTAAAGATTACGGGGTAATATATACACGCGCCGTAAAGTGTGGAGGACAAATTATAATTAATATATACGTATACCGAGACACGGAGGGCGACAAGAGATACAATTTTAATTATACGTGAAAAACGTTGATGCGTGTTAAATGGAACTAATATATCTATAAGAAGTGAATAAAGAATTGTGTTATTTTCATCAATCTCGCGATTTATACTTAATTCTTTAATAATCCGGAAAGGAGACGAGAGAGAGAGAGAGAGAGAGAACAAAGGGCGTCGGGAATGGGCTGCAGGAAGCGCGCGGCCGTACCGAGCGGGAAGCTTAACGATCCTCCGCCCAACGGAGGACTACTCTCGACAAAACCGCATCCGTTCCCGTTATCCCTCCGGTGTCCCTTCGACGCGTCGCGCGCTCGGCGACGCGCTGACGGATTCCCGGCGGCTCGAACGGCGCGTAAATAAATATCGCGGACACGATGAGGGACGATTAGCGCGTGCCGTGGGGCGCGTCTAGTGATGCCCGGTTTAGAGGGAAGTATTTCGCACGACACGAGTCCACCTCCCACGCGCGCCCTAATGTCCGATGGGGATCATGTGGTGCCCGAGCAAGTGAAAAGGTTCGTCTTCAGAGCGCGGAAGACGCAGGGCTGCGCGCAAGGCGACGAGCGCGAGGAGAGCCTGGAGATCCTCATACCCGAGGTGAGCGAGAGAGAGAGAGGACGGGGCTAAAAACCCGGGCACAGCCGCCCGTATTTCCGGCGCGCGCGAGCTACCGGTGTTACGTGTGCCTCTTAGGTTAGGACGCTCCTGCCCGTGAAAAACAATTTTTCGTCGACTCCCAAGTTGTCTCCGGGGAATTTTCACGGAATTTTCTCTTTGTCCACTTGCTCGATTCGTTTTTTTTTTTTTTTTGAAGTCTCGGTTTGTAAAATTTTTCGTCGCGAGTCCGTAACAAACATAACATTATTTTCCGCTGGCGATTGTTAAACCGTTAATGTACGAAGAAACAGTTCGCTATCGTCTACAATTTTGCATCTTTTCGGAAATTGTTATTCTTACGCCGTTACAAGATTTGGAGTCTTTTTCGCAAAATCATTGTTACGTAACCTGCAAATAGGGAGTCTCGGCAGTTTCGATCTCAGGACTGAAGTCCAGGCGATTTTCAGTGAATACATTCTGGCTCAGATATCCGCCGATCGACTGATTGCTAACCGGTGTGATTGTTGGTTGCAGTTGCTGCAGGCTAATTACAGCTTCTACACCTGGCCCTGCGCGCCTGTGCTCGCCTGGTACCTCTGGGAGCACCGGGAGAACCTGGTCGGCAAGCGGGTGCTGGAGATCGGGGCCGGCACTTCGCTGCCCGGCATTCTCGCCAGCAAGTGCGGCGCGATCGTGACCCTGAGCGACTCGGCGAATCAGCCGAGGACGCTGCAGCACATCAGGAGGTGTTGCGAGTTGAACGGGATCGCGGAGCAGGTCCAGATCGCCGGCGTCACCTGGGGCTTCTTCCTGTCCAGCCTGTTCTCGCTCGGGCAGCTCGACCTGATCATCGGCTCGGACTGCTTCTACGAGCCCACCGTGTTCGAGGACGTAGTGGTCACCGTGGCGTTTCTACTGGAGAAGAATCCCTGCGCGAGATTCCTCTGCACCTACCAGGAGCGCAGCGCCGACTGGTCTATCGAGCATCTGCTGAACAAGTGGGGACTGTCGTGCGTGCACATAGCGCTGGACAGTCTCGGCACGAATTCCGACGTTAATCTGCACGAATTGATGCAGGATCATACGATACATTTGTTGGATATACAACGAGCGGGGTGAGTCCGAATCGATCTCCCTCCTACCATGAATGCCAATGTTGTCAGACGGCCCTTGATTTACGTCGCCAACATTCCCTGGACGGTGAGTCGTCACGAGCTGAGCCTGTACTTCTCTCAATTCGGCGCCGTGCAAGATGCCTTTGTAGCGTTTGACAATCTGACCGGTCTCCATCAGGGCTACGGGCACGTGAGATTCTTGAAAAGAGAGGATGCGGACAACGTGTTCGGTCGTAAGCATTCTTTGGAAGGGAATGATTTAGTCTTGTCCAGGGATTAGAATACAATCGATAAAAGAACAATAACGTTTAATCTCGAAGACATACGCGAGTGTCCGAAACGAGAACGATGGCCGAGAGCGATTTGGAGAGCGAGTCCTTGACCGATCTAGAGGAGACCTTCGACAGGGCTAGCAAATATCTGCAGACGTCGGTGTCGGAATTAGATTCAGGTCAGCTGCTTGCGCTCTACGGTCTGTACAAACAGGCGACCGTGGGCCCGTGCGACATCCCGAGGCCCAACTGGTATCAGGTGCAGGCCAAGCACAAGTGGGAGGCATGGAAGAATCTCGGTGACATGAGCCGCGAGACCGCGATGGCGAATTACATCAACGGGATCGAGAGGATAAACCCGTTGTGGGAGGGGGAGGAGGCGAAAGCCGAGACATCAAAATGGTTCGTCTTCAGCAAGTTGTCGTACGACAGCGTGAAACTGAACGACGAGGACAAGACGTTCCTGGATTGGATCAAGGAGGGCAACGAGGCGAAGGTGCGAGAATTTGTGAGCGGCGAGCCCGCGCTCGTCAACACGCCCGACGAGGAGGGCATGCATCCCATACACTGGGCCGCGGACCGCGGCTACCTCGGGATCCTGGATTGCTTGATTAAGAACGGCGCGAATGTAAACTCGCGGGATCAGTACGGGCAGACGGCCCTACACTACGTGGTAAGTTGCGATCACGTGGACGTGGTCAAGTACTTGCTCTCGATCGGAGCTCAGTCGAATATACCGGATAACGATGGTGTGACGCCCAAAGAAATCGCGAACGAGCAGATCGCAGCTCTTTTATAAATGCCACACACATGCTGTATGTACACAAGCACTCACTGCGTTTACAATTGTTAATTCTGTTTGCATATATAAATAAATCCAGATATACCGATAATCTCACATGGAAGTCAGTGAGGTGACCTTATTTTATATATTACATTAATCTCCACTCGTCCATTCTAATAGAGTAAATCTTTATTTATGTACAAATAAAACTCCTTTAATAGTCCATTACATTCACAGCCTAAGCACACCTTAGGTAAATGCGTGATTTGTCATTAGCTAGATTTTTATAATAAGGATATAATTCACTCGCTGCCTAATTAACATTATGAGCGGTTTACCAATTGCAAAATAAGCTCACGGAAAATTTGTGGAGAATGCAAGGTTTGTTATTATCGTATTAGCAACAATATAAAGCAAATCTAATGACAAAAAACGATGTCAGCTCTCGTAATTATATAATTTAGAGATCTACTTTGCCAATTGATTTATACTCTCATAAACTCTATTTCTTGCAATTTCATAAAATATAATCATTGTTAACGTATGATATCTATATTTTTTCCATAATTAAATGGATGTTCAATAATACTGTATTTTATTTTTTTTTTAACGGATAACTATATATATTGCAATCGTAAAAATTTTAGTGATTCATTGCACGAAATTTAAGAAAAAAAAAAAAAACTTAACAAATATATATACTTCGAATTATTTTCGAATCTTCAATTTTTTAATATCAAAACATGTATATATAATATATATATATATTTAAGTATAAGTAATGAATGTTAACCATTACTAATTTTTTTAAATTTGACAAATCTAGCATTCTCTATGAAACAAAATACAATAAACTCGAGATCTTTTGCCCGTGTTACAAAGCAAATTTTGTTTAAATACTTGGCGGAAAACTCCAGAAAAATTAAATTCAAAGACCATTTGCGCAATCAATTGGTTGCTGAGAATTAAAAATTTACTTATATATTAAAAAAAAATCAAATTAAAATTTAATGATCTTATTAATATTGTATGGTGATATTTATATGATTGACAAATCTCTTTCGTAGATATACGTGTATATGACATATATGCACATGTAACTTTTCGGTCTTAATCTGATAACTCAGGATCACGAGTTCATTGCATGAAAACGTACCGTGATTTAAACATATAAAAATTAATGTTTAACTATATTAAAAGTCCTCTCGAATCTTAGGTATTAACAATATTCAGCGACGCGTGTCAAATCGGTCGAATATAAAGCGCGGATACGTTCATTTTTTTCCAGCGTTTTACAACGATTAACAATCTTCACTAATAAATATCACCCGTTGAATCAATTCCAACATACTGATCGTGTCGGCCGTATCATCTCGTACATCAATTCGTTTTTCTCTCAATGGACGTATCGATTGCAAAATTCGTTTGTGTTGTAAGCGCTAATGCTGTCATTTAACGTTTCGCGGGTCAGAGTCTCAATCCTGTATATTTTTACTATTAAAGCGCACCGAGACCTTGTGCGCTTGTTGAATGCTCACAATGGAAATGCGAAGTGTTCTTACTCTTAGAATTCGTTTCTCCTTATTCGCAATAAGTATAAAAGTCGAATAGGCTGCAAAAATATTACGATCGATCACGAAATTAGATATGTTACCTAAAACGGTTTGGAAACGACACACACACACATACACACACGCGGCGTGCTAATAGCTGCCGAATGGAAAACGCCTTTGAAACGGTCCAAATGCATACTCGAGTACATCTCTTTCTCTCTCTCTCTCTCTCTCTCTCTCGTTTTTCGTACAATGGCAATTGTCAGAATGCTCTTCTAAGAATTATTCGTCGGGATATAATAAGAAGTCGTATAAATAGGGAGATCACGGAAAAAAAATAGAGTAATTCTGTATCCAAGAATCTTATATCAAATCCTACGAAATACACTCGCCTCGTTTTCGATCATCGACGAACGAACGTCGATTGTTCCTTATTACGCTTCTTCACTCGATCGAGAATCGAATTTCTATTTTTTTCTTTTTTTTTTTTAAATACAATCCTTATCCACCTAAGACTTCATTGGCGACATATTGTCATGTGTCGAACTGCAGAGTGTCCGAAATACGGAGTCCTCGAATGCGGAGATAAATCGGTGAATCCCAATTCAAGATCGCGAGTGCCGCTTGCCTCGTGTCGCGCTTCGCTAGAGATTGGTGCTCTCATGATCCGACTTAGGCCGTACGGTGGGCGGCGGCGGCGGCGGCGGCTGCGGCCTCGGCGGCCGCTGGTGCACCCTCGGCGAGGCCGGCTTCTGCTGCGGCGACTTGAGCACCGTCACCACCGTGTTGGTCTGCGTTTGGACGTCTATGATATTGCCTTCCGACCTGGTGCGCGCGTGCGCCTTCGCTTGCTCGTGCGGCACGTCCGGCCGCTCGGGCTTGTCCGAGCGCTCGGCGCCGTACAACGACATCGACGACGGCCTGCTGCCCACGCTCGGGCTTCTCTGCAAGTTCGAAGTTGCCGTGTTGCCAGTGCACTCGCCCGGGACGACGTTGTTCCCCCCACGCACTTGTATTATACTGACCTGCTGTTTGTCAACGGAATACACGTGAGCCCGTTCCAGTGTTAAAGGCTGTAGACGATTTGAGAAAAAGAAGAGAGGACTTTAATTTCGTAAGATTACTACATCACGGCGGTACGTAATAAGAGAAGGCGAATAGAAAGCGAGTATGCACGCGTGAGAAAGCTTCAGATCAGACGGTGCGCAGCTTTTTACATCACATGTACACGAGTAGCTTACGTTATCTCAAAATGTAATATCCAGGCAGTGTTATTTGTTGTCCACCCGTAGTAACTACATTTATAAATAATTATCATGTATGTACACAGATGAAACTTTAGCCACATCAATCGTTTTTACTCACCCCCGGATCGTTCTCTTGATTCTCGTTATTAGTGGAGCGTGGCTGTTGCCTGATGAGACTCGACGGACGAACCAAGCCGGGCGGTCGCTCAGGTATCGCCGGTTTACTGCTTCTGTCATTCGGTATCGCATGCGCATTACTCTCCGGCTTTTTACGCAACTCGACCACCTCTTCTGCTACAATTAAACACAGATATTGACACCATAATCAAGTGGAAAAAAAAAAAAAATTAACGCATCAAAATAATATTCTTAAAAAAATATTTCACCTGTGTTGTGCACAATATTCGTTATACTTCTCGGTGCTGCGACCGGTCTTCTCCTTTCCAACGTGGATGGCTTCTCGATAGGCACTGGTTTCGGTCTCTGCGCTATAGTCTCGTTATGCTCCATCTCCGTGATTATTTTAGCGACACTCGTACTATCGGACGAGTTTCCATTTGGTTTCTCCTTCGCACTCGGTAAATTTACTTTCGCATCGCACTTCTGCGACTCTTGGACACTTTTGTCCGCTTCATTGTAATTGAAGACTTCACTTTGGTGAACGACGACTGTTTCCTGCGACTGTTCGGGATTATCGGCAGGCTGAACATCCGCCGGGATCAATTCCGCGACCGGCTGCGCTTTCGCGTCCGTCTCCGAATGCTTCTCCGCGTGTTTCTCGACGTATTTATCCACGTTGCTGTCGTGTCGTATCAACTCGGTATTCACCTCGTGCTTCTGACTCTTATACGTAGATCGATTCAGGGTAGACGTCAAGACTCTCGGTGGCTTGTCCGGCGTCGGTGGCGGTTTGTCGTGCCGATCCGGGGTGGTGCCGCTCGGCGGCGTCGGCGCAGGTTTATTCTTCCGACGTGCCGCTGGTTTCGGGCTGCCCTGCGTCGGGCTCTCGCCGTGATCGCTGAGGCTGCTGTTGGACACGCAACGGCGCATACCGACGGCGTGGTGCTCCGTATCGTTCACGATGCCGATCTCTAGATCGCGATCGAAATCCACTTCGCCAGGGAAGAACCAATCCGCGTACGTAACTAATTGGTCTACTATAAGACTAGAGTTGTTCGCTGTACTCATGTTCATCCTGCGGACATAACGGAAGCAATAAGCAGTTTTTCCCAACAGTAATGTGTGCTAATTATCCGACAAGCCTTGAGCACTCTAAAACATGAAAGAATTGCTTACACTATTGTATTCGAGTCCTCCTGCGGACTCCAAATCAGATTTGGCGCGATGACGATAGCGATGTTCTGCGGCGTCATTTTATTTACATCCTGATTCTTCGTGAGCACAGCTAGAAACTTAATTAAAAACCGCAAGTTTTCCAGATTCGCCGGTGGTAACTTATGTAATACTTCCCAGAGAGCTCGTAATCTCATACCGACGTGCGAGACTTTTGCAGCAGCCATCCATTCGGGATACAATCTGCGCAATCACGGGACGTTGTAATTGTGACAGTTATTGATACAGCGGACAATCGTTGATCTTGACTTGGGTGTAATACTCACTTGTACGTCAACAGAGGCTCCGGCAATTCCCGTAAGTATGATTTCAATGCGCCGGCAATAACATGCGGATCTTTGTATTCAAGAGCCGTCGTTAAAGTGAGACAGCAGGCGTCCAGGCTCAGCTTGATTCGTCGTGACTTCGAGGCGGCCCCAGCTATTCTGAAAAGACCCTCCTCCTCGATACCCAGACGCAGCAGCGCGGATACACACAGTTGTATGGGCAGTGCGATTTTTCTGTTTGTTACCCTAAGGTGCTCCTCGAGAGGATATCCGTAGACTGGCTTCATTTCGTTATCGTCTGCAATTGTTGATTTGTTTCCTTTACAAGCTGCATCAATTTGCCGTGAATGCATTTTTATAATTGCATTGAACTTAAAACTTACTGATATAACTTTCCAATCCAGGTATAAGATCCTCAAGACAGTGCAATGCACTCTCATGATACGCTCGCTGAAGTTTTATATACTGAATAATCGTCTGGGCTAGTTCAGTCTCTCGTGACATAAGCTGGAACATCTCTGCGGCCAATTGATCTCGGCATTGCTCGACTTTCGTTTCGGCATCTTCTAATTCTTCCCTCAAGCTTTCTATTTTCGTTGCGCCTGTACCTGTAAAATATAAGAGCATAATGTTTAGCTATAATATATTTTTACAATAATTTTTCAAATTTAGTAAACACACTCAGATTATATTGAATATTTACATATACATACACATTTGCTTTATAAAAAATCAAAGAGAATTTCACAATAATAGTACATCAAATAATCGAAACAAAGAAGACAGAGAAAATTTCAATATTCTTCATTATTTGCACGATAAATATTTTAACTGATAAGAATTTGAGACGGTGATTCAAAATTTAACGATCATTACCAGTATTACTGTGTTTAATCGCTTGAAAGTATCTCGTTCTGGCACTGTCCATGTCCAAAATAAGTTTATGCAGATTTCTCTTATGCTTCATTATATTTGGTACGTCAGTGTCTAGAATATGCTGCAGCGGAGCGGCGACATATTGTTCGACTTTAGCCTCGTGTTCCACGGCTTCGTTAGCCAGTGACATCTGCACTCGTCCGCATTCTACCAGCGCGAAGCTCATGAGACCGTCCTCGCCAGCATTCTCCAACATGGTTTGCCCGAGTACATATTCGGGGCATTTTTTCTAAGAAACAAAATTTTAAGCATTTCAGCGACTACCTAATGAATCTCTTAATGAAAGCTTAATGAAAAGTCTCTAACAATCTGATATCGGATAAAAAAATTGATTTAATTTACGCTGAGTATACTTCAAAATTACACTCAATGATCTGTGAATCCTTTAATATGACTCATCTATTTACCAAACGTTTCTCCTTGAGAGCTGGATCTTGGGTGACGGTTTGGTTAGGTGGATTTCCCAGTCTCTTGCTGAGACCGGTGAGAGCTGCTCTAATCTGTTCGACATGCTTGTCGGCAGCCACCAGATCATCCGTTAACACCTCCGTTTTACCAGCTCTGTTCACATGAAAAATAAACTTTCACTGATAGATATTGTATATTTGATAACTGGATCTTATCTTTTATCTTTCGCAGTCTATTTTATCACTCCTAATCTATCCAATATCCATTTGTAATTTCAAGGTCTATTGTGGAGCATTTTGATCAGGAGTCTATCTCGATTTGATTCTGTTCCTTACTGGAACGGACGATTTGTCGACGGATATTATATTCTCAACAACAAAGATACATCTACTTAGAAATTCAATTCTGTCTCGTAGCTACAGCACCAACAAATCAACTCAACTATCGTGCAATAACCTTTTCATTGTCAAAATTATCGCCATACCCAGGAATATTTATTGCATAGTCAAAGAGGCAAGCACGGTTGAAGATACTTTACGCGATATACAGTGCATGGATATGATATATATATATATATATAGATAAAATTAGGAGGGACGATCAAATATGCGGGCTGGCGGTTCCAGCTGACTCGGCTACCTGGAAAAGGTCTGATCGGCGAGCTGCTTCACCCGGAAAAACTGCTTCTTCATGGTTGGCTGGGGCGGTCGTCGCACAAACTCGGGAGCACAAACTCGCGGCGACCTTATCGTCCGCAGGAGGATCCCCCGCAGGCTTTTCACACACCGTCGACGTCTCGCGACTCGCGCTCACGCTCGCACATCCTCGGCGACTCCCTCGCCGTGGTGGTGGTGGTGGTGGTGGTCGTGGTGGTGGTGTTCACGCGGCACCAGTGGAAGCACCAGCAGCGCGGCGGCGGCGGCGGCTGCGGGGCGGGCTGGGAGGGTCCTTCGTGTCGCGGCAAGGGCGAGCATCCGTCATATTAATGTTTGCACGATGATCTCACGACCGGCGCTGAGAATCGACGCGCTCGCGGCCGATCGGTTCTCGCGCACCATCGATAAGATCCGGGCGATAAAAGTCCGCGCGGGCCAGCGCCTTCTTCGCGCACCCGGTTCGCGCGACGATGGGTTAGGTGAAGTCAGCGGATCTAACTTTTGCCGCCCCACCCTGTCTCTGTCTCTCCACGCTCTCCGGGCGCTCTCCCTCTTCCTCCCTATAGGACTATAATAGACGAGCGAACGCGTACGTACGTTCACGTCCAGGAAACGTTCCGACGCCCGGCAACGTTGTGCAAGTACAGGGGTGTACAGGGTACAAGGTATACACGGTGGGACCGTGGCGCTCTTACGTCACGTCGGTCGAGCGTTTTAAGCGTCCTCTTCGTCGGGAGACGCGGTTTTACGCTTCGGCCCGCTTCTACCGTTCTTCTTTGGCTCGCTTTTCTCTCTCTCTCTTTCTCTCGATCTCTTCCGTCGAGAAACCCCTTTCGCGACGGCACGGCTGATGGACCCGTCAAACCCGCGCAAAAGTCGCTCTCGCCACCCCCCTCGCCCTTGAGACCAGACTCGCCCAAGATCGATCGGTCGGATTGATCACTCTCGCACCTCGCGGCGCGACTGTCGTCCTCTCGCGTATCGAACGGAAACTTCGATCGCCGGTGATCGCCGGTCGATGCTCGAAAGCGAACGTATCGACGCGACTGACGCGAGTTACCTTCACGAACTTCACGAGTTCACCAGACGTCAGTCAGACGCGAATACGGCGCTGTCGCTCATGGTAGCGTAGAAGCGGTCGTGAGCGGGGGGGGGGGTTCGGTCGCCGCGGTCCTCCACCCGAGACCCATGCGGCGACCTGTCAACAGTATCGGAGCCCCGTCGACGGGTTAGTCCTCTTCGAGTCCTGGCCGCGCGCGAAACGCGAATCACTCCCGTGTCGTACGCGCGAACAGGTATACACGCACGAGTAGCGCGAGACCGCGAAGACTGATCGTCCTCCACCCACGTCCACCCCACCGCCGTGATCATGGATCGGGCCTTTTTGAACGTGATGATCCTCAGCTGGGGATTCATGCTGGTCTTCACGGCGTTTCAAACGATGGGCAACATAGAGGTGAGCGAGAACGCCGGCGCACGTGACGCGCGCGGTTGTTGCTATCTTTTATTATCATTGTCTCTCACTTGCGCGGCGCACTTCCGCGTTTTACCCTCGCGCGCGCACGGCCACGTACGTATACCTAGCTCGCGGAAGGTCGAGAGAGAATGGATTGATCTCCCTTTTCCAGATGAAAAATTAGACTTCACGCTTGAACGGAGTTTGCGGGCGTCGCGTTTCTTCCAACCTTTCCGAGGGAATTCCTCGGACATTCCACGGCGATGCGATACCCCGCGTTTAGAAGCGAGTGGCATTCTAATTGGGTATACAGCCCGAGTGACGAAACACGCGCGTTATATGTCGACGATCGCGCGATAAATCCACGATTACATTCATGCGAGTTCGAAAGTTCCTTGTCAAAGCGCGTTTTCGGTGTGTTCACCTTGAAAGAGTAGATAAGTAATTTATTATAGATATTTTAATACCGTTAAGAGGATTCAAATAACACGAGACGTTTGATGCGCTTTCGAAATGATAGAAGTACGATTTTTCTTCGTTACGCAACGGTCGACAGAATATGAATTTGCTTTATCTATACAGTGGAGAAATGCGTAATTAATTGCGTCAATGCTTATCGTATATTTATTCTTTTAGAATCGAACCTAAAATCCATCGCTGCGATACATTCATCGTATGAAACTGAAAAAATAATACATATATATATATATATACATAAGAAATAAAATACGCAGTAATTTGTTTTCAGTAATTTGCTTTTAATTAATAAATTAATAAAACGTGACTTTAATTTAATGTAATTTTAATAAATAGAACGTGACAAGAGAGAGAGAGAGAGAGAGAGAGAGAGCTTCTCTCGTTTTCAAATGACGCATTTTCACAATTTCAAAGTTTGAACGTGGATAAACATTATTTACAATATCGTTCATTCCCTCTGACGCAGGCACTATCGGATTAATAGTATGATTGGATAATACTCGGTGATCAGCGTCGACGATCATAGAACCCTTTTTAAGCGATCCCAAAGTGGAGCGAACTATGCATTTAGACGTTCAAATCGCGAGCGATTTGCCTGAATTACTTTGTGCACGTGTCCGCGTTAACCTGGGGATATGGAAACGCTTGAAATGAGAGAGCAAACATGATTCAATTTACGTGTGTTTATTTCTAGCAATGTAAATTAATTTTAACCACTGGTTTAACTCACTTTTTATCTTTTTTCTAATTCTAGGATTTAGAAAATGAAAAAGAGCGTTAAATCGGGATTAAAGTGAATCTATCATTAATGGAAATGGGCATCAGAGAAACGAAGGAAAGACCGAACGAATGGAGAATTAATTAGACCTCTCGATGAACGATTCGATTTCCACTTTACGTTCGGCTGGCCACGACGCGAACGAAACACTCGCATTAGTCTATAAAGTCCTAGAAAGCACAGATATCAGGATATCACGCGATTAGTCGCGCGGTTTAGAAAGTACCACAAAAGGCAAGGAGCCGGTCACGATCGACGTAATCGCGAGGCTGAAACGCCTGCAGTAAATTATGCACGGTATACCATTGTCGACTACTTTCGGCATTGCGACACCCGCAATCTGTAAAATACATGCGTTACATGTTATAGAGCTTTCCCCCCAAAGAGCCAAACGATGTTTGGGTGAGATAAAACAAAACAAATTTCGGAAGACGATTTTTCTGTAGTATTTTGACGGTAGAAAAACAGACACAGAAAGAGAGAGAGAATTATTATTTTTTATTATGTCTTATCGTTAGAAACATCTCTCTCTCTCTCTTTTTTTATCTTTCTTTTTCATATTTAAATGAATCTGTTTACATTACCTCTATATATGATTTTGCCGGGGACTTTTTCCTCTCTGTGTTCTCTTAGTTTTAATACTTCATAATTGTTGCGTTATCTTGTTTGCGCGATCTGAGATTGCTCTTGGGAACATTGTTTCAAGATGTAACGACAAATTTTTGTCTCCATTCATCCCTCTTGCATAACGCTTTTTTTTAATAATCTTCTGAACTTCATCCATCCATCATACCACTATCTGAAAGAGACTTACGTAATACATTCCGCGGGATATCGCAGGAGTAATCTGGAAGCGCGCGAGAATTGTGTTCTGGCATGAGCCACTGCAGTAACGGTCTGTTAGTCATTACCGTTGTTACCTCCGTAATTCAGAAGTATCTCCGGATACGCGATATCTACGAGATTTTTAACACAAACGGCGAATAATTGATCGGGCCGGCGCGGTACAACGGTCTTTGTTTGCTCGCGAATTCACCGGCCGCCGACGATATCGCGTCCGATAACGTCCGTTCAGCTCGCAAAAGTCGCAGATTAGTCCGATATTTCGCGTGTAGTGGCATAGCTTAGATCACTGGAGCTCTCACGAGTCGTACAATATATTATTCTTACACTGTCTTTTTTTTACATTATTTTTGTCAGAGAGAGAGAGAGAGCGAAGGAATCACGACATCGTGAATTGTGAAAAGATAATTAAGACATATTGGATCATCAAGTCGACATACTTGCGTAACGAAGGAATTAATTATTTACGAAGATTTCGAAGTCGTTTGAGATACACGATTTCCGAATGATAATATTCCATAATCACCGCGCTCTGACCTTTTAAAATGCTCATTTTGATAAAAGTTTTCCTTAATTAGTTTTCGAATCGTTCGAGAACTAATTAAAAATGACGTGCTTTTCAAGTTATTAACTTCTTTCTTTTCAATTTTCTGACATTTAAAAAATTACAGTTAGGTATTTGTGTCAACTCTTATAAATGGCAAATAATTCTGGCCGAGTTTATCGCATTTTTCTTGCGTGAAAGTTTTTACAATCGCGTCGATAGCTTTATTTTGCACGTCTAATCGCAAAAAAATCATCGATTCTTTATGTCAATCTTTCAAGAGTTACGATAATTTAATTTCCTCTACGATAGGAATTTCCTCTTTTTAAAGATCTTATAAAGATATTAAATCTTCGATTGAAATTTCACGATTATTATCGATATCGCCTCTTGCACCGTATATAATAATAGTTTACCAGAAGATATAGTTTATCATATTTGCGTGTGATAATTGTATTTAGATTTTCTAATTATCGACGAGATCGTCTATCGCCTCGTTATCTCGGATCGCATAAATAACATTTCTTATAAACTTTCAACTAATTTGACGTTAATTTCGGGCAATTTTTTCGAGATTACATTATCATGAACGGAAATTAGCGATTGTCGCGCTGACGTCGATACGTCATCCTAAGTCTAATCGTAACTAATTAAATTATGCGCAAAGTATCCAATCAAGAGGAAACGGAATTACATTTTTGTATGACGATCGAATGACACTTCAGACATGGTTGCTCTCTTTTTTTTTTAACGTTTAATCGCCCGAACTTGTTTCGTAACTTTTGTGTATCTAGTGACTTTAGAACTCCCCGAAGAAGACGCGAAATCCTCCTGTCTATTGCATTATCGAAGTTCTGGAAACAAAACCGCCGATCACGCCGAAGTGGCGAAAGAGAAAGTTCGCCAATGCGAAACGAAATGCATCCTAGACGTGCTCGATAATTACGTCCGCCGAAACCTGTCCGAAACCGACGCAACCGGTTCCCGCCGAATTCAGCATCCCTCGCTCTGTGTGTCGCAATTCACCGCGAGGATCATAATGACTTGGAATTCCCGAAGAAACTCCCGCGTTGGACGTGAAACGACTTCGGGATAATTCATTGCTTCCGAAAAAAGCCCTCGGTATCCTCGATAGCACGCCCAGAGAAATATCTAAAACAGAATGTCTTTGCCTGTAGTTGAGTACAGCTCGTAACGAGATACGACGCAGCCTCCTTTCACTTTTAGACACACGTGAATATAAGAGAAAGGATGAGATGTCATTTAACAGCGTTAGTTTTCTACGCGCGACAGCACGTTCGATAGTTAATGAAATAGGCTTGAATCTACAATTAGACTTTGCTAATAAATATATACGTTTGCGCGAACAGCAAATTGTAATTAATATAATAGAAACAAATGACTTTGGCATACGATATACACATATGTTTTGCAAAACATATACCGAAAGAGATCGAAGTAAGAGACGCTCTCATAGATAACGTAGTATTTTATATTTATAATAATAATACATTTAGCCAGATAAGTTAAATAGGACGTTTCTATTTGCCGAGAAACATTTTTCGAAAAATGTATAGATAATGACAAGAATTTACTTGTCAAGTATTTTTAATATTTATTTCTATGAGCGGACTTAATAATAAATGGAATTACGATTTCCGTAGCATTGAAGCTCTCCAAGAAATTTGTAATAAAATATTAAAAATTTATAAGAATTATTAGTGTATGCCATTAATAACGCATTTTAATAGCGTATCATACGTGTATCTAAATTTATTTTTATTGGAGTAAAATCGTTTTATTGACGCACAAATATCAAATACAATTATCAAAATGTGTTTTGACACATTTCTCGCATGCCTTTTTTTATCTAGAGCTCTTACGGATTCCTTTTTCTTATACGAGATCGAAGTCAATGTAAACGTTATGTAAACATCTATCTATACAATCTTGCAATACCTGTGTGCAGATCTTATCGAACGCCGTTATCGACATATATATATATATGTATATATATACAAAATACTTGGCACCGTATTTTTATGAAGACGAGGCTACAAACATACTTGTCAGAAAATATATTGTTATCTTACCGAAATGCACGCTTGCTCGTCCCTATCGTCTATTGACAACGCTATCTTGACGTAGAACATAGTATTTACGCAAGCACGATAAACATAATTAAATGGTAACAAGCAACAACACTTTAAATGTTTCGTAACTGGACATTTATTTTTGTCGATGTATAGCTGCTTAAATAAACTACGTATTCGTTGTATAGGTATAAAATATCGAAGTATTATGGATGTTGTATTTTATTAAAAATGCTCTGTATGAAAAATATCTCTATAACAGAATATCGATAAAGATATCTGTATCGTTTTTTTTTTACGTCAGATTTTACTTGAACACTGCATATATAGCATACACAAAAATAAAACTGCTAACGTATTAAATGTTACATCGCGAATAGCGATATGATTACCAATAATTTTCAAGCGCGAATTTAACGAGATGATGTTACTGTTAAATGATTGGTGACAGATGTGGAAGTGCGACATAAAATAAGCTGCTACACTTTCCTATATGTGAAAGTCTAGTTGAAACTATAACAACGCATCCGATTCGCTCCTAATACGATACGATAGGTGAAATCGTGAATAACGCGAACGCTTTGCATTACGAATCTTCTGACCGTTGCTCAGATGATTAATTAGAATGCACATTAATGATATTCATTTGCTTTCAATTTATTAGATATTTGCAATTTTCTTTTGAAACCATATTATTATTATTTTTTTATGTTTCTGATCAAAATTTTTATTTTATAAATCGCACAAGTGATATCTCCAATCGGATAAATTCTTTCTGAAACATTTTATATATTCCTATATCGTTTTTTAAAAGATAAAATCGTAAATCAGGTTTCCTTTTACATTGACAATTAATATGCAGCTCTCACGCGTTAAAGCCGGATCTAAATTTTATAACGGTACATTAAGAGACTATAAAGCAATATTTGTATCTACAACGTTGATATTCTGTGGTTATCCTTGACTGAGACGTGAATATAGTCCTGTTTTTATAGTTTCTATAAATACAGAATAACCAGTTTCGGTCCTAAAAGAAGATACCGGAACCAGTGCGATATATAATGTTAACGTTATGCTTCTTTTGTCATAACATTCCTCGAATTCTCGCCCGTTTCTCGTTTGGTTACTTTCCATTTCTTTCCTACGAAATATCATCGTCCGGAATCTTTTTCGCGTCACTACTAAAATAAAACAAATGTGTCAATTTTATTGTAATAAAATCTACATTTCATATATGTGCCTACATAATAAAGAGAGAGATATATTGAACTAAATTCACGAAGAAAAAAAATTTAAGTTCAAAATTAATCAGAAAATGCGCTCTTAAAGCAAATCCTGTATTAAGACACAGAGTTTCACGCACGAAAGAAAGACTCATATATCATAGGTATGCAGCGCAGCTACTTATTACCATTTGGCATTTCCAAGTCAGTTATCGTAGATATAAGTCGTCCAATCGACCTTCATGCACACGATACAATAGGAACTCGGCGATATCGTAATCCACGAGACTGCAGCAGCGAGGAATTAGCGTGTATTAGAAGTGATGCTGACCTTCTCGCGTCGATCTCTTTTGTTCGCAGAAAACTGTTTTAAACAGCATCAAGGAGGATATTAGCGACTTCCACGGTGATGCCTATATCAGCCTGGCCATAATCTACGGCGTGTTCGCCACCTGCAACTGGTTAACGCCGTCGTTCATTTCGGTGACAGGACCACGGGTGGCGATACTCACGGGTGCCTGCTGCTACGACCTGTTCATCGCCTCGTTCTTCTGGCCGCACGAAGCCCTGCTGTACTGCATGTCCGGCCTCGTCGGGATCGGCGCCGCCCTGCTGTGGACCGGCCACGGGCAGTACCTGACGGAGAACAGCAACAACGAGACCATGTCGCGGAACGCCGGTATATTTTGGGCGATTTTCCAGTCGTCGCAGTTCGCCGGCAATTTGTTCGTCTACTTCATCTTCACTAAGGAGAAAATCGACAAGCAGCAACGGATGATCGTGTTCGGCGTGCTAACCGGTCTCTCGGTGGTCGGTACCGTGGTGCTGCTCGTAATGAGAAAATCGCCGCAGAAGTTGTCGCTGGGTGAGGCCGAGGGGGTGTCCCATGCCGACAAGGAGCTGCGCCTGCCGGAGCCGAGGCGCGAGAAGCCGCTGGTGGCCGCGTGGAACGCCTTCGTGGATGCCATCAGGCTCTTCCTCACGCCGAACATGCTGCTACTGTCGTTGACGTTCATCTACACGGGTCTCGTGCTCACCTTCTACTCCGGCGTGTACTCCAACAGCATCGGCTTCATGAAGATCCTGGGCGAGTCCCGCAAGAGGCTGGTGGGACTGTCCGGGATCTTCATCGGCGTCGGCGAGGTCGTGGGTGGCGCGGTCTTCGGCATCCTGGCGTCCAAGATATCCGGCAGATTCGGCGGCTGGCCGGTGGTGATCATCGGTCTGATCCTGCATCTGTTCGCCTTCATCAGCATCTTCCTGAATCTACCGAACGACGCGTCGTTCGCGGACACGAACAGCGAGGGCTACATCACGACCTCGCCGATTCTCGCGATGGCGGGCAGTCTCGCCCTCGGCTTCGGCGACGCCTGCTTCAACACGCAGCTCTACTCGCTGCTGGGCGTCCTGTTCGCCAACGACAGCGCCCCGGCATTCGCTCTCTTCAAATTCTGCCAATCTGTCGCGGCGGCCGTCAGCTTCTCGTACAGCACCAGCGCGGGGCTGCATGTGCAACTCGCGGTGCTATTCGTGGCCATACTCTTCGGCACGGCGGCCTTCTGCTACGTCGAGTACAAAGTTAAAAAATTGAAGAACGAATCCCCACCGGAGATTGATCCGGCATTGGTCGACGCCACAAGCGGCGAAGATTGATGAGGCTAGTTAAATGCGAATTCATTAGGTTGCAAAGACACAGCGGGTTTGAACGCGAATAATGGGGTGCGCGAAAGATCTCGAGAGACAACACACAGAGTGGAACACGGGAAAACTACTGTGTTAAAAGTAAAGCGAACAACTCACAGCAACTCGAACGAGTGTTTTTAACGCAAATTATTTTAATATATTAATGATAAGAGATTCTTGCAAATTTAAGTATTATTCATGAATTCTACAATTGGAGGCTTTTTACAATATCGTATTTTAAATACAACGCAGTTGCAAATATATTAACTGTGAAGTTTTCGTAGTAATTTCTATTTACTGAAATTCCATTGAAATGCTATTGTAAGAAGTCTCTAATTCTATCGTATGTTCAAGTCCATGAGAATATCGTATATGATCGAGTGGACAAAAAGGATATCCAGGAATGTATTTTCGGTCGAATGTTATCATGGTCTTCCAGTTTTTTATATATCTCAATCTCTCTCTACTTGACTGTGTTTTAGATATTCTCTTCTTCAAAGCGATATCTTTTCGCAATTATGCCAAATATGTGTGTCCGATTATCAGCATCGATGTTTTCATTATATCGAAATGTTGCTCACAAGATGTTGCCTTAAAGACTTATCGATGTAATCGGTTATATATATTGTTATTAGAGTGCAATACTTACATCTGAACCAATCGATGTAATTTTATTTTAATTATTTTTTTTCATCCACAAACTCGAAGGCTGTGTAAGTGCCCTTTGCATTCATTGCGAGCTCCTTTTTGTAAGTTTTAATTATAAGTAATGTTTGATTGCGAAATCAGGTTTTTTTTTTTTTTTTTTTTTTAGCGACGATTTTCGCATCAGTCAGATTTTGCAATGCACTGCGATTTTGTGACTAACTAGTCTGTAACATGAGTCCGCCACAAAAAGACTCGCGCGTTTAACTAGTCCGTAACGCAGTATATCGACTTTATGTCTGATCGTATGTGTATGCGTGTGCGTGCGTGTGTGTATGTGTGTGTACATATGTGTGGGTGCACAACGGTACGTGACATTTACAGCTCGAAACTCGATTGAATTGTCCGAGATCAGACTTAAGGATCTTGTTCCTTCGTCGATCGACGCTTGCCAAGTGTCGCGGCGAACATGTAGATTAACTGCGGCATGCATACAGGATGCATTAAAAGTCGGACACTTTTCTCACCAATTTCTAAACAGCACATACAGCGAGAATCAGAACTGTGAAAAACACACAAGGGAAATTAATAGAAAATAAAACATTGAATTTTGAAATTTAATTGAAAATCGTGAATTAAAGTTGTAAAACACAGATTTGCTGTTAACAAAGTTTCGAGGTGTTAAAATCTTTTTTTTTTGTCAAAAGCTAATCATGCGACTTTTGAGGCATCCTCTGTGCATTGTAATACCCACGCATTTCACTCCATTTTTTTTCGTATTTTACTTGATCATGGATGTGTTAGATATATTTTATATGAATAATGAATAAAACGCGAATAAAAATGTAATCAATGATGATCAACTATTTCTCTTGACAATCAAAATTTTATTGAATATGACAAAATTAATGAATATGTATACGAGACATCGTGATACTTTTAGGAAAATGCATTCCTACCTAATTTTTGCAAAGAGAAAGGGAATTTCGTAATTCCTCTGTAATTCCTCTTACGCATATTACAGTCCATTACATTCCATAATATGTATGTTTTGTACATTACAGAATATTTTTCCTGTATATAAGAATTGCTCCTTGGATACGTACCTGATAGAGAAAGATCACGATCTATTTTAAAAGCATGTACAACCCCGATCATGTATGATCAAGCGAGAATGATCATTATTGTTTTTATCGTTGAATAGTCTATGAATAAAATTTTATAAGATATCTATATAAGTTTGTATAAATATAATACGATAACAGACAATATAAATAATGTATATAAGATTGAACACTGTTATAAATATATGCGATGTGTGCGATTGTTGTTAGCAAAATATATTTATAATATTGTAAAAATATTTGTACGTTTTGATTTTCCGATTCTGCAATTTTTCTTCCTGACTTACACGTTTTGAATATCTTATATATGCATAACAGCTTAGAAAAAATACGCGGCTGCCGTTTACCGTGTAAAAAGGCCGTCTGCCGCAAGATTCTTTAATAACTAAAATATTTCTACGTAATTAATTTCATTAAATATGTCCTTTGTCGATTTTTTTCAATATATCGTTTGTTCGTGGAATGAATCATTACATATAAATCACTTCGATGATTCACACTTTATTGCTTTTTATTAATCATCGAGTTGACAAAGGGCAGCTACACCTCGATTAATCCAATGCGACTCGTCCAGATCTATCGGGATCAGGATATAAAATATAAAATTGGAAGAATGTCCAGTGGTAGCTAATACACCGCGTCTAGCACTAGTCCTGTACACCGGACAATAGTAAACGTCTTTTATGACGAATTTAGCTTTTTCGCCGGGTTTCAGCCATATAACGGGTAGCACGTCGAACATTATCTTGGGTTTAGATTCGTCCAGCAATCTCGTCTCTCGGTTCCATCGAGCTCCCTCCAAAAAGAGACCCTGAGAAGAACATCACGGATCAATAAAAAAAAAAAGAAATAAAAGCGAAGATATGCTATCGCGACAAAATACTACCAAAATAATACTAGAATTTTTATATAATATATCGAACTTTAATTTTAGAAAATGTCGTTTGAGATTATATATTAGTTAAACTTTGCGTACGCTTGTGTAAACTCCATAGGAAGGCGCAGCGTCGACGTTCGACTCGAATCGGGTGATATCGAATTGAAAGTCCAGCCGGTCGATCGGTATCTTGTGCATGCGAGCGTAATTCTGCAGCACCGCCGTCAGAAATGACTGCGTGAAGAAGAAACCGGATATCCAAAACACTTTCGGCGCGTCGTGATCGATCCAATCTTGCAGGAACTGCAATCTTGCCAGCAGATCGTTCACGTAACTGCCGAGCGGTTTCAGCGAGGGGTACGATTTTCGGTCCCAAGCGAGCGGCACTTTGCCGACGCTCATGCTGTAATAGACGTTCTCCAAATCCGGTGACATCAGCACCAGTCCTCTAATAGCCTTCCGTACGTTGTCCAACGTTTCCTTAATGACTTCCGTGAGCAGGTTGAATTTACCGAGTTCCTGCCGCAACACCGTGTTCATGCTGTTCATGTAGAGCACCGGATACTTGTTCGACACGTATTCAATATCGAATTGCGGCCGCATCTTCGACAGAATCTCACCGGCCAGAGCGAAAACTACTTCGTCCGTGTCTTTCTCGACACCTGAGAAAAATTAATGGAAATTTTATTACACAAATTGTCTCGTGACGTGCAGAACATCACATTACCGAAAGCAGATTCCGCCAACATTTTTATGCTATTATTTTATGGCGGTATTACAACAAGATTGCGTAAAATTTTTATAATGTTGTGATCTCACAATGAATTATTTCTACAACGTTTTAGCAATTCTTTCAATACTGCATACGAAATCTAAGCTAAGTGCATTGACCCATAAAAACTCTTGTATATTAACAACAATAATATTTCAATAAAATGAAAAAAAAAAAGAAATCTCTCAATTATATACAAAAATTGATTTGAAGTTGAAAATAGAGAAATATATATGTTACTCGCCTACTCCGCTGATTTGTGGCTGGGTTAAAAGCGCACCGGCCAATAGTTGCATTGCTTCTCGATTGTCCTTCGCTATATCTGCGTTCTCATGCAAACCAAAAACTTCCGGCATTTGATTGATCGGTAAGCTGCGAATGTACTTCAGGCATCCTTCATAATCGGTGTCCTCCGGTATGTGATAAATTCCACTCGGGGAAAACGAGTATCTGGAAAGATACAAATTACAAAAGACATTAAGAAAAACTTAAAAAAATTCAAGAACATTTTATCTGACAAACTTGAACTCTTAATAAAAATTTGATCGTCTGAAAAATTATTCTCTTTATAATGTCGTTTTCAATTTCTCTATTTTAAACATTTTAGTTCACTTATTTACATAAAATTTAGATTACAGTAAATTTGAAATTATAATTTCTACTTTAGAAATTCGGAGAGAATAATTTCTTATTTACTTTTATTTAAGCTTAAACTCTTTTGAGGAAAATCGACGATAAGTTGAGCAAAAAGAACATTCTTAGATTTTTCATTTCTATATAGAGATATATGTTAAGAGAGATAGCATTACTTTGTTTTTATAATAACTTCAAAATTATAAAAATTCTTCAGCAGCGAATTCAGCAGACGTCTGTCTTTATCGTCGGTCACTCTGCCTCCGTAATTGCACTCTCCTGTTAGGTAAATGAGCGCGTCGAATGGTACTTCTTCGTAATCATTTAAAAATAGCTAGATCAACAAAACAGCAACAATTATAATATTCCCATGATAATATCTATTAAATTAATAAAAGAAAGTAATACTGCCGTACCTGTAATTGCAGAATACTGATACGTAAATCGGACTCGTTGAACTCGTAAGGTATATTCCAGCCGAGCGGACCGAAATTCCGTCTCTCTTGCACCACCGCGTGGAAGAAACACAGAGAGAACAATAATTTCCTCCACTCCACCATCTTCGTGCACTCGCGGTAAAATATGGGATCCGATACGGGATCGTTCAGGTAACTCCGCAGCAAATTGCTCTTCAATCCCTTCGGCGGTTCGTTCGTCATCTTGACGCCGTTCTGCAGTATGGACACCGGAAATCCTTTGGACGGATAGCTAGTCAGCCATATACGGAAATCACGATGCGTGTTCTCGGGCACGATGATCTCGTCGCATATCCGATCGAGCTCCTTCATCCACGACACGGCGAGGTGGCAGTTCTGCAGGATGACCCACTCGCCGCTCTTGATACCGCGCTCGATCATGCCCATCGCGATCGGGCCCTGGCCCTGACCCAGCGATATCGTCATGAGATTCTTCTTCGAGATTCCACGGTCCTCGGCGAACTTGATCAGCCCGGCCATCGGATCCGATCCAGGCGAGAGCACGAAGATGAGAGGCGTGACGTTGCTCGAGTCGTCGTACGAGCTCTGGAGATCGAACGGCGGCGGCTCCACGAAAGACGTGCCCATATGGTGGATGATGTACGCCTGGACGGCGACGGCCAGCTTGTCGGTCCTCACGCATCTCAGGATCACGAGCTTCTTCAGACTCTCGCCCTCGTGCTCGAACGGTGGTGGGAAGGGATAGTCCTGCGGATTCGGCAGATCGTAATACGCCTGCCACTGCGACACGTCGGTCTGGAAGGATTCTCTCAATTTTCCAAGACCCGGCAGGAGACTAGCCCTCACGACCTCGGACCAGGATTTGTCGGTCAGCCAAGAGGGATCAGGATTGGGATAAGGATTGTCGAGAGCTACTCCACCTGTCAATAAAAACACCCAGAGCTCCTCCTCCAGTTTATGAGCGGCGCGTAGCAGACCGACGCAGAGGACCAGAGAGAATATCAGCTTGTCTTTTTCGAAAAGGGAACGGCACACGTTTCTGTAGATGCTCGCCGTGAAATACGAATTGAGACTGTTCATTCGCGTGTCCAGGTCTGTTGATTGTTCGCTACTGGCGATCGCCATGACGTAGAGATGCAGAAACCACGGTAGCGAGTACTGATACATGGGGTCGATGTTGGCCAACTCAGAGATACAGAAGAAGAGAACTGCGCCGTGCTTCGACACGGGCTTGTAACCGTCACGAGCTTTGTCTATCTCCGCCGAGGTCTTCACTGCAATCTCCTGTTTCGCCTGAATGTCCTCTGACAGCATCTTCGAGGTCGAGAGTATTCTGATAGCGGTCTCATCCTCGAGTATGTTACCCTCGGACGTCGTGAGAACCTCCAAGATCTTGTCCTCGATTTCCTTCAGGATCCTCCTGTTGTTCGCGCCCTCCACTATCAGCTGATTCTTCTTCTCTTCCAGTGTCGGCAGCTCCTTGGCCACGACTATGCCCAACAGCTGATCCCGCAGACCTTGCGGCGTGATCATGAAATTCAGTAGAGTCACTTTTACCGCGATCTCAGGCAGATAATGCGGATTTCGCAGACGCGTGGTGATGTAGAATCGAAAATTCGGATTGTACTCCAGCACGTTCTCACCGAACCTCATGTATAACACTCCGCGCTGCTTGTATACGTTCTTCAGCAACACAGGCTCCAGGATCGCATCGATCTCCTCCAGAATGTTCTCCAGCAGCACCGGCGTTCCCAGTTGAATGCTCATCTCCACCACTCTCGCGTAATTGGGATCCGTGAGTTTAATCACCGCTAATTTGTTCGGCTTCTCCATGTTTTTCACCCACTTGTTCGCCTGATTTTGCGGATCGATCATGAGCGGCCAACGATCGGCGTGCCTCACAATTATACCGTTCTCCATCGAGAAATTGTCGGCCGGCAGCCCTTGGATGGTCCAGGCCCTCATTTCTACCGGCTCGCCCAGTGTATCGAGCAGATTAAACCTCGTGCTGCACGGTATGGCCGCTCGCATGCAAGAAACGTGCCACTCATCGATCAACTTGTTTCTGTATTCCACCGTGAATGCCCCGAGATAAGCCACTATTCCGGACGACAGCAAAACGTCTCCGATCACGTTCCCCAGGCTGGCGCCCAGTTTACCGGCGGTCTCGCTCCATCTGATCTTCTCGCCGCTCAGACCGCCCAGCAATTTCTCGGCCCTATCCAACTTCTGCCTGCAATAGTCGATCTGGTCCTCCAGCTTCTTCTTCTCGCGCATACACTCGGCGAACTCGTCGTTGAGGGACTGCAGCTTCTGCGACACTTCCTGCAGCAGGGCCCGCTTCTCGTTGAGCATTTCCATCTGCGCCGCCAACTCGGCCTCCGCCTCCGCCAGCATCGCCTTCTTCGGCGCCACGACCTTGATCACGCGATCGTACACCTCCATGGCGCGCACCCACTTGCAGAGGCCCTCGCACGCGGTGGACACCTTCTTGATCGCATCCGGTTGGAAGCTCCGGTCGTTTATGAACCTCTCGCGAATACGCTTCATGTACGCGGGCGGTATGTTGTCCTTGTCGAAATTTTTCAAGTTCTCCAGGAATTTCATTTCACCTAGCACCTTGATGGACGCGGGCCAGTAGTCGTCACCGTCTGGCTTTATACCTTTCAACACGCAGACCGCCTCCATCACCAGTCTAACGCCGGCCGGCGGACTCTTCATCGATTTTACGATCGTGATGTCTGCCGGCTTCAGGGTGTCCAGTGCCCCCAGGGCGGCTTCCAGCGCCGGGGTAGCCTCCGCCAAATCGCTCTCGCAGTCATCCTTGATTGCCTGAGCCGCCGCAGCTGCTTCGTTCGCCAAGGCCTCGTCAGCCGCCACGATCTCCTTCTTTGCCTCCACATTGACAGTGTCCTGTTCGATTCGGATCATCAGCTTGTCGCTCAACTGCGACTGTGCCAATAACTTCGGCTGTAACTGATGCAACTCGTTCTGCATGATCGCTACTTGGCCGGCGGCGAAGTCCAGCATCTCCAGGCCGGTTTCGTATCGATTTTGCTGCATGATAATCTGCTCGATTTTCTGTCCATACAATCTGTACAGTGATTTGATTAGCTGCAGGAAACTCGTGGGTGTGACGTAATATCGTCTACCGTAAGTCAAATAATAATCTTCGCTCGTCACGGAGACACTCGTGTGGAATTGTTTGCACATCTGCACGCATTTCTCTCGCAGTTCCGAGCCGATATCGAGATCTCTCAACGACATCCTGGCTACTTTCTCAAGGGCGTCTTCGGGCCAGAGTGTGAACCAGTCGATGGTGCAACAGTTGATAAGCGACGGGAACATCCTGAGACGATTGCGGAAGGTGTCGCCTATTGGCGACATCGCCAGGACTATGTGAAGATTCTTTTTAATCCTCTCGATGAAGAGATTGTAGAGCACCATCGGCGTTATTTCCACTTTTTTGCCGCCGCCCACGTCTCGCGCGATGGTCATCATCTTGTCCAGTATCTCCGCCTTCTCGTCCAACGCGTACAAGTTCGGCACGTCCGCGGTATTCAAGATCATGTTGATGTCCTCGATAAAGGACTCGTCCGCGATCTGATGGTCGCCGAAAATGAAAACAGTGGGTTTGCCGTCACAGCCGACGCGCAGCAATAATTTCTTCAGGTCCTCACGCCACTCAACCGGTCCGTAGGTCCTGGTAATCTCGATCTGATATATCTGGTACTCGCACATGCTGGTCGCCAGTTTGGCACAAGAGTTACGACCGGAACCGCCGATTCCGACGAGTAGGGCGTGACCGTTATCCTGTAACAATACTCGGGAAACGCGAGAAACGTGCTCGATGGCGTAACGAAACAGCACCAGATTCATCGGCGTCTGCGAAACCGCGTTGTACTCGGCCAAATAGTAATCCATTTTCTCCTGAAGATCCTCCAGATCCGTCACCTCGTCGTACACCTTCGGATCGGCGTCGGGCTCGATGTAATTCCCGAAGAACAGATCGCGAATGTGGGAGCTCTTGATCGCCTTCTCACCCGGCTTCAGCAGATTGGTGAGCACCTTCTCAAGCGGCTGACGCAGCTGATCGTAGCACGTGAATCGCACCATGCCGAACAGCGTCTCGCGATCGGTGTCGTCTATCAGTCGGTCGTGGAAAACTCGGTATACTTCGTGAATCCACAATCTCATGAGCTTGTCGGGATCCTTCATTCTAGCGGCCGGCACCAGAAGCACGCCGCCGATAACGCGGCTGAAGTCACGCAAGTTGAACTTGTAGTGACTCTTCGATGGCGTGGGCAGGAAATTCTTGATGGCGTCGAGAAACACATTCATGGTAGCGCTCACCACCATCTTGCTCAGTCGCGAAATCTCCGTGACAAAGCCCTTCGCGAAGTGCCAGTCGAGGATCGACGAGAAGATCTTCGTCATGGTGGCATGTTCGAAAGAATCGATGCCGATCACGTGCATGTGACGAGTGAATCGCGACGTCACGACATTGGAGCCGCCTCCAGGAGGTACCATAGCGGTGATCAGCAAAATATCCACCAGATACAGCATCGAGGTGTCCTTCGGGTCGAACCAGTAGCCGTGATCTATCCACTGACGAAGCAATTCTATCGGCGGTTGAGCGCCATAGATTTCGACTTGCGGCATGCTGAGATCGTCCACAAACAGCACACACTTCTTCCCCATGGCAGGACCGTAAACTCCTTTCCTCCTTCTGTCCAACTTTGACATGACTATCTCCTGCGTCTGCGGCGCGTTCGTACGCGCGCTGAAGTTTATAACATTCTCCAAGAATTTATCCCTCGGCAGTGATTCAAGGTAGTTTAGGATGATCGCGGATTTGCCGGTGCCTGTTGGACCCACGAACAAAAGCGGTATGGATCGGTGCATAAATTGCTTAATGAAAAAATGCTGAATGGACGTCTCCATCGTCTGAATGATCAGCTCACTGGCTTTCGCCGTCGCTGGTAAAGGCGCCTGAAATGTATACGTATATTCTAAATGTCTATTATTTTCCTATTTTGTATTCGTAAATTATAGAATTTTAGATATTTCTCTTAAAGATTTTTTTTTATTATTTCATTAATAAAATTAAAATTTTAGATATTTCACTTCAAGATTTTATTTTTTATTAATTATTTCTACTTTTAGAAATTATATAATTTCTAGTTTTTTAATCAATTCTTTTGATGTTATTTAAAATTCACAAAATCTATGTACTCTCAAGTAAGTTTCCAAACATATAAAAGCAGGAATATATCAATTTAAATTTTGACTCTCATTTAATTCAAAAGTGATTGTTTTTCTTAATACCTGATGCATAGTATCCATCCAAGATATCCAGGTTCCGTTGTTCCTCTTGTCGTAAATCCAATCATATATAGTACCTTTTTCGGGAAAGATTTGTTGCTTCGTCAATTTAAACATCTTCGGCTTAGGATATTCCTCGATGTTACCAAGTAATAATTTTCGCAGGTACACATCGAAGGTTCTTCTGCTGTCGCTCGTTAATGTTGAACAAATGCCCCAAACTAGGCTGAATAATAATACGCATTGAAGCCACACTGTACTCACTTGCGTCTCCTCTGCCAACATCATGGTGAATACTCTCGTGAAAGACTATTACACAAAAAGAAATATATTAAAATTTTATATAATAAAGAAATATTATATTAAAATGTTATACTAAAATTTTATGTAATAAAGTTATATTAAAAATATTAAAATTTCATATTAAAAATACGTGAAAAATTACAAATATCTTTCTTGTACTTACTAAGAACATATGTATCTCCGATGTGTCTATAAAAGTCTTGCAATTGTGTCGAATAAATCGCAATATCGGCTCGGTAAGCCATTCGACCAACTCGACAATGAGCTCGTATTGCTCGAGCAACAATTTCTCCTGAAGATGCTTCTTGTAAGATTCAAAGATTGGCTGCCAGCCCAACTGAGAGGGCTCCATATAAATCATGCCGCATCTGCTGACAGTGGCCGGCGAGGCGTGGTCGAGGTCGGCCGGTTCGAAGAACAAATTCATCTTCCCGGACATCTGTATAATCTCACCGGACATCAGGCAGAGCTTCTTGTTGTCGTCCAGCACGGTGTTCATGCTCTCGATCCAGATTGCATCCACCGGCCCGTCGAACACAAGCCACTTGCGTTCGAGCGAAATAGACTGCGCGAACTCGCGAAATGTATTGGCCAGCACGCCGTCGCTCCACTCGTGCGAGACCGGATCAAAGCTGCCGTACAGGAGACCCAGCGGCATGGACTTGGGATTGATCACTCGATAAATCGTCCGGTATTCCCGCATCGTGGCTCTACGCATGCCCGACAAATCGCCCAGGGAATCGGCCAGCGCCTGATAGGCCTGAGTCTTCCCGCCCAGAGCGGTGCCGACGATCATCAGGCCGTGTCGCACGAGCAACATCTCGTAGACCTGCACGATCTTCTCCATGTACCAATCGGTAGCCTGGAGGTTCCGCTTCTCCAGATTCTTCCTCAGCAGATTCACCAGTTCGGCACGTTCCGGCGGAGGCAGGTACACATCCGGGAAAAGATCCGTGTAGATGCCGTTGAAGAGAGAAACGTCCTCGGACAGGAACTTGGGCAGATTAACGTCCACGATGGCGCGGAGGACCACGATGTGCTCGTTGCGCTTCGGAAATTTGAGCTTCAGATTGCCGGCCGCGATCAGCACGGTCTTGACCGCGCGCATCCCGTAATCGTAGTGCTTCTGAGAGCTCAACTGTTCGGAGCACAGTTTGTAGGTGTGAACTATCTTCTCCGCGAGATTCTTGGCGTCCGTGAAGCCGTACGAGTACAGGGTGATCTCGCCGATCATGGCGTAGTCCGGCACCATCATCGCTACCGTTCGGAACAGCACTTTCAGATTGTCCGGCAGTTCCTGCCGACCGGCGTAGCCCGGGTTCATAGTTATGATGACGTTGCAGGTAGGATTCAACTTCAACTCGGTGCCCTCGAAAATGAACTTTTCGAGCTTCATGCTTATGGCCATCTGTATCGACAGTATCTGCTGCGCGATCACGGACAGCACTTCCACCTCGATCCTGTTGAACTCGTCGAAGCACGCCCAGGCTCCCGCTTGCGCGACACCCTTGAAGAACTTGCCCATCGCTTTGTAATCGAGTCCCTCGGAACAGTTGAATACCACGCACTGCTTGGCTACGGCCTTCGCAAGATCCTTGGCGGTTTCTGTCTTGCCGGTGCCCGCCGGCCCCTCCGGCGAGCCACCTAGATTCAACTTCAGCGCGCCCATCAAGGTTCTGTAGCATCGATCTGTCAGCGGCGTTATCACCAATCGGGGCGTATTGCCGAGATACTCGAAGGCGTACATGATGTTGGTCGTGATCATGGAGACGGTGATGCAGTCGTCCAGCCAGTAGTAGCGAAGCTGCGCTATCCAGTTGAAATCTGAAGGATTGTCAACCTTCTTGTCGACCAACAGCTTCACCACGTCCCGGGCGTGCACGTCTATTACTATCAGAGCGTTCAACGTTATCCGAGCGCCGGGTTCCAATTTGCCGCGTACAAGCGCCACGATGTCCTCTATTTTATCGGTGCACTTGCGTAAGTAGATCGCCGTGGACCGTTCCTCGAAGGACTCGTAAACCTCGTTGGTCCAGTGTATCTGGCTGCTGCAAATGACGATCTGACCGGGCCACGAGAGCACCCAATCCTCGCGCATAGCATCGAAGTACGCTATTATACTCTGCTCGGCGACGTCGCGTAGCGATATCACCATGAGATCTTCCACTTGGCACAACCACCTCTCGACCATACCCTTCGCCTCGGCCGGATAAATCTTGCCGCTCAGAGGCACATACTCTTCCTCGGCCGACAGCATGCCAATGATCTCCTCGTCCTTGGTGAAACGGAGCTTACTGATACCTTCGAAACACTTCCGCAGATGCGGTTGTACTCGCTGCGGATCCTTGGTCTCGGACAGGATCTCCAGGAGTTCGTCGTTCGACAGGAAGAAGAATCGCGGGAAGAACAGACGCTTCTTCTCCAGATACTCATTCAGACCCTTCTGAATCTCCTCCAGGAGCGAGTTGCACAGCTTGAGTTCCTGCAGCATGTTCGGCATCGCCGTGGCGTCGATCACCCGCCTGTTGGCGAAGACGTACGACATAATATTCCGCCAAATCTTGTCGATTCTACGGAAGTTTTTCGATTCAGTCGGCATCTGGCGCACGATGTCCTCGCTACTGAATATCGGCTCCAGATACATCCAAGTGGCCTGGCAGAGCAGCCACTGATCGATGATGTCCTGCATCATTATCAGCTTCTCCTCCCACTTCTGCATATCCCGCTCGAATGCCTTCACGAAGGGCGAGCCGCGCATAGTCTGCGCCTTGAGAATGTGATCGTCCAGCAGCATCTGTATGTCGTCCACGGCGGATAATATGTACACCCCGGTCTCACGATAAGGAATCAAATCGAAGAACATCTCCTCCCATTCCTCCTTCATCTTCTGCAGATTCCGCTGCAAAGTGTACTCCTTCGAGGCCGCCGAGGCGATCTCTTCCAGCTTGGCGATGAAAGCGGGTAGACCGTATTCGATCATCTCCGACAGATTGCTCGTGGCCGTTACTACTATCGGCACTTCGACGATCTTACTAATCGCCTCCCAGTGTCGAGCTTGCAGACCCGGTGTACAGATGGTTTGCAACACTGGAACGAATTGCCGGAACTTCTCAACCTTGACGCGCACCATATCGGCGACGCGCCTCGCGCCTGGCACTTCCGTCAGTATGCGCGACAACTTGTACAGAATCCGCCACGTGTCCTCGGTCTCCTCGCGCACCTGCTCGGCGTCCAGGCCCACGAACGGGCCGTAGTACCACTTGTCGTAATTTCGATGGAACTCCAAAGCAGTGTGCCAGAGTTTGTAGAAGGTGTCCACCGTGCTGGACATAGCCGGCAGCTCCACGTGCGGGCTCAGGTCCAAGTCCAGCAGTCCCTCCTCCTCGTTGATCTCCTCGGCCTCCCTACGGATCTGCACCATGGTTGCGGAAATGTGCTCGATTTCCTCCGCAGCCTGTTCCATTTCCTCCATCGTGAGAACCGGCGGGTCCTTTCGCTTGAATTGCTCGATCGCCTGTTGCACCGTAATTATCTTCTTCTCGAAGTTGTCGCGTCTCGTACGAAGCACCGTCTCCAGGAAGTCCTTTCTCATATTCAATCTGTTGCTCGCCAATTCCATCACGACCTCCATCTCCTTCGGCCAGGTGATGGCGCGCGAATTCAAGTAGATGTCCTCGTCCGAGAGCGGCTGATGATCGAACAGAAACAACGTCAGCTCGACCGAGCGAGCTAATCGTCTCCTCAGATTAAACATCGTCGTGTCGCGGCTCTCGCACAGGTAGTTGTACAGCTCGACAAGCTGCTGCGTCGTTTCCGGCATCTTCGAAATGGTCTCCGCAATCTCAACGAAAATCGAGCATAAATCGCGATTGTTGGCTCGTAACTCGTCCGCAAAGAAATTGCATATTCTACTTCGAAGCGCGTGTAGAATTTCTCTCATTGTATCGTTCACAGTACTGCAATCGATCTCGATCATGTTCAACGGGATCTATTGTGGAAAAAGAAAAAACAACCATTATTTTCATTATTAATTTCTGAAACACAATTATACGGGAAAATGGCATAATGCTTTAAATTTTTTGGAGGGGAATTAATATATAGACGATACTATGTTAAATAAAAAGATTTTCAATATAATAATTTTCTAGTAAGTAAACGTGATGTAAAAAAATTGGGTTTTCCTCTGAATCAGTCAGCGATTTAATCATGTTACTTACTTTACATCGAAATGATTTCGCAATCTCTTTTCGCAGAGCGTCGTATGCCTTTATCTGATGCTCGAACTCTCGCAACAACGGTTGCGGCTCGAGTTTAAAGAAACTGTCTAATTTTTCCTCGGCTACTCCGCTTGTAATATACAGTAAATTCCGATAGAATTTGAGGTAATTATCGGGACCAGTTATATGCTTCAAAATCACGTCCATGACATCGCTGATGATGTTCAATACCTATGACAAAATAATTGTGCAATTAATTCACCGAATAATTTGGCTTTCTCTCCATCAAAGATTTTTTTATTGGGGTTCTCACCAAGAGTTTTTTTTTATTATAATATACACATATTATATATATATAATTACCGTATCTTCGAATCGCGAAATGGGAAATAAGTGACCAGCGTCCTTCAGTTCCGGAAACAAAATGGTTTCAATCTTGGGTATCGTAGTGCCCACCTTGATAATCTTGTCGAAACATCGCGAGATCATAGTATGCAACTTTAGGATGCTCGGTCTGCAGTGCAATCTCGTCGTACGGAGTTCCGCTTCCACATTTACTGTTATGAAAGGAGTTCTACAATGTAATCTCCACTGTATTCCAATCCATTCGTAACTAGCGTCTAAAAGATAGCAATTTCGAATCTTACTCGAGAAACATGAGATCCTCGTAATCTCCTTCGAACGCGTTGCCAGCATTGTATCGCATGAAGAAGTCCCTCACGTCTTCCAGCGTGCTCATAATCATGATCCGCAATTGCTTCGACAATAGAGAATTGACGCTGCGAAAGTACTTCTCGATCATCGCGGTGGACGCCTCGGGATGCGTTTCGAAATACTGCGACCAATCGTACTTCTTCTCGAGAAAGATTTCCGCCACGTCGGCCAGCCATTCCTTAATGAGAACGTCGGTGGCAGCGGCACACAGATCATCAACTCTCGGTTCAATTTCCGCGGCCGGAACGGGAAGCGTGCCGAAATCTTGCATATGAATTATTCTCACATGGCGATATCTGAAGCAGAGAGAACCGTTTCATATCGTTGGCAACAACAGCAGTGTATCTTATTTGAATTATTTAAACATCAGTAGAGCGAAGAGAAAGATTTACATTTTACATTTTTAATTTTTTGACTAGCCTATCATACGATCTTACTTTATAAACCATAGGTCTCGGATGTCTCGCAAGATCTCATTCCCGATAAAAAGATTGTGTCGCATCGTTTGACTTGCCGTGACTTTGGACTGATGCCAGGGCACTGGCGCGCGAACGCATAAAATGGGGAATTCGATAGGGACCGTTTCAATAGATAAACGTTTCCGTTCATCGGAATCCATCAGGATATAATTTACTATCGCGCCACGAAGACTTCGCTTGTAGTCATCGATTATTTCCGGCTCCAAATCTTTCGTTACAACGTCAAAGCTGCAAGAAACACATAAAAATATTCTATAAATTTGGCATAATCGATAAAATATATTTTATATTTTTGAAATAATTAAAAAAAATCTAATATAATTAAATGAGGAAATTGAATGACAAGATCAATATGCCGCAATGAGCAATATTTAGAAAAATCGAGTTTATACTATTTTCGAAATAGACTGGAAATAGATAAATAAATTCGATAACATGTAACTTACTCTTCACGTGCTTGTAATTCACCAATGATACGCTTCTTCGCGGCGTCGATATTAACGTAATCGTATGGCTGCAGGTGATGATCGCTTATGCAGTAATCTCTAAGATAAATTACTTTAGCAACATCTTCAGGTTTTACTCTCTGTTCCTTATCAACTATCGCCATTAGCTCGGTTAATTGTTCTTCCACAGATTTCGGAATTTCTGCCTCGACGTAACGTACCCTCTATAATACATGATATTGCTTTTATTATGCATTTGTCAGCTTAATTAAAAAAATAAACGTCTCTCGTTACCTTCCGATCCAACTTTCGCCTTGTTATCCTTCCCTTGCGTATAGACAACTCCTTTTTCAATTTCGCCTTCTGGCTTTTCTTCCGCAACCACGTGTCGTCCGCTAGATCCCTCAGACTCACTATATTTTCCGGCAAAGGTTCGCGTATCCTCTCGGCCGCGGCTGCGGCTCTTTGTTTAACTTCCTCGTCATGTCGTTCGATGAAAGTGCAAGGCGGACTCACGAGCACGCCGTCGAAAGGATGCCATCGTGCAGGCCTGACACGGCGTCTCGCCAAGGTCTCGGTTCGATACGTATGCGTGTCGGGTGTGAAGATGCTGCCTATTCTGTCGGTAGGCTTCACATAGCTATGCCAGTACTTATACGGGACAGTTTTCGTCCACGAAGACTCCTCTATCAAATTCTGCTTCTCCGCAAATTCCGGTGCCTTTGACGTTTTCGACGACGGATAGTCCTTGTGCTCCGCTGTTACATTTATCTTGCTCGAAGCCTCACACGTCTCCTTTTCCTCAGCCATTTCAGCCTGACTCACTCAAGTTAACATATTGAGGGTACAAAAGGCACTTTCTCTAAACGCAAATAATCATTAGCAACCCGAAGCTAAAAGATCCTGCATTCTACGTCATTGTTCAATATTACTACTCTTAGAAAACGTATGAATAAGTTTTTCTAGTAGAGCTAATAGGGTTTGCTAATTTTATCTACGTTGATATGCAGTTAATAGATTTAAACTGTCAAGTAACAAGTATCTCGATAAGGGTAAAGTCTGCGTTAGATCGAATCAACATGTTACACACATCTATATCACGTAACTATGACGACGGCGTGGAGATTATTGGAGAAACGATTGGAAAGAGATACAAACTCACGCGGATTTATTTACGAAATATTCTATATATATTAAAATAAAGAATGTTTGCATATATAAATATATAAATATATATAAATATATAATTGCTTAAATAATTATTACTTGTATATTGTATATAGTATGAAATGGCACGTTAAAAATATATTCTTATTTTATCGTATATGACAGTCTTGAGTGTTTTGGCAAAATCGTAGAAGCAATAATATTTTTAAACTAAATTTAAAGTCAAATAAAATCGTAAGAAAATTAAAATCGATTTCTAATACGTGCTTTGGCAGTTTGTCATCGAATTGTCAATTAGTACGTATTATTAACTACAATCATTTCTTCGAAACTGGTCGATGGTAAGTTACGTCGGCGAGAAAGTAAAACTCCTTCGTTTCTACGATTTTGTTCAGCAAATCCGGCATGCTGGGCAGTATCTGATAAAAGAGAAACATGTACAAGTTGTTAACAACAATTGCATAAAAATAATTAATTTAATAGTAGACTTACGTTTATTTTTAGCACATTTACCGAAGCTTTTTATGAGAAATTGCTTATCTTGAGACTGGAGGAGAAGCATGTCGGACAAAATCTGTAACATTTCCTTGCTCGCTTCCGCTTTTGCCCGTAGACAATACACTGCGATACTTAAACAAAAATACTTAATAAAAATCAGTGTATCTCTATTTGTATCACATTTTAATGTACAATATTCATAAATTATTTACCACATGGCAATCAGTATCACGGCGCCGGTTACTGGACTCGCAAGCTTCGAAACGAAGCTCCAGAACGGGCTGTCTCTCTTCAACGATAACAGCCTGTCGACGATAAAATCCCAAGTGTGAAAATGATCTCTGAACGGTCCGCATTCGTCACTTTTCACATTCGTGATGACGTATCCTATCGTATACAATACGGTGGTAATACTGAGAAACGCGAGTGCCAAGAACAGCGTTTGCGTTTGTGCCGCTCGCCAGGGCTGCGACGGCCGCTGGTAATATCTCTTCAGCTCGTATCTCTTCGCGTAAAACGTAAAAATTAGCTTTATCACGATCATAACGGATGTCAGCGGACTGAAATAAAATCCGATCCAAAAGAGCGTCTGATTGTATATAAGATTTAACGTGTTGCGAGCGATATCGAATTCCGGTCTGCCGACTTTCGTCGAGAGTCCTTTGTAGTACAGCACGGAACGTGCGAAATGGAAACTCGCCCCGAACAGCGAGGCAATGAAATCCAGTATGATAAGCCGATAGATCTCCTTCCCCAAGTGCGTTTGCCAGCAGTGCGAGGTACTGTTGATTATCCAGAAGACAAACAACGTGCCGATTATCGTCGCGGCAACCGCATAATTTCTGACAACCGTCACGTAAAGTTCCGTGCGTTTGTTGCTGTAGTGTTCCAGCGACGCCTAAAAATATCAATATTATATATAATTATTTTATTATATATGTATATATTTTATATATATATATATATATATATATATATATATATATATAGATATGTGTGTGTGTGTGTGTGTGTAAATTTATACGGCCTTGGAAGAAAAATTTGTAAGCGAGAAATTGAAACGGTTATCAATCTAGCAATCAATTATTATTATACAATATTATCAATTTGATATGTATCATATTATACAATTATCAAAAAAGAGTTTGTACGTTTTTTACAAGTTTTTACGTCTATATGTAATAACAACGTACATTGTTGTACTTAAAACTTAAAACATTCATTTAATTTTAAGAAACTTGAGCGAAACGCTT